AAAGATGTGTAAACTCAGGCTGTTCTCTGTGTTAAGCAGAGACTTGACTAAGGATTGTGCTGCCAGTGTGCAGGGATATCTGTGGAGAGGGAGAGGGAGGGCTCTCATCTTCAGAAATACAGCATCAAACATCTGAATACAGTAGTGGCTGCCATCACATGACTGGAGTAGAGGCCAGAAAGCTTCACAGTTTTGCTCTGCTTTGATCACATAATGGAGAAACTCAGCTCAATTGCTTTTCAAGCAGCTAAATGCCCTGCTCCCTCCATATTTTGCTTGTCTGCTCGTGATAACTTTATTTCCCAAGAGCTCTAACAGCCACTAGAGTAAAACTCTTATAAATCTGAACTGCCTGTGCCTAAAGAAAATATGCTTTCATCAGTGTATTTTTGTGAAATCCCACAGGACCGTTCTCAACATTCCTATACAGCTAAGCCACAACTGCCTGTTGTAGCTATCTTCCCTGATTTTCAGTAATAGCATTATTCTTGTAAATTTCCAGTCATTGAGATTTGATCTGTGAATGACTAATATTGCATGTCACAAAGAGTTTCATACAGAACCTCACCACCCTTGCACAGACTCATTTCCTGTGGAGCCAACCATTTGTTATCAGGTGAGCTGCTATCTGTTATCTCATTAAATGTCTGATTTCTTTTTTTTTTTCACTGCTGTTGGCATTTTATCTTCCTAGGGCTCTTCTCAAACCACCTGCTGCAGGTGCCTAACTGGCTGTTGTGACTATTGCTCTCCACTAGTAGTAAAGTGAGCCAAGGTCTGGCAGGCTGAACCACATATTACCCTCTTGACCCAGGATGTGTGGGAGATATACCACCACCTGTCATAGGCATGTCCTGTTCCCGCCTTCCACCCCACCCCCAACCCCACTTGCCAAACCTGTAAATTATGTCTTTGGTTCCTATTTAGTTACTCTTCTACCTAAGTGATTCATATACAACATGTGTCTAGCTAGCTAACAGGTCGGTTTATAGTGATTATAAGATGTGCATATGGCATAGTTCAGCCCAAAGAAAAAGATTGCCTTGGCTTGAACAGCTATTGCTTTTTGTAAAGGTGGAAAACACTGATAGAGTGGCTCAACAGGTAAAAAACCCATGGCAAGCTCCTTCTCCTCCTTAATATACTGTTGCTTTTCTGTTGAACTCATCCTGGTAAAGCTGGATGCCAACCAAGCTGTCATTAATTCCATCACCCCTTGGTCTGTTACAGAGTGGCTTCCCTTAAAGCTGGTCCCAGGCCTTCACGTGGAACTGCACGCAATTACAGATCCCCGACTATAGAGCATGGAGAACCCACTGCTCTTATTGAACTTGTTTTCTAGACTGTCTTTCTCTTCTGTCATCTTCAGACCAGAAAGTCTCATTACTCTTCTTTTTCCTGTGGAGTTAAAGAGCGATTTACTCTCCCAAATCCTCCCCTTTTTTGACAACTGGAGACCATTAATAGATTACCATTAGCCTTTTGTTGGATAAACTGAACAAGGGAAGCTTCTGACATCACCTACCAGATATTACTCAGACAAGAAGGCATTCTGGAATCCTTTCTGATTCTTGGGTGCAGGGATACTTGAATTGGACACCACTGCTTTCCTGGTCTCAGACATGCTCTGTATGAATCTGATCTCTCCCTGTACTTCTCCTGATCCCAAGGACCATGCTCATTTGCTAAGGCACAGCACCACCCAGGACCTCGTGCTTGGTGGGATACCCAGCATGTCCACCCAGTGATGCAGTCTCCCACGCTGTAAGTGTGCTCTGCATCCTCAAGTAAGTTGCATGACCTTATCTCCATGGTGTTAAAGGAACCTGCCTTCATTTCAGACAGTAGATCGTATCTGGAGTCAAAATAAATTACCTCAATAAAAGTGAAGTTGGAGGAAGATAAAGAGGGAGGAAAAAAAAAAGAGAAGAAAGTATTTCAGGGACTGAAGGATGAGCAGAATCAAGGAAGAGGGGAGAGGGATTACAAAGGAAAGGACAAGAACATGGGAAAGGAGAAAAAGAGGGGGTTGAAATACAGCAGGAGTAAGAAGTTGGCACCTAAGTGAGAAAAAAAAATAACTTCTGAGAGAGGATGGAAAGAGAGCACTACAATGAGAAGGAACAACCTGAGCAAGAATAAAAGTAGAGCTAGAGAGCCATTCAGAGACATGTATTTGTGGTTCATTCTTCCTTCAACATTTTCAGTATGTGGGAGAGACCAGAACGAAACTGATCCAAGGTACAAAACAATAATGCAAGAGTAAGCTGAACAAAAGATGATAAAATAGATGTGGAAGTCTCATTTTAGTAAGCTCTGCTTCATAAATGCTGATTCCTGTATCCTTTATTTTTATTGCTGGACCATGAATGGTCCCAGTAATGGAAAGAAATAGCTGCCTGTCATAGCCATCTGAAAGTCACAAAAGCTGAAGCGAGGAAGATGTCTAGTAAGGCTGCTACAGAGAAAAAAAAAATGTGATTGTGCAGTCAATCTTGTTGGTTTAGTTGTGTTCCATGGTGATTTTAATTACACTGTAACTTGAGCTAAGTCAAAGGATGGCAAGAATAGTGGCTGGATAGAGGAGGTTAGTGGAATGCAAATAGAAAGAAGTGGTGTTGGGGGCAGGTCTGATGGGCAGGGGGCAAAGCTGCTGGTGGCACCAGCATGACAGGCTCCCAGAGGCAGGCAGGGCTGGCAGTGAGGGATGACAGCCACTCATTGGCACGGCGATTCTGCACTGACCACGAAAGGGAGGGAGAAACACGTCCCTGCTGATGGTTAGGAGAGAGGAGGTCTCAGGGGTGTGATGGGAACAGAACTGCAGAGCTGAATGCTGAATGCACGGAGAACTCACTGTCCCAGGCAGACCCTTCACAAAATATGAGGCCATACCATGAATTCAATCGAGTTTTTCCATAGTTGACAGCAGTACTCCCTTACAACCAGAGTGGTATCCGGCCGCTGGGTGGTAACTGAGCTTTCAGGTCGATCAGTAGTGGATGGTACATCACTTATGCCACTGACAGACCCTAAATGAATACTGTTTGAATAAGCAATGATATCAGAGCTGTGTACTCTGCAGCAATTGAAAGAAAAATTATCTAGATGACTAGCAGAGAGAGGCAAGAATTTTTGACTAAAGTATTGCTAGGAACATTAACACGTTGATTGAAATACACCTGACACTGCTACCCTGAGGGCTGCAAAGCCATGTAAGATACATGAAGTATTCACTTCTTCAGTCTATGCTGCAGCCTTCTTATGGTAACAAAAAGCTACTGAAGGCCAATACTAAGAACACTCATTTTAGTGATGTAGGTATAATATTCGATTTTGATCAGGAAAAAGAAAGAAAGCTCAGAAAAGTGTTTGTTTCTATGGTATGTACTGCACATGTGGCCAATAAGTCTTATTATTGAGGGGAGGGATGGTAGCACGTGGTGGCATGTGACACATTTAAAGGTCTCCTATTTCTTAGCAGACAAAAGCAGTCCCAGGGCTGACAAATGGCTCTGAGCATGGCAGAGCTGGCTGCACCCCTCTGCTTGGAGCAGTGTGCAAGCAGGGGCCCTGGGGGCTCCTCTGAAAGCCAAGAAGCCCCTGCAGCAAACTTTTAGTGCATCAGGGGATCAAGACCACAGATTTCCCCTTTGATTTTTTCAAGAGCTCTTGTCATACCAAAGAAAAGCCAGTATTAAATGTGTGACACCTTTGCCCCTGCTCTTTGGGGAGCTCTTATCACAAGAGAAACTGCATTTCTCTTTTCAGACTGTAGAAGGACGCAGAATGCATCGCGCTTCCTTACAGTGCCCTGGAACATCAATGCTAAAGCAGAAAATTAGCAATGGACAGGTTGCAAAACAAATTCCATGAAGTTTCCTTTGTGAAGAAGCTGATCCAAGTTTTTGTTTTGTTTTGTTTTTCTTCAACAAAAACAGGTCTCAGAGGGCCAGGTGGAAGCCTTGTTGCTCTTTCCTGTCAAGACACCACCTAAAGTTGTAGATTTAATAGCAAAGTCATATTCCATTTCCTTCTGTTATATGCATGCATAGATAAGATTTTAATTTGCCTTAAGACTTTCATGCCATAAAAAGTAAGAACATTGTCATTTTAGTAAAAATTACTTGAACTCTGTGTATTATTTTCATAATCCCGTCTCCCACTCCTGTATATCAGCATTTTTTCTGTATAGACCCTGTGGCTTGTATAAGTCCTGCTTTTCTATAGCTGTTTCTTGACAGCAGGATCAACCCTACTCCTGCCAGGTGCTGAAACTACTGATCTTGCCTCAGCTGAATAAAAGTTGTGGGTGCGACACCACTGCTCTGAGCTCCGCTCTGTGGAATGCTACATTTGTATTAACATGTATCTTTCTTTGTGATTTTTTTTTAACTGAAAATGATGCCCTTTAAAATCTCTTCCTGGAGAGAGAGAGAGAGAGTTGGAGAGAGAGAGAGAAAAAAAAATACACTCCCCTTGGAATTTAACCTTAATTTGAACCAAGATCGGTGAAAGAAAAGCACTTTCGTGCATTGTTCACCAGCTCCACCCAGCCAGCCCCTTATCTAACCTGCGTCTCTATTGCTTATAGCTTTGTAACTTTTGCAGTAGTAGGCTCCACATGCTCTTACATGCTTTAAAACCAGCTTGGAGACAGGGTGACACTACAATAGCAAGAAACACCTAGTGATCCTATCTTGCTAGCCCTTAGACTGTGCAGTGCAGTAACAGGGGCTGGCTTAGAAAGGGCCTAGTGAGGAGCAGGGTGAGCAAGCAGCCCTCTTAGCCCTGGCTGCTGGCAAAGGGGACAGTGGCTTCATAAGCCCTGAGCCAGCCTCTCCCTACACCCCGAAGCAGAGGATTTTAACCATTAGTAACTCTCGGTTTTAACCCAATTCCTTGTGTTGTTTTTTTTCCTCCTTTAGAGAGAAGCAGCCAACCCTTCATTTGCATGACGTCAGCTCAGGGTCAAAATTCACCTTTAAACACACACATAAAACAGCAAGCTTCCTTGTTTGCTGTTCAGAGGCGGACTTCCACTGCATGTCTCCTGTTGTCTGGATGGGGGGAACAGCCAGTGTATTGCCTTCCCATTACTTTTTGCTTCCTAGAACAGGCAGACAGCTGCTCCAGGTGTGGTCCACCTTTATGCTGTCCCCTGGCTTCCATCAGCCATCTGCTCCCTGCAGCCCTCTCATGCTCCCAGCCTCCCTCAATTTCTCCTGACTGGTAACCGCTTGGCCCACCTGCCTCTGCTCACCTTCTGCTTTATATCCCTCCCTTCCACATCCTGCTTCCTCAAGGCACTCGTTGCTCGTTATTCCCACCCCCACATCCCTCGTGCTCCACTCTTACCACTTCTCAAGGGTTTATGTGAGCCTTATGTTGCCCTTTTAGCTAAGCATTGTCCCCCTTCACCTGCAGGTAGACGTGGCACACACCTGGTGGAGGGCAGTGGGTGGTGTCACCCTGCCAGCAAAAATAAAATAAAATAAAATGTCCATCACGTGGGGAGCAAACATCTTAAAACTGAAGGCAGGAATCAGACATTCATGATAGCTGCTCGAAATAAAGACCAAATTTCGTGCAGCTCACAAGGAAAGAGAGGATGCTATTAAATGCACGAATAATTTGCCATGTATCCTCCCCTCTTTTAACAACCGCCGGCTGCTTTTCTTTCAAAGAGAAGTTTTGCGAAATGCTGTTTGTTTTTGTTTCAGGTGGACTGCAATAAAACCCTTCAAGGAAATACTGCATATAGCATTGTTCCTACTCTCCTTGAGTGTTTGAAGGACCCCTCAGAAGGAGCATGCACCGGGAGACGGGAGGGAGGAAGAAGGAAAAAAAAAAAAAAAAAACAAGAAATATCAAGGAGACACGGTTAAGCATGAATCATTTCGGTCTCTCGGTTGAACCCGAGGCAAGATCAGATTTCACATCCACCCTCGACGGGGCTGGCATTTTCACACACGCTGCAAACCCCTTGGCGTGGAGGTGCCTTCATCTCGCGGTTACTACGGGGGGGGGGGGGGGGGAGGCATTGGAGTGTATCGAAGCCAGATTTGTTTTTTTTAATTCTTGTTTGTTTGTTTTAAGAACACTGCTGATGCGAAGAACGGTTACTTGTGCTAAAAGAAACGAATGCCCAGATCGTACGGGCAGGCTGGGAGGTACCGAGGTACACCCCCGGGCAGCTGCAGCTCCCAAGTGCGGGGGTCTCCGGGGAAAAGCAGAGCCTCTGGAGCGGCTTGACTGGCAGGAGGAGGAGGAGGAGGAGGAAATCCCTCCGGCCGCTGCCCTGCGCTGACTCAGCAGCCGGGGCTGTCGGGGCGGGGGGACTCAGCCCTGGCTTTAAGGAGCAAGAAGGGCGTAGGGGGTGGGCAGGACTACAGAACAGCGGTAGGTTGGCAAGTTGTGCCACATCCCCGGCACCCCCAGTGCCCCCGCCGCCGGTGGCAGCCTGCCCCTGGGCTGGTGCGCGCCTGCAGGAAGGAGGAGGGAGAGAAGGGGGGACGGGGGGGGGAATCCCGGGGAGCCCCAGAGCCCACCCCCCCGCCCTGTTCCCGTACCTTCTTCCTCAAAAGCACCCCGCAAAGTGCTTTCTTTCCTCCCGCGAGGTGCCCTGATGTTTAGCAACACAGAAAACATTTTGTAACTTAAACCGGTGTTATTGTATTATTTTGTATACTCTTTTTTTTTCCACCTAGATCTCTGATTTTTCACGTCTCCTGCTGTGTTCATGCTGGCTCAGGCGTGATGCATGTGCCAAACCGCAAAGCCTATGGAGCACAGGTCCTTGCAGATGAGGAGAGCTTGAGCCTGCGACTTCCGTAAATTAAAGAGCTCTGTGTCTTCGTGTGTCTGTGCACTGACTGTTTTCAGAGGGTTTTAGCTGTGGTTTGCCGCTCAGTATTGAAAGGTGTTATTGACACTTACAGGAGAAAAAATGAGAATGAGATTTTTTTTTTTTTCCTTTTCATTCATTTTAAGTATAATGGTTTCTCTTTGGTTTTCCTTCTTCTATTGTGTCCCCTACTAATAGCGTGGGCACCGCCGTGGGAGGAGGACTGTTGCACTTCTCCACCGCATCGACACGTGCTCTGTGTTTGCTGCAGCCCGGAGTACCAGGCTGTTGAGAAATATTCGATCCCAAATGTATACAGTGATGGTTCTTAGACTGCCCTGGCGTAAAGAATCCACCTGGTTGAGTACAGTGACCTTGCTTCCTCCGAAATAAAGAATTTGAAAAGCAGTGACTCATTTCCATGAACGTCTTTCCTGATTAATACTGAGGTTTTTATTCTATTCCTGTATTTCTAGAATGGTGGCAATATTTATAGTGGGAACGCAATTATGCCTTAGAAAGCATGTTAATGCATATTAAAGACTTGAGTGTTACCCGAGACATAAAGGGGTTGTAAAATCTGCCAGTAGGGCAGACTGAAAGCCCCGGTCTCTCAGATTAAACATGTGCCAAAAAGTTCAGAACTACTGTGTGAAGAGCCGTCATTATCAGACAATATGTGAAAAACATCGTTTCCCTTGCTCATTTTTAGTGCACGAAATGTATCTTCATGGCATCCAGATGAGACTGTACACTTTTTCTGAGCTTTAACCATCAAAACCGGTGTTAAAAAAATGTTGCCGGGCTCTCGCCGTCCCATCCTGCCAAGTGCTGTGCACCTCCTAGAGGCACTCGGAATTGCTCTTATTTAATTAGGTCTTATTTACTTATTACATTCCGGTAACACATGGGTAGCAACACGCTCTGCAGCGGGAAAAAGCCGCGGTCGGCGCCTGGGGAGCTGCCCACCGGATCCTCGGCCCTGCGGCCGGGGCAGCAGCGGAGCTAGAGCCCGTAGCCACCCCTCAGCATTCCGAAGCAGCTCTTCGCTTTGCCTGGGGGTGTCCGGATCTCAGCTGGCTTCGTGTGGAAAGCAGGAGCGGATAAAGGACGGTTTCGGTGGGAGAAGGAGCAGTCGGACACCGCTCCCACGCAGCAGCCGGCTCTCTCTCGGCTGTCTCTGCCACCCATCTGGGTTCCCAAACGGCTTGCATTCGCACAGGCACACAAAAAGGGTTTCCCTGCATCAACCTGCATGTCCCTGACTTTCTGCGCTTGGGCGTTTGCTCGCTTCTTCAGCCTGGGAGAGCACGATCCCAGCCAGTCTCACCTTCGCAATTGCCAAAGGGCTCCAATAGGGATGAGGCAGAAAGGGTTTCCCCTTTTCGCCGGGGCGACCCCCGCTGCTACCCCTTCCCAGGGCGGCCGTGGGGACCCTCGGGACCCCCCAGGGCCCTGGACTTGAGGCCAAATTTGACAGGCGCCCGCCGCCGTTGTTTCAGGGCGGGATGAAGCCCGCGGATCGGAGTTTGGGGTCCGCACCTCGCTGGGCTTGTTTCCAAAGGGAAAAAGTTTCCCGTGGCTTCCCCTCCGCCGAAATTCCCGCAGAAGCTCAGAAATAAGGGGGGGGGGAGGTTCCCCTCGCAGCCCCCTCTGCCGCCCCGCGGATTGATGATGCTCCGTAATGCTCCTCCAGCACCACAGGGAAGGGGGATCCGTCCTAAACGTGGCTGCTGTTTCCATTTTCTATGCCTGATAGATTGCAAGGGAAAAAAAAATAACGATCAATCCAAATGAAAGTGATATTTATGGTATTTTAAATCCAATCGCCTCTGCATCTGTTTCACGGAAAATACAGCCGCGATTGGTAAAACATAAATCCACAGACCTTACTTCAACCTATGTGTTAAATCGTGGAATTTGGAAGAAAAAAAAAAAAAAAAAAAAAAAAAAAAAAAGAGGGAATTGTGTTTAATTTGGCGAGTCTCTTCTGTTTATTTTTGTTTAGCGCTGCATAGTATTACATGCAACTTTTGGCCCTGGGAGGGATGAAGGGCGGGAAGCCCTGAACTGATGTAAAACAGAAGAAATGCAGGCTACTTAATGTCTGACTGGTCCAGCGAGCTGGAGATGGTGCCATGTCCTGCTTTTTACTAGAAAGAAGTCTGGCGTGAAAGCAGGATCTTTGTTGCCTAGGAATTAAGTTGTAGCTGCTGCTTATTCCTTACCTGAACTCCTAATCCCCTGTTTGTGCTACAGCACAAAACAAATTATTTCTCGTAGACCAAAGAGCTCCCTTGTAACAATTAAAGTCTATTGTGTAAAAGCATAAATGGCGCATTGATCGTTAAGGTAAAATGACTTGTAAAAGGTAATTCTTGAAGTATGTGGTCATTTAATCTATACTTTGGAGGAGTCATTATGCACAGGGAAGAAAACTACAAACAGTAAAATGCTTAGTTAGCCAGTTAGCGTGTATGCTTTGTCTAAATAGACCTCAGCAGAAAGAAAGTGAGGTTTGCTCCTAGTTCTGGAGAAAACAAGGCATTTTGCTACTGTTTTTCCCCGGGAATATCCACATTATTCCCGATTTTTCTTTTTTAAAAATTTCTTAAACAAATAAACGCACATGCACCTCAAATAAAAATAAAACCCCAAAGCACTTCATGAGGTGGGAAATATCCTGATATCCTTGAACCTCGGACTCTGCTGAGGTCAGTGCAATCTCGGTCCACACTCATTAGGAAAAAAAAAAAAAAAAAGGAAAAAATCTACCCCCTGCCCAGGGAGTGTTTAAAAGGAGGAGTGTGGATCCACATAAACCAGTCCTGTCAAGGTCAGCTTTGTCTTGTGAAAGGAAAGGCGACAGGGTCAGCATTATTGCACATGAGGAAATCCCCACGGGGATGGAAGGGATGATCTCTCTCTCCTTCTTTCTCCCCCTTTGGCCAAGTGTCCTTCACTCGGGCAAGATTCCCAACGAAGCCGATGGGCATTGGCTTCTTCCCCTTTGGGGGACGCGCAGCAGTCACTGGGAAGTTTGGAAAGGCGAATGGGTTCCTCGGTGGGAAGGCTGCGTGTCTCCGGCGTGCAGAGAGATGCGAGAGGCAGAGGTCGCACCTCGAGCCCATCTCACTGCCCGCGCCCGCGTGTGACACGCACAAGGCCCCGCAGCCGCCCGCCCCCCTTTAAACACTCCTTGGAGTGTTTTGCTTGGCTTTGAAAATTAGCCTGTTTGGTTAACATCCGATAGAAAACATTTACGCTGGAAGCCAAACAGGCAAATATTTTAATCTCTCATATTAACACAGCGTTTTTTTCAATCGGGTGGGTTTTCTATTCCGATTATTTATTTATTTACATGCGCCTTCTTCATTCATTCGCTCCGTTCATTCATTCACTCGCTCGTTCCTTCATTCATTCATTCATTCACTCGGCCATCACTTGCCCTCCCCCGACGAGACTGGGGCCGACGGTAGCCCGGGATGAGCCCCAGGGGCGCCGACCCCCACCGGGCTTTGCTGGCCCGCCCGTCGCCCTAAGCCGTGCCGGGGCGTGTTTGGGGCTGGAGCCCCCTCCCCGAGCCCTACCGAGCGTCCCTCTGGTGCCTGCGAGCAGGCGGGGACCGCCGAGGGCCGGCGGCCCCAGGCGGGGACCCCCCCGGCCGCAGCCCTCCCTCTGCCCCGCCGGCACGGGGATAGGCTCGGGGCCGAGGCAGGGCAGGTAGAGCCGGACGGGGGCGGCCAGCGGGGCTCAGCCGGCCCGGCGAGGGAAATGTCAGGCACCTCTAACCCGGCCGGTGTCCATTCGGCCAAGCGAGGGAGGAATGCGCAGTCGGACCACCAACGTGCCTTGATCCGTACAATGCACCACTTAATACACTTCTGTAATTTAAACTGCTGGGGACCCCCTCCTTCCAAGCCGATTTTCGATATAGGTGTTTTCTCATCCCCCCCCCTTTCCCTTTGAAATGCCCCCACCCCCCTCACCCTCCCGCTCCCTTTCTTCTGAGCCCCGCTCTCTAATTCTAGATGAGTATTACTTTGCTCTTTTCGTTGGCCAAGCACAATTGTGTTATTGGAGATAATGAATTCAATCCCCATCAAAGAGTATTAGGAGCGCCTTGGCCCTGTAGTGCCTTTTTTCAAACCGGGAATGAAAGGCAGAGAGAAAATTCTCTGGGTAGCCTCCGCGATGGCAGCTTTTGAAGTGAAGGGAGGCGGGCATTGTTGTTCACATTTTTGTCCATACGGCTGAAGAAAGACCGGCGGCTTTTGATGAGAAGATGAGAACCGCCTCGTAAGTTGAGCAACAAGTTAGATGGCGAAGCCTTACCGCTGCCTACTGCCTGTGGATAACATATGTCCCGCATTAATAGGGGCTCAAGGGAACAATTGCCCGGGGGGCGGGGTGGGGGGAGCTGTGCACCGGCTAGCGGCTCCTTCCTCCCCCTTCCTCCGAACCCCGATGCCCCCATGGGGGTGTTTTTAAGGGAGACTCGAGGAGATGCTGCACGGCTCCCGGCCGGGAAGGGACTCGGGGGGTCTGGGACGGGCAGGGCGCTTCCCTCCGCTGCCAGCCCCCGGCCATACTGCCGGGGCTCCTGGGGGCTGGGGCGCGATGCTGCGCGTGTGTCTGGAGGTGAGGGCATCCCCTATTCCCAAGCAGGAATCTTTCTCTTATTTGTATTTATTTGTTTCTGCTAAACGTGGAGTCGAGACTCGGTTTTGTTGCTCTGTTTCTTCTCCCTTGCCTTTTTGAACAACTTCATAACATACCTGAAGTTCGTAAAGTATTCCTTGGATAAAACAGCCAGCCAAGGAAAAAAGGCAGAGGGAAAACATATGTTGGTCACATCAGATAACCTCAGAACTGGAAAACTTGTTGCATACATTTGAATAAGTTCAGACATGCTCTTATTCCAATCTCCTGCCCCGCGGTTCAAAGATTCCCCGCCCCGGGGGCTTTATTATGCTAAAGAGGTCATTACTGAGAGTCACTATGGAGAGATCCCGGGTTTCAGAATGAGGCCCACCTCCTGGTCACCAACATGTTTACATTTTCCGCCGGTCATAACCGGAGGAAATGTGTGTTAGCAACCTGCCGGGCAGGCTCGAGGGAAAAAAAAAAAAAAAAAAAAAAAAAAAAAAAAGGAATAAAGGGGAAAATATATTTCAGCTGCTGCGCAGTAGATCGCAAATGTAGATGATTCACCGGGGAGCACTTAGAAGCAGAGGGCACAAAGGCGGTGTTTGCCGTGGGGATGGCTGCTGCCAGCGGACCAGCCCCGGCTCCGTGCGGAGGATCCCAGCCCCGGATGGGGCTGGGGCTGGGGCTGGGACTGGGGGTGCGGGTGCGGGTGCGGGGAGAGCCCCCTGCGGAGCGTGGGCTCCCCCCGCAGCCTCCCGAGCCTCGACGGCACCCGGCACCCTGAGTGCCCCCGCCCCGGTTGATCAGGATGATCTTCCCCATGCACGACCCCGGCACCCTTTTGCTGCCGAGAGGTGTCCGCAAGCTGAAATGCAGCCTCCTGAAGTGTGCCCGGCCGGGGATGCCAACCCTCCAGAAGCCCCCGTTCTCCTCCTCCCCCCCCGGCACCGGGTGAAGGCGAAGGACGGGGTCGCAGCCCCACGATGGGTTGGACCACAGGTGGGCATGTGTCGGGCTGTCCCCGCCCGACAAGGCTCCGGAGCCCACCGGGCCCGGGCCCGCTGCCGCCCGCCCCGGTGCCGCCCCCGCAGCGCCCTGGAGCTGTCCCCGCCGTGGGGGCGTCCAAGGAGCGCCCAGGGCAGTAATAATAATAATAATAATAATAATAATAATAATAATAATAATAATAATAATAATAATAATAATAAATTCCCCATTCTCTCGGTAGCTCTCTCTTGAAATAACGAGCAGGTGTAGGAGCCTTTGATAGGAAAATTAGATTGCCAATAATAAATCAGGAGTGACAAAATAACAACGGAAACCGACGAGGAACTTCCCCTAAAACAACCCGGCTGGGCAAAACCCATCCGAGCAGTCCTCCCGCAGCAGAGGGGCCATTCCGGGAAATGATCGTTTCAATGAATTCAGCTAAATATAGGAGTTTTGGGGTGGGGGGAAGAGAGGAGACTGCGTTTATTTTTCCCTCTTAGACCCAAATGGATCCCGTCATGAGGCTACATCTGTTTTAAATCCTGATGAGTGGAGACAAAGGTGAGCGCTGGCAGTTTGATCTGTCCAAAGTTCAAAGATCTGAAATCTCAATGAGTTTCTGTTTGAGGTGAAGGGGAGAAACACAAACACCATGGCACGGCTTGGGCCAGAAAGTTGCGCGGTTCGGGAGTGAAATGCGAGGTTATTTACACTAATCTATCCTTAACTGCTACTTTGTCACAATGGGCAGAATAATTAGTAGAAAATAACCAGAGAGAACAAAGGCAGGTTTTCTTCCTATCACATCCCATTTTCCACTCTTCCATATTTTTTTTTCTCCCGCTGAAAAGACCTGCAAATCGCAGAAAATGCATATTCTATTATTATTTTTTTAGCTATTACTCTGCATTTGCTGGTAGCCAAGAAACCCGGATTTGCTTTAAGAGAAAAAATGAACCTTTTTACAATGCAGCTCTTGACGTTTAAATAATCAAACTAATTGCATTTTTATTTTAGCTATTAACCATTATCCTGTATTTCCTAACCCAATCTTGCAGCGTGGGAGTGTTGCGAGAACTTACGTCTACATTCCTTACCTCAGTCACTCTCTGTGCACTATTGTGATGTGATTTTCGCCTGGTCATTGTGTTTTGTGTGTATTTCCACTTGTCTCCCCTGGAAACAAATACATATTAATTATATATATGTTAATATATACAATATATGCATCTATACACCTCCCGAGAGAACTTTTCATCCCATGTTTATGCGAGGATAATTTTCTTCTTCACGAATTAAAATCATCACCCTGAATGCACATGAGAAGTGTATATTTATTAAGTGTCTGTTTTAAAACATTTTTTTTCAAAGCGATTAAACACGTCTAGGCACACACGTACGCCTAGATCCCGTTTTATCACAGCGGAGAAGAAATAATACAAGGTGCGTTATTATCTCACTCAAGCGTTTTATCTACAATATTGCTGTAAAATTAAAAGAAAGCCAATCGCTCTAGTTGGAGTTACAGCAAGGGAGTTCCTTTATTTCTGGTTTGTGCTGACGGACCAGTACCATTCAAGTATTCAGTATCTACTCCACAACTCGAAACAACATCTGAAGCTACGCCAAAGGCTGAAGTGTTTTCTTGCGCCGTTCTTTTACGACCTGCTTTTTATTGACTTAGTTTCTGGAGGAAAAACTGCCCGGGAAATATTTTTCCTCCTCTTCCCGTCCCGCAAATTTTAAATCAATTCCTTCCACTAACCACACACCCTGCCATCGTTTGCCGATGTAGCTGCCGGGCTTGTCCATCCAGACCCCTAAAATGAACTTCCCTTCCCGATTTTGGGTGACGGGGGCTGTTTTCATCCCATCGACTCACCCCACCTGCGGAGAGCAGGGGCCGTGCGGAGGTGCCCGGGGCCGGGGCCCCCTCCCGCCGCCCTCCCCCCCCAGTGCTGCCGGCCCCTGCCCCAGACGGGGAGCTCTATCGGCGCCCCAGATCTTCCAGTGCCTTCACGGAGAAATCCCCCGCCGCCCTGACCGGCTCCCCGCTTGGCTTTAATGACGCTAAATGAGCCGTTTTCGCTCCCTCGCACGTGGCCGGTTGGAGATAATTGCCGGGCAGGAAAAGGCGAAGTTCCCCTATAAATTGCGGCGGCGGCCGGAGGCTGCAGCCCGCCGGCTCCCCGCTTTGCCGGTGGCCTGGGGCTGAGTTCTGGCAAGGCAAAAAACCCGCATCCCCCGGCTGTTCCCCCCCCGGGCGGAGCCACCAGTCCGGCTGGAAGGAGATGCTCGTAAGCTCCCCTCTGAACGTTACGGGGCGGGGGGGGGGATATTCTCCTTTTCTATGGAGCCCACTTCCACCCTTGCTTTGCACCGGGGTATTCGTGAGCACGGGATTAAGGCCGGGCAGCTTGGAGCTGGGCAGAAAACAGGGGACGTTTCTTCCCCCTGTTGACTTCCAACGTGCTTTTTGCGACGACCCGCATCCCTGCTGTGTCAGGGAGTCACTGCCCGCCTCGGCCACCATGTACCCGCACCAAGAAAAAGAAAGAATATGGCCTGGGTGGCGGCGGGGCACACGCTGTATCCGTGACAGGCTCCGCTCCTTATCTCTGAGAGGTTTGGAGCCGCGCTGGTCCGCTTAAACCCTTTTACTGCCCACGCCCCGAATATTTCCATTACACACGGTCTGTGCTCCTCAGCTGATATGTGAGACCTGCTGCCTTATCGCTGGCGGTCGATTGATATTTTCTGTGTACAAGCCTAAGGCATTAAATCAATGTCTCCGCTCCGAAGTGGCATATTCTCTATAGGCTAGTCTGTGGGAGACAAGCGAAGTCCTGCTGAAAACGGGCTTCGTCCTGCCTTGATTTCGCACGAAGCTCCTTTTGGCAGAAAAAGTGGGACTTTAAATAGCATCCACCTGCCTGAACTTGGTGCTGAGCTACCTGGAGCTGCCCCTGGCTTCGGGGAATTTGGTATTGTTGGGTGGCTCACAAAAGGCAGCGGGCAAAGGGGCTGAGCCCAGAGGTTCTGGCAAAAGCTCCTGTTCCCAACACGCTGTCGGACCCACCCGCGGCGGGGTCCTCGATCCATGTCTCCGCCGACCGAGTGCCCCCACGCCACAAAATGCCGGAGCCGGCAGCGCCGTGTCCTCGATCCTGCCACCCACACCGAAGGTGAGCCCCCACGGCAGAGGGGCTCTAAAATATTTTTTCAATATTTTTTTTTTTCTCGGTAGCAGCTTTGGAGGAATTCTGTTAGTTTGTGAGATTACCATGTGGTTGGCTTGGCTTTTCTTTTTTCTCCCACACTTAAATTTAGTTTGTCGCCGCTGTCCCTAACCCGTCAGGGGGGCAATTATGTGCTAATTACGGGAATTACACGGGCCTTTTATCCGGCCGTCTTGCACGAAGGGGGCTGAGCACGGTGAAATCTGTTCCCGTTTAAACCCCTCCCGACGATGCCTTGCTGGGGAGCAGCGCTCGCCAGCCGCCCTTAGCGGTGTCAGGCTGAGGCTCGGAGGCAGGACCTGGGCTCGGCCTTCCGTTCCCGGGGAAGTGGTGTCTCATCCCAGCCTCCTCGGGGCGAGAAAGAAACTAAAAGAAAAAAGGCAGCACCGCCCGCACTCACAACGCCCCGCGATAAAAAACGCGCGCACGCCGGCGCAACCTGCGCGCCCCGCGCAGCGCTGGTCCCATCCTCCCGCAGCCACCCTGCCGGCCCCTCCGCGCCAGCTCCGCTGTGCAAACCGCTCCTCTTCGCAGTCCCCCTTCAGGGCTCCCTTTGCTTTTATCGCAAGTGGCTCTTCTGCCCGGCTCCCGCCCCATAAATTTGGAAAGAAATTGGCAGAAGTCGTTCCTTGTTAACATTTGATTTATTTAAAGTCCTTAACTGCAAATGATCAAAAACATACTTCACGCGTTAAATTCTCAGTTATCGTTTTAAATCAAAATATTTTTTTCAATTACAATCACATTTATAAAATTAACAAAATTTCTTAAATTCACTTGTAATTCTTTTTACTGTCATTTAAAGCAATTTCCAGCTGTAAAGAAAGAAAAAAAAATATAAACCATGCAATAAATTAAGAACATTGAGACAGCGAACAGGAATAATAATAAAACCCGTCTGGCTATGCTAACACCGTGTAAAACTGTGGAAAGTGCATTAACACTGGATGAAACAAGCTAACGATGGCGATAATTAAACGGCCACAAAAAAAAAAAAAAAAAAAGGTAAAAAGGTGTGGAATTTATTAAACAATTCGGAAAAGGAGAGAGAGAACGAGCTCTCCTCTTTTCCTCTTTTCCTTTCGTTTAAAAGTCAGCGTTTCCTGGGGGAGAGGGGAAATAACCTTGTTTTACGTACATAGCCCTAGCTGGTACACAATGAAGAGACACTGAAATTAAATAAGCATGTCATCCACATGTTGACGAGAGTTCCTGATGAACGAGAATCTTCAGTAACAGATGGGAAGAAAAAAAACCATCCAACTGGTTGTGACCTCTTGTAACTTTATATTACATCCCAAGACAGGTAACACTTGGAAAAAAAAATAAGAATAAGGGTCGTATCCTGCACTCCAAAGCTCCAGTTGGTCCCCTCGGGAGTGCAGGATCCGGCCCGCAGCATCTGGGTGTATGCGGGTTGTACTAGCCGAAGGTTTATTTTGCAAGTATCAAAAGGATGATCCGAGAAAGTAAATAGTCCTCTTGTTGCTTAGAGATTCTCTTAGTGTTTTGCTACTTCACAGCAGTATTGTCCTTCAAAGCCTTTTTAATTAAAAAAAGCCTTAAACATCTACTCGCTTCTTCATCTCCGTATTGTTAAAGTATTGCCACATACCTGTAAACTTACATGAGATTATAGAGCACAGAAGGGGGGGATGAGGGGGCGGAAAGCACAAACAAGTAGTTTACAAGCTCAACATTTTTTTTCTTCTTTTTAATAACACCCTGCAAAGGCTACGGGGATCTCGGGGGACCGAGGCCGGCGGGCGGGGGGCGAGGGCGGGTATGTACAATAGGGAGGCGGCCGGCTTTGCAGGAGGTCGTGTTGGATAATAACAGCACACGACGCGTCGGGAGACAACCAGAAAGTAACAGTCCTGTGCACGCAGCGTGCGGGAACACCTCGGGGGGTCACAGCTCGAGGGAACGGGGGATGGAACCCGAAGGGGAGCGGGGCGCGGGGTGCAGAGCTACGAGGTGTTTAGCACGGGTCTGGAATACACACCTTGGTAGTAGGAGGGCTCCAGGGCCGAGGGCTCGATGCTGCTCCGGCCCGCCATGGAGGCGCTGCCCAGGGGCAGCCCGCCGGAGATGCCGGCCCCGTAGGAGGAATATTGCAGCGCCTGCTCGTAGGCTTTGAAGTCCAGCTTGTGCTGCTGCTCCGAGGAGGACATGAGGTTGTTGATAGAAAAGGGGTGGTTGAAGGAGTAGTGGGGATCCCCTTTGAGGTGGAGCTGGGGTTCGTGGGCTAAGGAGTGAGGGGGGTGCGGGACGGAGGCCAAGGCGGGGACGGAGCTGATGGTGGAGGAGGCGGCCGAGGCCGAGGTCTTTAGCTCCGTGCTCGATCCGCTGTGGTCCATGGACGAGGGGCTGGTGGACGGGTTGGAGCTGGAGAGGGAGGTGGCGGTGTCCAGCTGCGCCGTTTTGCTGTGGCCTCTGTGCAGGGGGGAGTTGGAGCTGGAGCTGGAGGCCCCGGCCTGATCTTTCCTGCCCTCCTGGGGGGCTTTGCTGTTCGCCGGCTTCTCGCACTTGAAGCGCTTTTGCCGGCGGAGGTAGCAGCCGTTCTCAAACATGTTGCCGGAGTCGGGGTGCAGGGTCCAGTAGGAGCCCTTGCCGGGCTTGTCGGGGGAACGGGCCACCTTGACGAAGCAGTCGTTGAAGGACAGCGAGTGGCGAATGCTGTTCTGCCAGCGCTGCTGGTTCTGCCGGTAGTAGGGGAAGAGGTCCATGATCCACTGGTAGATTTCGCTCAGCGTCAGCATCTTGCTGGGCGCCTGCTGGATGGCCATGGTGATGAGGGAGATGTAGGAGTAGGGCGGCTTGGCATGGGGATAGCTCCGTTTGAACGTCTTGGCGTCCCGCGTCCTGCCCAGGTTGGACTGCGTGTAGGCCATGGGGCTCATGCAGGGGTTCATGCTGCTGTAGGGGCTCAGCCCGTTCATGGGGGCGGGCTGGGCCGACATGGCGTTGATGCCGCCGGGGCTCAGCGCCGTGCCCATGGCGGCCACGCCGGCCGGCATGCCGTTCACCGGCCCCGCCGAGCCCGCCGGCATCCCGGCCACGGCACCGGGGCTTAGCCCGGCTCCCAGCCCTGTGTTGGCGTAGGACATGTTGAAGGAGCCGGAGGTCATGTTGCCGCTGGTCGTCATGGTGTTCATGGTCATGTAGGTGTTCATGGTGTTCATGGAGCCCAGCCCCGAGTTCATGTTGCTCACGGGCACCGAGGAATAGGCCTAGGGCAGCCAGACGGAGAGAGGGGGTTAGGAGGGAGAGGAGGGGCAGCCCCCGCAGCCCCTGACCCGCCGGGGCCGATTCCCGCCCGCCCGTCCCCGCCGCCCGGCACCGCGGGAGCGCTGCCCCGGCTCCCCTCGGAAAGGCCGCTTGCGGGATGAAAAGGCCAATTCATATTTAGGCGTGCCTATAAATAAATACACGCGGGCACACGCCGCCGTTTTCCCGGCCCGCCGAGCCTCGGCCGGGCAGCGCCGACCGCGACCCGCCCGGGGCAGCTCCGCGCCCCGCACGCTGCGGCTCTGCCTGCCCCGGGAGGAGCTCGCCTCCCTTTCTTCCCCGAGGTCCTGTAAATTTTGGAGTCCGATGGGTTAGCAGAACATTTAAAGCCATCTGATTATTGAAGCTGACGGGTGCACGACGTGCCAAGGAGAGATATATCTGCCTGCCCTTTCTCAGAATAACCTTGCTCATCTCTCCCCTCGCACTGATTTAAATCGCTACACTAGGTGTGACAGCATCTTGTCACAAATTAAATGAAAATAAAAATATTTATAAAAAACCGACAGCTCATGTCCTCACATTTCACGTACGGAAAGGTAAAACGTGCTTCCTCTTTGAACGCATTTGCTAAAAAGTCAGTCTAGGAAGTTTTTTGTTTTTTTTTAAAGAATTAAAAATAAAGAAAACACAACGCAATTTCTCCATAGTATAAACAGCCTGAGCTTTCCCTGCCTGTGATTTTCTGCAATCGTCCAACGTGCAAAAATTGTAGAGCTCTACTACTGAACACAACTCTTACAAAATGCAGAACCTTCGAGCCTGGAAATGTGCTTTCCAGTACGGCAGCTGATGAACAGGAGGGAGAAAGACGTTGCAAGATGTATTCCCAGTTTCCCTCGAACAAAAGCAATAGAGGTAAGGGAAGGATGTTCAGCGACGGTTAAATGTCACTGTAAAAATCGCTGTTATTCACTATAGATTCCACGAGCTTTATAAATGCGGTTTTAATTTAGAGGATCACGGTAATTATTGGCGAGGATACAGCGCGGATGGGTTTTCCACCTTGCATCCGTGTAGTGATTCAAATTAAATAGCACGGGAGGAGAAAAGATAGAGGCTAAAAAATAGCAAAAGGGAAGGTCGCTTAACTTTATGTTCGTGGATAATGAGCATGGCGAGGATAAATGACTGTGGAAACGATACATAATTAGGATGACCCTTATTTGCCCTTAGCCGGCTTCCCTCTATTAAACAAGGTGCCAGCAGGGTGACACGTATCTGCGTGTGCCCGCGTGGCCCTATGGGTGCTGGGTGCAAGCCTCGGGGTGCAGGGACGAGGCGTGGGGACTGTGCAGCCGTGTGTCCGGGTGTGCTGATGCAATGCCTGTGCGCGCACACCTAGGTGCCTGGTTTGCTACCACACTTCCTTAAAACGGCTCCTGCCCGGCCAGCGATACGGGGGGGGTTCTGGTGGTGCTGCCGAGCGCTGGCTTCTCCCGGGGACCCGGGCAGAGCCGCACCGGCACGGTGTAAAACCAGGGCCCCCACAAGGCCGGGCTGTACCCGGGGGCGCTTCCGTGGCCCACTCCCCGGCTGCGTTTGGGCCGCTGCTCCCCTTCTCTTGCACCGCGCTGGAAAACAGCCGGGGGCCGGGGCCACCTCCCGGGACGCCGCGGGCCGGCTGGGGGCGGCCGGGCCAGGCCGGGCCGGGGCCGGGGCCGGGGCCGGGGGCCGGGGCCCGGGGCCCCCTCCCGGTGCGGGGAGCCGGGGCCCTCTCTCCGCAGCGCCGCCAGCCGGCCCGCGGCAGCAGCGCACACCGCAGGCGAGCCGTCTTGAAAAGTACGAACAAACGGCTATTTAATTATTTATTTATTCTTTCTTTTCCTTGTTTTTTCCTTTTTTTTTTTTTTTTTTTTCCTCCCGGCTTTACCAGGTGAGGACCCCAGCGGGGGGCTCCGGGCCTCGCGGGGGGAAGGCGCTGCCCGCGCCTCGGGGCGCGCCCCGCTCCCCGCCGCTGCCATATGCCGGGGGCCGGCAGCGCGGCGAGTCCCTGCCTCGAGCCCGGAGTTTTCGGGGCGCTTTTGTGCCCGCCCGGAGCGGAGATCGAGCCTTTCGGGGGAGCTCAAGGGTTGCCCCCGGCCTCCTCCAGAGGGCTCGCAACCGCCCCGGTTCTCCCTCAAGCGCCTCCAGGCCGGGTGGATTTCCTCGGGGAAGCCTGGCCGGTTTCAGCGTTGGAGGGGAGAGGCACGTTTGCGCTGGCCGGAGTGCAAAGCGATTCCCGCGGCCGCTGCCCCCCTCCGGACCCCCAGACCTCCCTCCGGCCCCCCTTCTCCCTCGCAGAGGGCAGCAGTGGAGCCACAGCCTGGGATTTACTCACCTCCTGAGTGTCGGCGTAGTAGCTGTTCCAGTCGCTGGTTTCATGCCCTTCCATTTTCACAGTCCCTAACATTATGGAGCCAACCTGCCCGGTGTAACCATCCAGCCCTCTTGCAAGCGAGCGACGGGCAGCAGGAAAAGAGCCCGAAAGCCCGACCTAGCAGGAAGCCAGCTCCCAGGAGAGGCGGAGGGTGTTCAAATCTCCTCTATAACAAGCCAAAAATAAGGCAGGGAGCGGTGTGGGGCGAGACAGTTGAGAAAGTGAGGAAGTGCCGGCTGGGATGTGAGTGGAGTTGAGCTGATGTGGATCTTACGTCGCAGAAGTACCCACCTCCTCCTCCTCCTCTCCCCATTTGTCCGCCGCACAAAGGCGTTCGCACCTACAAAGCCGGAGATGCACCTGCAAACAAGGCAGTTCCCCTCGCCTGCAACTCCCCCCGGGGCGGCACTTTATTTGCAAAGCAGCGTAATTGGTTTAAGCTTGCGGGAAAAGAAGAAGAGACGGAGGTGGGAGAGGGGAAAGAGAGTAGGAAAGGGGGGGAGGATCCCACCCCTTTCAGATGGACAGAACAAATGCTAGGAGGGATCGCTGGAAATGAAACGAGGCAGATAAGGGAAGGGCAGCCCCCTCTGTTTGAATAGAATGCAAAAGGCCATCCAGCCTTAAACCCCCGAGATTAGGGGCAATATTTACTAAAGTCCGGTAGATGCTCCTTTAACTCGATGGCCGGGACGTGCTCCAAAGTCCCAAGCCCCGCAGTCAAACACGCTCCCCCCGCTTCCCTCCCCCCCCCCATTCAAAGCTAGGCACGGCGCAGGTGCTTCTGCGCCCCCCGCCCCTGCCGCGGCGCCCCCCGCTCTGCGCTGCGGGCGGCCGGCAGCGCCTCGGAGCCCTCCGTGGGTTGCACGGAGCCTCGGACCCCCCCCCCCCCCCCCCTTGGGCTGCCCGGAGCCCTTCAAACGGGGCTGCCGCTCTAGGGCTACGGTGATGGTGATGGTGTTTCTTTCTTGGTGTCTTGCATTTAGAAACCCCGTGAGTCACGGCGCAGAGACACAACACTACAGACACCCAGTGCATACGGACAGAGGCTTGAATGCGGATTCACCGAGGTTAACCTCCACTTGGCAAACATCAGGTGAGTCACTGGAATCGTTTAGTATCTTTACTAAGGAAAGCCTTCAGGCCAGAAGACTACTTGGGAAGCCTTCTCTGGTGCCAGGCACCCAGGAGCAGCAATTAGAAGTAGCAGCTATCCCCTTACCAATTTCTCGCTCCTCACCTTGATTTCTTGAAAGGAAGAGGGGAGGAGGAATCTGCGTGGGCTGGAGGGCAAAAAGGGACAACAGCGATAAAACAAATCGACGTTGGAAAAAGCTCCTTAAAATATGGATGTAGGGAATCGCTCAGTCTTTGCAGACGGATCTAACATACCCTTGTTGTGTTCCTACCCTGCCCGGCTCTTTGAGTTTATGTCAAGACCAGAGACTTTTCTTGGGTTTCTAGTCTTGATCTTTTTCTCACCCAGTTACTTTTTTTTCACCTGATAACAAATAAATAAATAAATCCAGAAATGAAAATAATAAATACCCCCACCTACAAAATCAACCAACCAAATCAACCAAATAAACAACATCCCCCCATCCCTGGCTATCCGGGGAATAGAAATTTGGAAGGGAAATACAATTTATTGGGATTTTGAAAAACTTTGGCGTATCATATCATGCAAAGTAAAATACACAGCTGGGTCTGAATTTCTCCCTTGCATGTTTATTGTCCAGTAAGATAGCAATTACTCCACACTGATTTGTTCTCCAGCGATCTGCGAAAACGTCACCGTCAGTCACGATTTTTTGAAAAAAAAAAAAAAAAAAAAAAAAAGTTTCTTATACAGAGGAACCAGGGATTAAAATGACGAGATATAGGTTATATAAATGAGTTTTCTGTTATCCCTTTCTTTGTTCTTTCTCCCCTCGTCCTTCTTTCTTTAAATCTGGCAACAGAATTAAGTCAAATTATTGAAACAAACAGAGCTCTGGAATCAGCAGACAAGAACAGGGGATGAAAATATGTCTTGAAGGAAATAAAATGATGATAAAATAAATAAATAAATAAAAGTACTGAGTTAAACCCTACTTTTCCAAGTGGTCAACCTACACAAACGCAAATTGGAGCAAAACCTAGAGGAAAATCTAAGTGATGCTAAAATTGCGGTCTTTACGTATGCACCCTCCCTCTTTCCCCAGTGGGAACAGTCCATACGCCTGAACACAGAGCTCCTATACTCGTTTAATTCGGTGCTTAAGTCTGCTCGGGAGCCTCCCAGAAGAACAGACGCCTCCGGCGAGGCTGGGAGGGGTTCACCAGCCCCAGTGCCCCGCCGGCGGTGCCTCCCCGCCGTGTGACCTCGGGGCGGTGCTGCCCCGCTTCCCAGGGCACAGCCCCGCGGGAGCAACACCCGCCGGGCCGTCGGGCAGCCCACGCAGGGCTCGCTGCGTACCTGGAAAAAGAGCAGGCACGAACCCGACGGGCGGCACGCTCCTCGGATGCCGGTACAAAACGCGGGGCCGTTTGGCTGGAACCGCCCCCGAGGCGTAGAGGGCACCAGGTCCCGCTCCTGGCTGACCGTGCCGGGCCGTGCCATGCCGGGCCGGGCGTTGCGCAAAGCCGCAGCGCCTCCTGTTGTCCAGCTGCGGCTCCGGGCTCTGTGCCCTGTTCCTAACGTTGCTCCCGGAGGTGAGCGCACAGGCGGGCTCCTGTCTGTAATCTTCTTAGAGAGCGTTTCGGTTCGTTGTGCAGATCGGTAAGCCCGAGGCAGAGTTAGCCGCTGCTGGAAATTCCCTTCAGCCCAGGCTGCTGTGCTGTGGCCCCGGCAGCTGAATGCTTTCCTTGTGTGAAGCAGCGCATCAGACGGGTATGCCCGTGACCATGGGAAACGAGGGGATTTCGGTAGTTCCCCTCGGCCCGCTCCTCCGTGCCTGCGAAGCCCTATCTGGGATGCTCGGAGAGTCCGGCGCAACTGGTCCGTGCCCTTTGCAGCAGCCTCAGAGGCACGGAAAGGGCTCTGCTAGGATGCAGGACGCGTGGTACCGAGCAGGAGCTCTTCGGGCTTGCGCCTTTCTAGATTTCGGGACGGGAACCGTGGCCCGGTTTGCACGGAGCCTTTCTCCAGATCTCGTTAGAGCACCACTTTCTCATCACTTCATGCACCGTTTTCCCCCATGTTTATTTATTTATTATTTATTATGGGGAGCTACTTGTTCACCCTGGAGAAACGCGCAGGCGAGCTGTATTTTCACTCTTTAAACGAGAGCAGGGTCTCGGCTCCTGGCTCCACCGGTGCACTGCCAAGGGGGGAAACACGATACCTGTCCTAAAAGAGGGGAGCGTGCGCACACACATGTCTGTGGGAGTGGGTGTCGGGGCTTGGCTCACCCACGGGTGCCCAGAAGCAGCCCTGGCAGCAAGGGCTCGGCCCTGCCGTGCCGGGACCACTCAGCAGCCGGCCGCTTTTTGGGACGCGCATGGCCTCTTTTGGGGACGCGCGTAGACAAGAGTCCCTCTCCCGTGGGAAGGGGATCCCCGGCCACGCCGCGGGGACCAAAACCCACGCGGGGACCGCCGGTGCCCCTTGTCCAGCGCTGTTCGGGAGCGCCGCCCGCAGGTACTGTCCCACGCGTGGGGCGGGCGAAGGATGGAGCTGGCGGGGGCTTTAACTGTACCTCCGGGGGATGAGGCAGCGCTATTTTAATCTGCTCCTGCCTAAGAACCACTTGTCCTCTGGAAGAGGCAGCGCCCGCTGGCCAGCTCCTCGGTTTGACTCGCAGGGTTTATTTAATTTTATCCAGATGCCGTCGCCCAAGGGCTGGGGATCTGTCGGCAGTGTTTGTGTGGGGCAGGGCTCTACCTCGGAAAGAGGCTGCCAGGCTGTCTCTGCATCAGGATGCCTCCCTTGCTCCTCACTCTACAGCCGCCCTTTCATTTCTCCGTCTCTGCCTCCCGCAGAGACCCAGCTCCCCCATCCCTCCCGGCGGTGGGAACCCCCCGGGGGCTCCACCTGTTGCCGACCCCAAATCCTCCCCACCCACGCGGGCAAACAGGAACCGCGTGGGAACCTTGCCGATACCCGCAACCGGGATAGGTACCGCCCACCGCCCTCTGCCTCCCCGCTGCTCTTCGTCTCCTTCATCCTCCCTCCGGGGCTCAAGGAGGCTGCGGAGCCTCCGGGGGCCCAATCCTGCCGGGCCCGAACCGTCGGGGCAGCGGGGGCGCTCCCACGCGTGTCTGGGGGCTTGCTCCCGGTGTGCGTTTTACGGGCACCCTACGAGGCCCCGGGGACGTTGCACAGCTCGTGCAGAGGCAACTTTCTGCTGCCACACTTTGTTTTACTTTATTTTATTTGTCTTCGTTACCTATTATTATTATTTACTTTATCTCATTTAATCTAATTTATTTTTATTTATCATTTTCTTTTTAATTTTAATATAATTCATTACAATTCATTGCATTTCTTTTTTTTTTTTTTTTTTCTGTGCATCATTCAGCACACAAGTAGACATGAAAGACCTGAGAGACATTCCTGACATAAAATAAATACATACCTCCATCTCTGAAAATACATATCCGACCAATTAAAGGAGAAAGAAGGACAAATAACGAAATGAAAAGCTACAAATAAGCTAGTGTCCGACGGTGGCAGAGATCAGAGTAAGAAAGCAGTTTACTTTTTCTTTATTGTAAAAAAATAGCTCCTTAAGTAGATAAATCATGATCCAGTGTATACAGTCACTTCATTTTTGCTAATCGGGTAGATGTGAGTATGTTGTTTGCAGAACTTCAGCTGGTAGGATGCTCACAGTGCAGTATGTGATTGGCAAAGTCTGTCTTACTTTACATAAAAATAAATGCTTTTGACATTTCACACAATTCAAGATCAGCCGTGTAGGTATGTATTTCATTTATTGGGTGCATTATTTATGTTATGATTTACTGAAACATAAATGGCAATTCTTCCGACGTGTGTTTCAATCACTGTGTCAGTTCTGATGCAATTGCTCTACGTTTTTGAAAGTTTTCTTTGTTTTAAGTGTGCTCTGTTTCTGAGCTGAGAAAGGCTTCATCGACTGCTGTCTGTCCTTTCTTTTCTATTTTCTTTCTTTTTTCTTTTTTTCTTTTTTTTTTTTTTTCCAACAGTACCTGTTCATTGAAAAAAAAGGTATTTCCACTCCTCATGAATCTGACTTCTCCAAAACCTGCAGTGAGTTCTCTGTGAGAACATCTGTTTTACTGATGCAAGCCAAAGATCCATCCCTGTATTGGTCAAGCGATGCAGAGCTGATCAGCTCCTTGGGATATTCATGTCAATATAAACACACCCGTTCTTCTGCAAACTGACCTTTCTAAGCAGAAGGTTGAGCTGGCAACTTGGATTTTGTGTGGTGTAGAGTGTAGAAATGCTACTCTTCTATCACTGCATAGTACCATGTTTTCATTTTTTTTTTTTTTTTTGCCCTGATTTCCCTTACCTGTACAAAATATTCATTCTCCTCTGTCTCTACAGCAGTTTTACAGAAAAGCATGGGAGAGACTAGTATCCATCATAACTCTTTCTCAGCTGGCTTCAGTTCTGAAAAATCAAATGTACAAAATCAAGGCTGGCTTATTTAAAGTCTTCCCCAGGGAGCAGTTCCACAGCTTTACCCAGCTTGCAGTTCCTAGAGCACAAATGAATTCAGGCTGTGTTAACTGCACATTTTCTTGAGCTGTATTAATACGGACACTCAGCATTGTGGGATGTGTGGCAGTGTGATCACTCATATAGAAACACTTTGGCCATTTATACCATCAGGGGACATACACTAACCTGCACATAGAAAAAAATGATATTTACCCTGGAAAAGGATGTCTGGAGGCCCTATGTAACACATACCATAGTTTTACATTGAAATGTGAGAATGTGAGTGTCAACTGGTAATACCCTAAAATTATAAGCAAGACACATAAAATAGGACAGTCAACTCGCATCTATGGGAAAGTAGAGGAAGGTCTGGATTCAGTAACATTTTAGGACTCCTCAGGGGCAGCAGCTGTTCAGTAGTTTGGAGAGTGGTTGGCTCTCCCAGCAGTTGGCCTGAGCTTCTGCTGCTCCTTCAAGCATTTCAAGGGTAATTCTTCCTGCTGAGCAGATTTGAAGAGAATGACATCAGGAAGGTCACTTAGCTCACCATGAGCCTTCCGTTCCGCCTTCATGTGAGCTCACTTCTCTTTGCAACTACTGGTGAGACAAGGAAGAGGCAGGGCTAGGCAGATTTCATTCATTCCTCCTCCACCCTTCCCCAGTGAACAAGGAAGCTGCCTAAATGTTTCTGAAGTGCATGTGGTTTCAGGGTTACTCCTTTTTAGGTAGCAACTTAAGGTGGGATGGTTGGGAAGTAAGCCAACACTGCTTTCCTTCATGTCCTCCGAATGAGAGAAATTCTGTCTTCCAGCCCAACAGTTTCATAGTTGGATCAGGTGGCTTTCTTACTACCTGTTGAACATTGAATCTTTAGCTCTTTTTCAGGAACCACTTGTTTTATGCCAGAAATCCTGTAAATCTTTTCTAACCTTACCCTACAACACAACTGAAACTTCAGCTTTTGCAGACACCTCTCCTCACCCCTCGCAGGACATTTCCTTTTGCTGAAGAAACTAAGCAGATGTAAAGATTTTTCTTGTGATTAAATAGGATTTCATTGTCCTTCAATACTGACACTTCATCTGTAAAACCTGAGGAGAACTCTTCAACTGTGAGATCTAAAAGCACACATGCATTGCATATAGATAGATAGATAGATAGATAGATAGATAGATAGATAGATACACACACACATTCACTGTCAAGTTGTTGTCCTAAGTGTAAAAAGGGTTGGGGTAGAATAAGGGTCTGGAAAATCTGTTTTCTAGTATTAACTGAAAGACAATAGAGAACAAAGATAACATGATCAAGTTTTAAATCTAAAGCTAGTAAAGGGCTGAGCCCAGCAAAGATTTTGGCAGGTGTCTAGCTGTAATTTCTTGATTTATTGCTTACAACCTTTTTTAAAGCCAGGAGTGTCTCTGACCTTGTGCCCATAATAAAGGCTGTGTGTGATAGGCTTCTAGAAGTTACTCATGTAAGTTTTCTTGAGTTGTATAATGAAATGGCACATAACTGAAAATATTGCAGTCTCATCATACCAAAAAATAAACCTGAAATTCAAGATCACTCAAGATGACCCAATTTTCTCATTTCAGATATGGTTGAGAATGAAAAAGCTCCATCTTGTTTCTATTTTTTTGTTGGCTTTTATTTTGAATTATAAAGGAAACACCATTATCTAAATAATGTCTTTCATTTGGTGGTTTGGGGGGAGGTGCAAAGCAAAGCTCAAAACCATAGGAGGAAAAATTTTAGCTATTTTTTCTGACGTAGTACTGGCAAGTACAAATATCTCACAATCACAACAGAGATTAGTAGGGGCCGGGTGTGCATCAAGGAGAGGATATAGTGATTAGAAGAATGACAATACTTTCAATGCTCACAGAAGGATTGAATATATGATTTATAATACTAATTCTGCAAAACCTTTCTATTGCTGCTTACTGCACAAGGGATTCAATACGGATTGATCTGTGAATAATAACAATAAAAAAGTGTTTGCTTCACCTCAGCTGTATCAAACCCTTGCAGTTAACCAAAAAGCTTTTCAGTGCTGACACTGTCTGATTTGTTTGTGTGCCACATCCTCAGAGACCATACCTCACAGATCAGCATTTTAACTTATAATTGTTTGATTTTCTGTGAGTCTTTATGGCCATTTTACACATATATGTGACAGAAACATTAAACAAAGATGTTGATCCCCTAAAAAGCAAGTAGTAACATGTAGTCTGAGGATACATACCTTTGATTTTTTATTTACTAACAGTCAGAAATATAGTCTGTTATGGATCTGCCACTAGTTCTAATGTGAGACTTTAAAAAGTTATTAATACTCTTTGTGTTCTCTTTGTGGTCTCTGAAATGGAATAATGCCTGGGCATCATGGCAAAACCATATTTGTAAATGTGTTGTTATCCTTACAGAATTGTTGCACTGCTGAATACTGCACTGCAAGTGTAGTCCCATTTTGAGGCAAGGTAGACAAGCACTTTGGCTGTAGCATGCCAAAAGGGAGAGATCAGAACCCCTCAGCAGGTCTTCTGGGGATTTAGACATTTTCCAAGTGAAAAGATTTTCACAGCCAGCTGGAAAAGAATGCCAAGGTGAAGCTTAGTCTGTAGTTGCTATTTAGGTGTAAGCTGCAGAAGATCTAGCAAGGTAGCTCTGCCCTTAGTTTTATTTTCCTTTAAGTGATTGCTATTTAGCTTTCCAGGGACTCTTTCTGGCATTGCTGGACAAGCCATAGCAGGTTGTGCATATGTCATATTCACTCTGCTGTCCTGATTTGCAATTGTCTAGACTGAGGTAGCTATTGGAGAACACCATAACTCCTCCTGACTGTGTGCTTACTTCCTTCTGAGGCCTGGGGGGGAATATGTGCATCTAAATCTCACTGCAGCATGAACTTGGATCATGGCGATGATGTGCACCAGGGGTGAGACTTCCTACATGGTGTGGACTCAAACAATTTAGGAGAAAATAAGCTGCATTTGAAGACTTTCTCTAACCAAATGAACTGTTTTTTAAATAATCACTTTTTCTCCTAAATTGAAAAAGAAAAAAAAAAAGAATAAAAAGAAAGAAAAAAACCCTTCTTTATAACATTAATAGACTAATAACCTGGATGGTACAATTTATATGATATTAGAAAGCTTAGTGATCTGGTGAGGCCTAATTAAGAAAAATAATAATGTGTACCTAGGGACTAAACTTGCACAAGATTTTCCAAATCTAGATCCATTTGCTCAGTATAAGGATTCATCTACTGATTAAATTTTGGACTTTGCAAGCTACAGAGATGAGGCTTAACCTGTTTAACTAAATACTTAATATTAATAAAAACCAACCTCCTGGCTTCAAGCAGCACTGTGAACATTTAGAGATGGGGAACATACTAATAGTACCTGGGGAATGGAGAAAAAGGTTTCCCTGTATCCCTGTGTACTAGAGATAGTTGTCATCTCTGCAGCTCAAGCTGAAATTCTAGAGGATATTGGCAACACTTACTCCTGGAATGACTGCTAATCAGAGTGTGTGGCTTTGCAGGGGAAATAGCATTTAGGATTTAACTTGTCAACAGCTACCCTTGGGTGCTAACTTCCTTTGCTACAAGACTGAGAACCTCAATGTTGTGGAACAGGAAACATATCTGAACTACAGTTTGAACCTTTCAACCTTTCTTGCAACCTAAATGTGTTCTTCTGGAGCCAGTCCCTGCTTCACTACAAGCTGAGCTGGTGGACCACAGATACAGTAAGATAACACAGCACACTCATTTTCCCGCAGGACACCATCATTTTACCAATGTCTAAGGATTTTTCCTCCTTCCTAACTTTTTTTTTTTTTTTTTTTTTTTTTTTATGCAAATACTTGCCATTCAGCATCTCCTTATGGGAACTTCCTGATGCAAATACCTCTTCACATGCAGGGCTTTTTCTTCCATGCCCCACTGTGACTCCTGCAGAGAGGAGTTGTTCTCAGTAAACTAAATTGTCAAGGCTTCACTGACTGTGTAATTAGTTTGAAATGAATCTGCTCTCTAGACTTACATCTGCATTAGCCTGTTGATAGGATTCGTCTTCAATGGGGGAATCAAACACTTCCATGCTTGTTTGGAACTGCTCTAATGGCTTGGACAGCTAATGGGAATCCTTCCACACAGAACAGCTACTTCCTATCCCACCAACTGCTCCTCCAACTATTCTAGTATTGCTACTAGAGAGAGGAAGAAGCCAACTAGACACAAAATAGACAGGCTTCCTAGGGTGTATTACAAGGCTTTAATCAGTTATCTGATTATGTACTACAACAAGAAGAAATCCTACTATTAATTTGGTTTTAATGTGACTGGCTAGTGAGTTTTTAATCTTTATCAAGTCCTGAGTTCCTTTAGGAAGCTAAAAGTGGGCTGTCTAGCCTAGTGCATGGGGCATTGTCTGCAGGAAGTACACTGGCCACCCCCTTGGACTCCAGCAATACAATTAGGTTGGAAAAAAGCTACAAAGCTGTAGCTGAAAGCTACAAAGAAAGGAGAGGATAATAGAAGGCACTTGCTTGTTGGATCCTTCTAATCAGCTGTGTGGCTTATTTGAATCCAACATATGCAGTTAGTCACTACAGTCCCTTATTATTACACAAGTGGTTGGTGATCCAAACTGAAGGAAAAGAAAAAAGAAAAAGAAAATGAAAAAGATTTTATTTTTTTTTACACACCATAAAAGGCATAAATGGATTGTTAGCTTAATTTGAGAAGTGTTGCAGCCCAGGGATTCCTGGAAAGCAGTCAGTATTTTGTGTTTAGACTAGATGATCTTTAAAGGTGCTTTCCAACCTAAATCATTCTATGATTCTATGAATCTCATTTTTCCCCTTTCCTGCTATGAGCTGCTTCCCTTGTTCTGCACAACCAACCCCCTGCGCAACTGAGTTGATGCAACCTTGTAGGTTTGTGCTGTGTTTCTTGTGATAGCCCTCCTGGCAGACCCACATTGACTTTTCACATTTTCTTTTAATTTTTGTGTTCAGATTTTATTATATTTCCCCCCCGACGTTTAAGGACCTTTGGTGTGTGTCGCCACCCCACCAACTCCTCTCAGTGAACTCGTTTCAGCCCTCGCGCTCATCTTAGCTCTGTGAAGCCGGTCAGTTTGTGGAGCCTGTCCTGTTGCGGACAATCCCTGGTGTTTTAAATAAAAGAAAAGTGTATTGGTGACAACAAACCAGACAAACGCAGCTGGCTTTGGCTTTTGTTTCCAAGCCGATCCTTTGACGATTAATTAGGAAAATCATCCGGACACTTAGGGAAAACGCGTGTGTGACTGTGCTCAAGAGGGCAGCCCTGCTGGACACACCGAGCACCAGCAGCGCCGCCCTTACCGCGGGCAGACCCGCGGAGGGCAGCTCCCAGAGCCGCGCCCCACGCTAACACCGCACGGCCGGTGCTGCGGGGCCGAGCTCGGGGCCCTCCGGCCGGCAGAGGGGGCGCTCGGCCCCTCGCCCCCCCGCCTGGAGCCCGGTTGCGCAGTTACGGAGCGCGTCCGTGCCCCGCCCGCCCGCCCGCTCAAGAGGGAGCGGCGGCGGCAGCGGCGGCTTCGTGGCCGGGCAGCCGTGAGGGGAGCGGCGCGGGGGCAGCCGCCTGGGTGTGGGCGTGGGGTCTGTCAGGCCGGTGTGTCCTGCTGGGAGGTCCTTTTGTGAGGGGGGAGAGAGGCCCTCTGTCTGCCCCAGGGTGAGAAGCCGGGCTTGTGGGGGTCTGAGGTCACTTGTTTTTGCAAGGAGAAGGCTGCTGTAGCCCCTTCGGGTGGGCACCGAGACGCAGTCTGTCTCAGTTCTTCAGCTGGCAGCTTCTGGGTGGCTTCCAGTGTGTGATCCCAAAGGTTGAAACAATTTGGCTTTTTCCTTAGAATGGTAGAAACTTTTGCTGCTATCCAATTATATGCCTTCAGTCTTATTGAAAATTTAGTGAAGTTGTCTTTGAAAGCTTGGGTTCTGTGTTGTAAAGTATAAAAGCTCGTTTCTCTTTGAATTTACAGGCTGCATGCAGCAGGAGAGAATTGCTAGAAAACACAAGCACTTTGGGCTGTTATCTGGAGGAGCTGAGTATGATTAAGGAACATGAGACTATGTGCAGGGAATCTCAGCAGGACAGTCTGAAGATCAAACGAGCGATAGTTACAGTTCCTAGAAGCATGAGCATTTAGCTCTTATTGGAAGATTTAGCACATCAGATCAATCGCGTTGTTTAAGAACATTATCCTCTCCAGAGGTCAGAGTCCACAGAAGCCTGTCATGCATATAAATAAAAATATTACTAATTAATTCATTGGCTGTTCTGAAGTTCACAGAATGTAAGGATATCTTTTGAAGTAAGAGAAATGAAAAAACAAACTCCTCATCTCAGGGTAATGACTCACAGAAATACATCTGTGGAAGAAGGCAGTGATGACGTAAATCCAAGTTCCTCTGAAAAAGTTAGCAAAGAAAATGCCACATGTAGTCATGAAAGTCGTGTTGTAAAACTGCCTGTAATAGCATCATTTGCAGGTACCACTAAAAAAGTCGTCATGGTTAAGCACCCAGCACCACTTCAGAATCCAAGTTACTGCAGGTCTAATCTTCACACTAGTAATTCCCCTGAGTCATTAGGAAAGACAAAAGCTGTTAGTAAAGTAAAGGATAGAGTGCATATACTAAAGATGAATCCCCAAATTATAGAAAGGGATAGAACTGAAGAAATAGGCACTGTGTTTAAAGATAGTGGTAAGTTTAGCTCTACGGATTTGGATACAAATAAAAACATTTCCAGGAAGGAAAAAACAACCAGGGAAAGCTGTAAGAAGGGGAGCAAAGCGATTTCAAAAGCAAAGCAGCAAGATTTAAATGTTGAATCAGGACGAGTGCTGAGAAAAGGAAGCAAGCAGCCAAGTGTGAGGTCTGCTCGAGAACAGTTGGAAGAGGCACGAGATGTGACTAGACCAGACACTTCAAAAATATACGAGAACTTCCAGCAGAGCAAACCTGAAGAGCCTACTTCCACACCAGCATTGCCTGTGAACGTGGTTGCAAGGTCTGTTGATGAAATAACTGCTTCCCTGCAGTCTACTTCTCCATCTCCCTCAGACCAGACGATCAAAGAACTCCTGGAGAGTGTTCTTGGCCAGAAATACAACTTAAAAATGGAAGTAGGTGAACCAGAACAAGAGCAATATTTTTGTCTTGGATAAATATTACTTTTATAAGAGTTGTATATTTTTTTTCCAGCTCCTACAATGTGTTATAACACAGAAGCCAGACAAAACAAATGGATAAAAACACTAATGTATCATATTCTTCACTGTTTCTTCTGACTGTTGTTTTCATGTGCCTTAAATGAAAATGAGCCAATATAAAAATCTATTAAAACCTAAGCTCTTTTTGGGGTGATAATTGTGTTATACTGCTTACAGTTTAATATAACTTTTTCTTTACTTTCTTTTCCCTTTTTTTTAAGATGGCATATTCCAGTCTAAGTGATGAAGGAGTGTGTTAAATGTATCCAGAATGTTGTTGGAAGTGTTACTCATTTCAGTTATTGTTTGGTTGTGAAGTCTTAAGAAGGCAAATTCTGCATTATCACAGTTATGTAGATTGTATAGGCTGTTTGTAGTTAGAGTGCCTTCAATTACGGCAAGAGATATCAGTAATACATCAGGTAACATCATGTAGATGGTACAGAACACTTTCTTGATTTTCACCAGAGGGTTGTTTCATTTGTTGACTAGACTAGTAACTTACTTGCAGGTGGATTTTTCACTTCTCTGAGCAAGAGTGATGGTTTTATTCTAGTTCCACAAAAGCTGAAGCTCATGTCCCCAAAATTGCTATCGCATCTGATATTCATGCTTGCATTTGTTAGGGGTGCCCTAAGATGAGTAGACCCATGGCAGATGAACTACTCCTTTTAAGAAGTAACTGCCTCTTCAGGGAAGTATGGAAGGCTGATGCATGTGTTTTAGGAAATGATAGCAAACATTGTTTCCTGCAACTACCAAAATACTACCTCTATTACCAAAAAGTATCTCATATAGAATGTTAGACAAGTGTAGTACCTTACATTCCTTTAATGTTAGATTCAAAAGTTAGGACAAAAAATAATTCCAAACTGAGTTAATATAAATAAGTCCATGAGCAGCAATGGCCTGAAACTGCATTTTCAGTAGATTTACGTCCTCAGATTTAATTTACTACTGTTCTGAGAGCTGTCTGTGTGGGTGAAGCACTCGTGTCTTTCCCACTCTCCTACGCCCTACCCCTGCTGTATATGTTTTATGCTATACAATTGGGATTGAAATCAGAGTTGCCTTTCCTTAGGGTGGCAGCATTGATACGGTCCCTCTTCATTGCTTTACTCTTATTTTAGGAATGTGATAATTTGGGACTGTTCTCTTTTTGTTAAGCCTGGTTGAAATTTGCCAGTTGGTTACAAAAATACCTCAGGGGAGATGGGAAAGGAAAAGGACTAAAGAAGATCTCAGACCTGTAAAACCATTTCTTGTTCAACTTACCAAAAATAATTAGTAGTATTTAGTAACGTGTGCTGCATCTTACTCTTTTATTAACATGTGTTATGTGTTCTAGATAAGATTTTCAAAGTCTGGCTTCTAGCAGGCCTTAATGGTCTTGATCAGAGGTGAACTGATTCTCTATTGTTTGTAGTGGGAGCTACTGGGCTATGAATTTGGAAATGGCCTCTGGAGTACTGTGATGTCTAAAACATATCAATCAAGTTCAAAGTAAAATGAAAATCTAGATTTGGTGATGACTTTCTGGTCTGGTTGTTTAATGTTTTTGTAGATATGGACATATGGAAATTAGTGAGGATGAATGACACTCTTACTGATCACACCTTTTTAATCAAAGGCATTTGCAGCGGGTGTCTTTTGAACTTAAGTGACCTTATCAATAGGATGAAGACTCTAGCAATTTTTTATTATTATTATGTGTGGTTTATTTGCTTTAGACTGAGCTTCAAGACTTGTCTTCTCTAATGAAATAAGAAATGTATTATTTTAAATGAAATAGAAATACCTAGGAAAAGAACAGAACTACTAAAATGAAAACAAGCTCTCAGAATTAAATGTGATTTTCATTCCTTAAAAAAAAAAAATATTCTGTTCACTTTATCGTATTCTTGCCTTTGAATTAGTGACTGGTTATCATTGATAATTTATGCTATTGCTGTGGGGACTGAACACTGATTTTCTCACAGCATTAAAAAGAGTATTACCTGGGGAATGGGATGCCAGCTCGGTGGGACATTAGTACTTAGCCCAATTTGCACTGGCAGAAATCAGAATAATGATTCCTGCTTATTATATCAGAATATAATTTCTAATGTCTGGAATAATTTTGTTGCCTCAGGGCCTGTTGCTACCCCTGAAGTACCATAAGTTACCAAGCTATATGCTGGATTTAGTATCCATAGGAGGATGTTTATATTCATTCCAGAAATGCATTTTCTTAGTGTTCAGCTTTCTTGGTGATGAGCCTGCAGCTCATCATCTTTAGTTGGTTTATTTTCAGCAGATCCATTCTTGGTACCTCAGATGAGCTTGTGAGAAAAATGTGCGTTCTAGAAAAAAAGAATCAATTTAGAATGTGTCTATTAAACAGGGACTATACAGTGTACCATACCATCAGCAAGCCAATGTAAAATATACATCCTTTTTAAAAAACATCTCTCACTCTTCAGGTACTCCCAATTGTGAGTGAAACCTTGAGGAGGTGTTCTCAGTAATGGTTTAATACACTTTCAAAAGTAGTTGCGTGGAGTCTAATTATTTTTAATGTTCAGCTAGAGAATGCTTGTTTGTGTTTTTCTCATAACTACAAGAAAATATAAACAAGTATTTGCTCATCACTTTACAATGTCTTATTTAGTATTTGCTGTATATGTTCCTTACATTTCAGTTGATGTTAAAATTATACAATAGATCATGTATTACTTTCTGATAAAACAATATTTTTAGGAGGTTTACTGAAAATATATTTTTTTCCTTTTAAGTGCTATAAGGTATATTCTAATTTTCACAGAAATGAACAAGACATTTCAATTTGTTACACTTAGATCTCTTTAAAAGTAGCTGAATCAAGACCATGATGCTTTTTATTATGAATTTGATACTATATCATTGATTGTGTAACCACATATTATTGGTTATGCTCTATAAGTTTAATCACAGTAGAGGAGACATGGCGCTTCCTGCTGTTGTCTGAAGGGAGTCAGTCTTCAGGAGTGGATATTACCAGTCCTGGATACATTATTTTTATTATTATTTTTCTGGAATAACTAACTTGTATTACTTCTAGTTTATTATTATTATTATTATTATTATTATTATTATTATTATTATTATTATTATATACTGTTTTTGTGATGTTACAAGAAGCAGCCTGGTGAGACACATATGGTATACAAGTGTGGACTTATGAAATCTAATCTGTTTATCTTTTCAAAAGTACTAATACAAATAACTAATTAAAAATAATCCAGTTGTACAATTATTACCACGTCTTGTAAAAATGCTGCAGGTTTCATGGGGCAAGGACTGTCTTTTTTACCCTGAAGTCTAAAAAATAAATAAATGGGAGAGTAGTCCTTATTTAGGCCAGTGAGATGCTGCTGAAAGAGAACAAACTGATTTTAATCAGTTTAATCGGGATGTAAATTATTAGAAAAAAAAATGCTGAAAAAAAATCTGAATTTTATGTATGTCAAGACTCTCAATGCCTCCTTTCAGCAACAAAGGACCAAAGACATATCAAAATGACTGAAAATGTTAAAATAGTTTCTCATGAATTATGAAGGTGCTCAGGTACCTAAATAATTTCCTACAAGGGAAGCAGGAAGGCTATGGCTAGTAAAACTGTTTTTTAAAAGGCACAATAGAATTTTCCATCACAGGGTAAAATATCAGAGCAAGAAGAATCAGCAGAATGTTTGAGAATGGATCCACAAGAATTAAGGGTTGCCACAAGTCTCAACACTTTTATTTCCCAAAGTTAGATCAAATCCCTTTGGCCTAGTTTTTGTTAATACAAACAGACAGCCCATAGTACATATATACACAGTACACATCATTTTATTAAAATAACACAACAGCATTGTGCCTGCAATTCTCCCATGGGGAGTGAACAAAAGAGAAAACACCACACCCAACAAAGGAAAGCAGTCACATAACATGTGCAGATGTCGAACATGGCATGAAGTTATTGTTTGTTCACATAATTCTGTTGATTTTGACAGAACAGAGAAATTAATACATAGCATTGTAATTTATATATTCTGTCAGAGTTTTGAAACAAGTTCATCAAGTCATTAGTCCATAGTAATCACTACATTTGAAAGGGTGCACATGTTGTAAAGAGGAAGATTATTTAGTATGGCTTGGGAAGATAGTGCTGAATCTGTTTATTTTATTCTGAGGTGTTACTGCATTCCCAATGGTGATGAAAAGAATATGTACTATGATTGTTTTTTTCTTAATCTGTCATTTCTGTCAAAGGTAGATTAATTGGTAAGGGTTTGGTTAAAAACAAACCATCAATGTGAGAGTATGCTTATTACCCAGTTTGTTAAAATGCAATTTAATTTGATGTGAAAAAAATCCTAAGCATTAAAAAAAATAATGAATAGATTCTTAGATTGCTAGGTGAACAATGTAATAAAAATCTACTGTGTGGAAGATTCTTACATTAAAAGAGCAAATGAACACTTCCAACACCAGCAAAAGTTTTTCTCATGAAGTGACAGGCTGTTTCCAACACATACTCAGCTGACAGTTTTGATGGAGCTGTGCATTGACTTGTCGCTCTGAAATATTTTTCTCCACTGTATTTCAAATTTCTGTGGTAATTTTAAAGAACTGTGTTCTAAAATGAAATAAACTTTATTTTTGATACTTCTGCCTGTTACTGTTATCTTTAAAATGTGGTTCATCAAACCAGTATATGTCATGGAGTATAAAGTATGTGTGTGCTGAGTATGTACATGTATACTACTCAGGTGCTTAGAAAACACACTCCCCTTAAACTACTACCTCTTTAGAGGTGCTGGATTTTATTTCTGTCATTAGGTGTTTTATTTTCCTAATTTTAATTTTATTTTTTATTTTTTCTCCTGTGGAGAAAATGATTAACTGAAAATTGCACTCAGCTTTTAAAGTTTACTACGACAGGCAATTTCATGGAGAAGTTACTTATAGTAAAGAGTTAAGCATGGGTGCAAATGTTTGCAGAAGATGAGCCTGAGATTGTCTCTGTATGTACTTTCAAAGTAATGTTCTGTATGTTGCTTTCAAAGTAATATATGTAGTAAAGACCCAGCCTTTAATTCATGCATATATATTATTTTGATGTTTTGTTCTGTAAGGTAGTATGCATAACAACATATATATGTTTTTTCTCTTATACAGCAGGTACTGGTTGAACATAAGGAAATAAAAACTGAATCTCAAGATAGCAAAGAAGTCCTGCCAAGTTTTCACCAAGCAAGCCTGGTAACATTCTATATTATCTAGGAATGTTAAAATATAATAAGTTAATTGTGTTTCTATTTACTTGCAGAGTTGTTGAGATAGGTAGTTCATATTTTAAACTGATAAAACAGGAAAGGAAATGCAATAGTGCTTGAAACCATTTTGGTACTTCATAAATGACAAATATATATCTATTTTTCTGTCTTTCCCTTTTGTGTCTCTTGTTCATTCATTTTCTTCCAGGGTTCGATTCTTCAGCTACTGGATATACAGAATTTCACTAATATTAAATAGAATGAGGACTAGGGCAATGGGCTTACAAGACATTCATCTATATTTATATATATTAACGCCCATCATTCTATGCCTTGCATTCAAATTGTTTTAAAATTTTAAATATTTAAACTTAAGTATGTTTGGGGGATTTGCTTAATGTTTAGAGGTGTTAATGACTTATTTGCTTTAAAGGACTGTAGATCTGTTGATGTCCATTTCTACTGTATGTTTCTTCTTACATTTTGGTAGTGTAATTTGTAGAAGAAACAGACTAAGATAAGAAATCTGTACAAATATTATTATTTAGTGTTAATCATTGTAAGTTGAGTGTTACTGTATTTATTTTTGAAAATCCTTTTAGTGATTGAGGAAATATTTGGTTTAAGATAAATTTGATACAGTGTTCTAGGTTATTCATAAATTACATGGTCAATGAAAATAATTGCCCATAAGAAATATTGTGCTGAATTATTTGTAAGGAAGCACAAAAGTGTTTTTGAAAAAATATTGTATGCTCACCTCTTAAATGGATTTTCTCTTTCGCTCAAAAGACACCAGTTGTTCAAAAAGAACCTCAAGCAGTTCAATCTCAGCCTACAGAAGAGAGATTAACAAGTAATAATCAGGTGAAACAGGTAAGCAGGTTTAGTACCCTTGTGAGATAGTATTAGTGTTTTTATGCTTTAGAGCATACAGGGATTTGCAAGATGTTTTTGTAGCACCTGCCTTTTAAAAGAAGACTCTTCTATAAAACAGGTCTCCATACTGGTCTTGCAGCTTAAGGTTAGAGGGAAAAAAAATAAATTAAGGTTCATTCGGTCAGATGTTGGGTTAGGCTTCTCATTATGAGATTGGGAAGAAGATTACAGGTGAAACAACATATAAATAGAATTCTCATCTACATTTAACAACTGTGTGCCTTCCTGGAAAATGGCATAATGCTCAATATCCTTTTAGTTTTGCGATATTTCATGCATGACAAAAGCTGCCATTAGGATATTGACCCTATAAAGCTTTTTAGTAGAGAACTCATTAAGTTTATAAAGACAGTATCGTAGAGAACAAATAAGATTCTAAAACAAAACAGAAAAAAAGTTTTTTTCCCATACATTGTCAGTTTCCAGCATTCTGATATTTTGAGGATACAACTAGACCATTCGAATGAAGCTTTAACATGGCTCTTTCTGCAGCTTCAATATTAATGATTACTTTTCTCTAAAATTATTACACATGCTAAATGTATTACATGAAGAGCAACCAAGACTGGGGTATGTTTCCTCTAGGCAGTTTTATGTGCAGAAATACCAGATAGCCATGGCTTAAACTTAAATAAATGAGATGAGCACAAATTTGGATAAGATACCTGGAAAGACAAATGCAGTTATTGAAATAAGGGGATAAAAGAACAAAATGGAAAGAGGACAAGAGCAACAGAAGTGGAATGCTTGTTGATAGTAATATTATTGGACAGTAGGTTGTTTCAAGGTCTAGTCATAGTAAGACAGATGTAGTCAAAATGAGAAACCTAAGAATATCTAAGACCCTTATGTCAGCTGCTTCTTCGTCTCTTCTCATCAACTGTAGTTTGGCCCTGATGGCCTCTTGTCAAGCTGCATGGAGAAATGCATAGAAGAGAGGTAGACGTGTCTCTAGGATTTCAGAGCATTACTGACCAGATTTCCTAATCAGTTTTGGGATAGCTAAGAACACAAGATGCACACAGCTTTCCCTGCACACAGCTAAGGTGTCCACCACAGTCTCAGCTCTGAGTTTTTCCTGTATGGTCTGTTTCATGGAAAATACAAGATTGCAGAACTTTGGCTCGTGTTTTTAAAATACTAGCTACTGTAATTTTAATTTTTATAGTTTCCATTAGCCATGTTGGTGTCTTACATATTGAAAAATTTTGTTGAGTATCTTCTGTTACCTCTTCTGTTACTTCTGATATCATTTACGTGTTCCTTCTCCCCCTCCCCCCCCCCCCCCAAATTATTTGAGTATCAACATTCCAGAACATTTAATGGCAATACATTCAATAAGGTTACTTTTTTTTTTTTTATTGGTCAAGAGGTCATGACATTCATTTACTTGACATTCACATAGAACATAGAAATAGAACAAATAGAACGGAGTCTTATACTTGGCTCATTTTAATATTCTAAGGTAGATTAGTACTTCCAAATGTTTCTATATTCCTTATTTTTGTTAGCCTATTTTCTTTATGTGAAATTTGGATCAGTTTCCAGTTTCTCTGGTAAACATTAAATATCTGATTTTGTTCCTTCAAATTGTTTCATATATATGCTAATATAAACAGTGGTGTTGGTTTCAAAAATAAAACAATAGATCAAACCATTCTAATTTTGGGCTCTTCAATCAATTGAAGATAATTATCTTTCACAGTTCTTCATTTGCTGATTTATATATTTGTTTATGAACTGCAAGCTTCCATATTTTTTCATGTAGTGATCTCTTCTAAGAACTTAAATATTGCTGAAGTTATCAGTAAACATAGACAGTGTGGCTATTTATGTTCTGGGATAAATAAAATATATGAGTGGACAAAGAAGAATAAAATTCCATACTTTTTTGTGATTCTATTAACCAGATACGTGATTGAAAAATCTTAGTTAGAAAGGCATTTGGTCTCTATAGTTGTATTCTTTGAGTAAGGGTGGCTACTTTAGTTATTACCATGGTATATCAAGAAGATATCAAGTTATTATGGGATATCATGAAGACCTGGGCAAAAAAAAAAAAAAAAGAGGACTTTTCATATTGACATTTTTTTCAAGACAAAGCACTTTACAAGTAATTTTCTGTGCTGCGTTGTTATGTTTCTGTCTTTTATTGTTATTATAGTGTTTCATTATTATTATTATTTTTATTGAACCTGCTTTACTATGTTATATATGTAAGGCTTTAAGTGGAATTCAGAAGAATACTTTTCATCAATGGCATTGATGTAAGTATGTTTTATGAAAACGTTTAACAGTTTGCAGGAAACAGAACTGTGGAATGGTTGAGATTGGGAGGGTCTTCCAGAGGTCATCACAGTATGGGAAAATGAGCACATTCTGAAGCTGGGTTTTATGAAACAGATGCAGATGCTTTGGGAGCAGTGATAAGATGTTCCTTTTCCTTGCCTTTTGCTCTTGTTCCTGAACTCCAGTGAGTCGCCGTCTGACGTTTGTATGTAGGGAAACTCTACAAAGGGAATCAGAGATCTGGATTAATTTCTGCCTTCTCCCTGCACTATTTTTTTTTTTTTCTATAACTAAGTTTTTTTAACATGGATCAGTTATCTGAGCTGTTTCACAGTGTGAAAGAACAATTTTTGGCACAGCTAAGCAGGTGGTGCTTTAATAAATAGGAACGAGCAGCTGTGGGAGGAAACAGTAGGAATTCCTCATCTGCATATTGCTGCTGAAGTTTCTGAAAAAATGTAGTCTTGAAGAAACTTTTCTAAAAGCATCATCTTTTAAAGCATCATCTTTATCTGCTTTAATTTGCATAAAGATAGAACAAGTTTTAGATGCACTCATGTACTTCTAAATTTAGTAGTTCTGAATAGTGGTATTATAATTTTGATGTTATTTTGATTATTCTCTCTTTAATAAACTTACTTTTTTTCATCTTATAAACTATTCAGAAATGCAGTTTAGGTAGGGCACACTGAAAATTTCCTTAATAGCACGTTTCTGCATATATTAATAGCTGTGGGTGTTTTTGTGATCTGCTCAGTAATAGCAGTTCTAAACTACTCTAGTCTGACTGAATTTTGTTCTCTGATGGCCAAAGTTGCTTATGTGCCATCGCTCCTTTTTTGTCAGATTAGCTATGATAATATTCATGTAACTTACTGGTTTATAACACTATGTTTATCTTCTGTTGTGAATGTTGTAGGCTCCATCTGCAGATACGCTACAGGTGGAAGGAAAAGCAATATCAAAAATTAAACCAGTTGAAATTCAGAAAGAGCTACAAGAGGAACACAACTTGCAACAGTCTTTGTCTTTCCTGTCCACTCATGCTTCAAATGTCAAGTAATTTTTTAGTCTTCCTTCATTACAATGAAAATAATATTAGAAATGTATTAAGTTATCAATGCATAGCATGATAGATAAGTATGGAGAAGAAATAATACACCCCCCCCCCCAAATTTGGATCTGAACACTTGCAATTTTATGCAAGTTCTGATTTAACTATCAATTTTAGTTTGGTATCTCTAGTTTTAGTTTGCTGCTTATCTCCTCGAAATAGTACTGATTTACAGTTTTTAAAGTCTAGAAGGCACGTTCTTTGCTGCTGTATGCCAATGAAACTTCTCGACTGCAGCGGAGGCTGAAGTTGCTTATGTGGGGGTTGAATTTGTCCGTATAATTCCAAGCATAATCTAATCAAAATAATTAAAAACAAACAATGGAAAATACCACAAATTTAATATAAGCAATGCCAGCTGTAAGTCATCATCTTTAAATAGAGAAGATGTATTAAAAATTCATTAACTTGAATTTGTATTACAGTCGGAGCTTGTATGAAATTCAGGAGATTTTACAGAGCTGTAATTTAAGGACAACTGCTTATTACCTTGCTCTTGTCATAGGTGGCATCTGTCATTCTGTAGGAGTGCAGATTACAAAAGTAGTATAGCCCGTGTCCTAATTTAACTGATCCTGTCCATCCCATGCCAAGTGAGACTCTTCAGTTTTATGGTCTTCCCTACTAATAAGATCTTTATGGCTGGCTTTGTTTGGATGTACCATAAGTTGCTTCCTCACTTTTCTCTTTACTGAGGTTAAAAAAAAAAAAAAAAAAAAAAAAGCGGGGGGGGGGGAGGGTCGGGGGGAGCAGCTTTAATTATTAGCTTTTGTTGTTCTTAGGGTCCTGAAAGGTCTATTGGATACAGAAGAGAGCCTTTTTATGGCAGGCCTGAAGTTTGTAAATGGATAATACTTTCAATTAAGTAGCTGAGAATAGTCATGGGAAAAGAATGCTTAAGTTTATGAAACAGTCAAATTGGCATTTAAGTGACCCTTTGCATGCCATTGCTTATCTGCATTGCTTAAAGATCATTTGGTTAGCAAGATTATATATTAAAACAAATAGTGACAACAGACAATGAGTGTTTTACCTTCAATAAATACTTACTGTCAGATTATCAATGGTGCAGAAACTGCATGATTTTCTAAAAAACCCGTATTTAGTGCATTAAGTAAAGGTAATGTAGGCCACACACATAGTATTGTTTCTTCATGTCCCCTTTTTCAACGAATGATAAATAGCCTGTTTTAGGAGACTGTGTGCTGTAAAAACATTCACCTTTACCTGCAGCATGCCCTAAATATTTTAGTTTACATTGATAAAACATTCAGTCATTTCATTCAATGAAACGATAAACTTCTATACAAGAACAGTAATGATACTGCAATTAAAGTAACATTCAAACTGTTTTAATTTATTTAAAATAAATTACAAGATCTTTGAGAAAAAGCTCCTAGGTGATTTTAAAACCATTGTGCCCACCTTTGTTTACAGAAAACTCCAACCATTTTAAGTTCAAAATTGTTTGCCTATTCTTATTTTTATTTGCATGGTTATTGCATTGCAGAGAAAGTGAACTGTGTTAGAACATCCTGAGGTAAAATACCACATATATTTGTGGAGATCATGTACTCTTCAGTTAAAAAAGCAGTGAGATTTTTTTTTCTAATTTGAAATTACTATGGTCTGTTTATTAAAACATTGATCTCGGCTTTCACACTGAAACAGTTGCTTATTTTCTTCTGTGCTGTAAAATGAATGAAATGACTTCTAAAATAACCTGTCCTTCTCATCAAACAGGGTTGTTGTAAGTGTGCCTTAAATGCTAATCAGTCTTGTGTGATGTGTTGTTTGAGTAGCTTTTCAAACTGGATATTTAATTTTTAGGTTTAACGACCAGATTTTATTTCATAAGCTTGATCCTGTTCTCGTTCAGAAAAAAAATGCCACAAATCTGAGTAGAGGTATTAGTAGATTATAAAATCTGGTGCAAATGTCTTGTTGAACCCTGAAGTGAGTAGTCTCTTTTATATATGTTATTTCTATATATCACATATAATTATCACATATTATGGCTTGACAAAAATATTTTAAGTACTTTTTAAAAAAATTATTTATTAGAATAAACAGACTTTCATTGGCATTCTTATTTGTGTTGCATTGTCAAGTGCCTGTAAATTTAAGGACTCAAATTGCTTTAACATAACAGAGATATATCTGGTATCACTACTTGATATGATGAATTCTTAATTGTGAGTCAAATTCGTGCTATATTGCATTGATTTTCTTTTATTTTTTATTTTTTTGACTTTACATATGTGATTTTTGTTTTACTTTTTTGCTGTCACTATTTTTTAGGAAAAGTAAGTAATATATATTTTTTGGTAACTTGAATATGTATTGCATGATTAGATTTGTCTTGTGTTTTTATCTTTATTTAGTAGTTCTTAACAACTTCCACTTTTGTAATATCTCTTTATAATACAAGGCATAGTTCTCAGTAAAAGAAGCCAGTTGTGAGCGACATTGCCTTAGAATAACCTCAGAAAAAAAAAAAAAAAAACAACAGTTAAACCTGAAAACTATTCAGTATGATTTCAAAGTGGAATTATTTTCATTTAAGATTTTCTCTTAAAATATGAAGGTATTTATGAACTTTAATTGAAAGTAGCATTTATTTGTGGAGTCATTTCTGATCTTTTGCATATCAGACATTTTCCATATACTGCTTTTTACGTTGTAACTGTCGGCACCTTAGACATTCATTAACTTTTTAGAGTTCATACAGTAGCTGGAGACTGTTTTTAGAACTTGATCCATGGCCTGTGGAAGTCAATAGACTTTCATCACCTTCAGCACAACTTAGATTGGAGGGTTAAATGGTAGAATTTTTTAGTTATTAACTTTTCAAAGATAGTCAAAGACATCGTGTTTTACGTATAATCAACAGATGAATTGAAATGCTAGGAAAATGTTCAAGTGATAGCATATCATAAAACTAATTCAGAGTTTTAAGGGTGTTTACAAGGTACTCTGTCATGAGAAAGAATGTGCAGATGAATGTATAAATAACATTTTAACATAACATTTATTCACATGCCCAATTTAAGCTATAAATCTACATTACTTAGTTGGTTACAATTTTCAATGCAGCAAGTGAAAGATCCACTTAAGTTGGAAAGTAGAAGTGCTACTACTGTAGTTATCTTCTAAAAAATAAAATTATTACCAAAATTTTTGCTTTCACGACCTGTGTTTTTTTCCCCTTTTCGCTAAATAATTATATTTCTAGTAGAAATTATCAGGCAGTTTTTCCAGGTGTTTATATGAACAATTTATATCCTGTGATCTGTTATGTCATGATCTAGTATGAGATAAATCATATACTTTTACAATACAGAGAATGGATATTAAGATTCTTGATTTTTTTTTTTTCCTTTCTAGAGGTCAACATTATCCAAGCATTCATCATCTATGTACTGCTTTTCCTGGTTTTACATTACCTCCATATTTACAATTGGCTTCTAGAATTTATCATACTTTCGACAGAAAAGGTCACAATATCTTGTTTACAGCAGAGGACATGGACAATAAGCAAGAAGAACCAATCTGCTCCAAATATATTTATTTGAAAGAGCAAGCTGAAAGGAAGAGGTATGAATTTAATGTCAGTTTTACTATAATTTAATTTATTTTGTAAATTAATTATATGTTGAGAATTTGGTGGTGTTTCACTATTTAGTGGTTTCACAGAAGTGGCAAATATATGTATTATTTTTTCCCTTGCTTGGTAGAAGTGCCTAAAGATAACTAGTCCAAAGGTCCTAAAAGGTTTGTCTTGCTTAGAATGTAAAATGTGCTTTTTTTTTTGTTTGTTTTCAAGAATAAATTGCATTTTTTAGACACATTCTAAGTTACATGTCACAATTTATTATAAATATATGAATTTTTATACTTCATTCTAATCAGAAGAGATCCTACTGAAATCACAAGAAATGCTGAACAAATAGAGTAGTTGTTTTTTTTTTTTTTTTTTTTTTTGTGAATGTAAAATGTTACAGGAGTAAAAGGCTTAAAGTGTGCAGTCGCTAGCCTTTTATCATAGAGACAGTCTTACATAAATCCTGATTCTACAAGCAGTTAGGAACAAACATAATTTTAAGTAATTGTGTGTAGTTCTGTTGAGTTCAACACATACACAAAGTTAAGCACATATAAAACTGGGACTTTGGATAGACTTATAGTCAATAGTACTTATTGTATATGTAAGAGTAGTTATTTTTTCTGAGGTTGATGTAGCATATGAAGAGGTCTGTCAAAAAAAAAAAAAAAAGTTCTGTAAGAAGTAGTGAGGAAATGTTAGTCTTTAGAATAAACTTACTTTTATCCAGTTATTGCATTAGCACTTGTTATATTTGATGGTAGTAAATTCCTAGACCTTTGGTTTTTTGAACATGTTTTACACTAAAATAATGTGAAATAAGACTAAGAAATGGACATGAAGAATATTCATTTTTCACCAACTATTATTTCAGTTATATTTTTGCCTTTTTTTTTGTGCCTATGTAATAAGGTCAAAGATTTTAGAAATAGTCTTTATATTCTCAGGTTTTTCCTGATGATTTTGTAGACTGGCAGTTTGCTACTTATAGTTAATGTGCATCACTAAGTCCAGAAATATAAAAATATTGCTCATAAAGTTTGTATTGATCTAAAGAATAGTACAGTGGTAAATAAGGATGGGTCAGTTTTACAGGGCAATTTATGTAGCTTGTTAACTTGGGTTCCCTTGAAAAGCATGCATTTTAGTGCAGCAAGGTCATAAGGATAAGAATAGGGAATAGGGGTCATCCTTTGTAGAACTGGAGGTTGTATCCTGAAAAGCAGTAACTCTGAAAAGGAGCTTTGCACTCTTGAAAGATAAGGAACTGAAGATGGGCTATGTAATACTCTCAAAACTGTAAATTAAGCATGTTTACCTTAAAATGAAGGATGTGAGACATGATCAATAAAATAGAAGAAGTTTTGGGATTAGAAATATTGTAGAGCTTTTTTGCTACATGTAAGTGCTGTAATAACTAAAACAGTCATGCCACCACTTGTTTTCTCTCCTGGCTGCATGACTTCTGCATTCTTTTCTGCTCAACAGAACCACTTCCTGTACCCAGAATGGTCAAATAATGTAATGGTGAGTGAGGTTTGAATCCTCAGATAAGCAATGAATTCTCATTTCCTGGCTCTGGTGCTTCATAGCAAATTATCATAAAGAGGTAGAAATCACCACTTTTTTTTTTTTTTCCTCCCCTGTTGACTGATGTTGTTAGAAAGCTCCATTCTCGGGATTTGAAATGGAGGGAAATTTCTATCTTCCCTGAAAAATCTAAGCTCAAGAGAAGGGCAGCAGATTTCCTGTTGGCTAAATCTGTGGTCCTTCATATGCAGGTTTGCAGGAATGTTGTACACTTAATGCACCTAACAGAGTGTTCTAAATACCATTTAGAAGGAGCAAACAGAAGTTTTGATTCCTGTATGTGATCATTCTTTTAATTGAACACCCGTTCTGTATTAATACACTTTAAAAGATCATTATGTTGGTTTCTATATAAGAGATAGTTTGACTCTATTACCTTCATGGTTTAGTTTCTGATACAAAAGAATCTGCAAATGAAAACTTAACAGACCCAGTACTTGAGGTTTCAGTCTAGACAGATTAAGAGTTAACTGCAAGATTTCAATATATAGCATTGCAAGTAACTTAAAAAAAAGTAACTTCTGAAACTATCCATTGCTTGCAGCCTTTAAATGAAGGCTGGATTTCTTTCTGAGATATATCCTTAGTTTCACTCCAGAGAATTGTGATCTTGATGCAGGAAAACTCATTAAAAAATTTATTATCATTATTCTTTAGAAGATCAGGTTGGATTGTCATAATATTTCTTTGACCATAAAATATGAATCCATAAAATTGCTGCATGAAAGTTTCTAGATGTTGAACTCTTCTGATTTAGTTGAGATTGCTCCAACCTTCAAGCATGGCATTATTTCAAGGTAGAGTACTAGGCCCTGATCTTTCCCTTTGGTTTGTGAGAGCTTCTGCTGCTTTCAGGAATGTGGATAACAATATCGCTCATGGCCATAACTGGAGCATTTGCTTTTGACTGAACATTCTTTTCTGTCTGTTGGACAGAAAGAGAGACAAACTATGAGGATTCAGTGAGAAGAAGGACACCGATGAGTATTGTTAACAGGGGTTTCAGCATACTGGTAACCTGGACATTGGTTATTTTGCAGGTTACAGGGAAGGAGTCTTTAATGAAATTCTGAGAAAATAAGTTGATGGCCATAGGCAGCTTTTCTCAAGAATGAGAGGCAGCATGAGAATGGGCAAAAAGGTGTACAAAAAGTAAAAGAATAAAATAAAAAAAGGGTGGGGGGCAAAAAACACCCTTAGGAAGTCAGTAATGGAAGTCACACGGAAATAGTAGTTGGTACCACTTTACTAGTCTAGAGATGACAGAAAGAGGAAAGTCTTAGCTTTGAAAGCAGAGGAGCATCTTATATTTGAATTAGGTCCTTTTTTTCATGTTACTTCAAAGAGTGGGATAACATTCAAAGCAAGGATCTATGCCTATGCAGTAAAACTTCGAATGAACAAGAACAGAACAACAGAATGAATGAACAGAACAAAGTGGTGTTTGTCTAGGGTAAAGAAACAGATGCTGCAGCAACTGCAATTGCTTTTTTTTTTTAGCTTTGTAGGGAGATTAGGAAAAAAACTTTAATTCTAGAATGTTGTGAATGTTACCTGTCTTCTGAGTCTTAGTGAATGATGGGATGCTAGCCATCGTGATGAAGAAAGTAAATAGTGAGGAGGTCTGGAAGACTGAAAAGGGAAAAGGCTCATGAGATCCTTGTACTTCAGACTTGCTGAGCTAGCATTGGCAGCTTAACATCACCAAGAGGAAGATGATCTGGTATTTTTGTTGGTGCAGAACAATGATGAATCACACCGATTCATTATCACAGAGAGCAAACTTGTACACTGTCTACTTGTACATGTTACTAAAATAGTAGAGGAAGAAGAGAAACAAGTAGAAGACAATGCCTTGAGATATGCAGGAGGCGTAAAGAGTTAGATGGGAGTAGAACTAAGAGAGAGGAAATGCAGAAGCTATGGGAAGATAGGACATGAAGAAAATGGCTTGGTTGTCAAGAGGAAGCCAACAGGCTGAGGATCAACCAGAGGTTTATAAGGCAGAAGAAAGGTTTTGGTGGAGTTCACATTCCTAGAGATGAGGGGAATTAAAGTTTTAAAATAAGCCCATACCAAAATTTCTTCCGGAATTTGTTTGGTCCTGGAAAACTAGAAAACTAAACTCTTTGGAACACTGCCATCTAGTGGCATTATCTACCAGAATCCATGTGCTTATAATTTTTTAAAATTGCTTGACTTGAGCCCTGAAGGTAAGAGGTATCGTTTGTCTGGCACTAATTTCGGTTTATTTATGCTTTTCACACTTTATTGGTGACCAATTCTCCACAATTGGCTAATTTTGCAAATACAAACAATCTAACTAGGGGTAAGCATGATTTCTATGTAGTGGATAGTAAAATTTAAATGAATTTGTCAAATGTTTGAATAGCAATAGATCTATATTCTTTAGGTTTTTAGTACCAGTTCTAAGTTCTTCTATAAAATAATCTTGTTTGGCTGTAACAAAGTCCAAGCAAGCCTTCAATAGTAAGATTTTACATTAGATCACATCAAGAAAGCTATAATGTGTATGCTCTAAAGTCTTGTCTTCACTGTGAAAAATATCCACAAGTTTAAACAAACAAACAAATTTTCATTCACATCTGCAGAAAATATGTAGCAGAGCAGGGTATAATGATTTATCAATATATAATGTTCCCAAGGTCAGCTGCGAGCCTCTCCTTGCATTGACTTTATGGAGTTTATGTTGTAAGAAAGCAAATGTTCCTTTCTTTTGCTGTCTTGTTTAGTCGACATCCTCTACAGAAAACAGTTCTCTGAGAGTTAGAAATGCTGCTACTTTAGCTATGAAGGCAAACGTTAGTGAGAATATATTTTTGTGATTGTTATATATGGACAATCAAACCTGCTCCTGGCAGATTTCCTACCAAATTTTTAACAGAGTTTGTAGCTTAATGTTATGTTTGTTAAGCAATGCTTGCATTTCACTGAGAGGTTTTGATTTTATATATATATACATATATGTATATTTCACCTGCAGATGGAAACAAAATATTATTAGATCACTATTATTATTGCTTAGAACTTTCCTCCATGTTGCCTCTGTCTTTTAGAAATTAAAAGTCTGAAGGTTGTTTCACATTTACTCACATTTTATTACTTTAACTCACTGATTTGAAAACTATTTATGACAAAAATGTCTTAAAAGTGCAACAGCTCTTTCGTTGTTTTTCACTTAAAGCGCTCTTAAGAACCAAATGCTAAAGAACCTTTTAATTGTTTTATACCTTTCTGAATCTTGTATAACTTCACTTGACATTGCTTTTATGCAGACTCCCACCTTGAAGAGTCAGAACCACTAAATACTCTAGATGTAAAGAAAAACTAGGAAGGCCAAACAATTACTAAAAGTTAGGTTTTCCATTCTTGTCTTACTTCTCTTTAAGAAATAAGTCTTTTGTCAAAGCCTCCACTTGAAGTAAGGAACATTCCAGAAAGAGTTCAAGAAGTACTCCCAGATCTATAATCGTTGTGTGTAAGAACTACAACTTCTGCACTAGTGCTACATTTTAAAGATTCCTTTTAACATCCAGTACTTCAGTGGCATTCTGTTTGCGAAATCAAATGGCTTGTTCTCTGTTATGCTGAGACAATCCCCTTCTCCTCCTCCCCTTTACAGAGTGTAAAATAATTCAAATAGGTCTTAAAATGGAAATATGTTGCACTTAGCAACATATATTAACATTAGTGAGAATCAAGTCCACAATAACATATATATGTCTGACAGTGACATTTCAGGTAATAGAACTTACACACTTTAGTTCCACAAAGGTACAAGAAAACTTCATTATTAATTTACTGTTTGCGGAAAAACTACCCCAGACCTAATTAACACCAGTAGATGTCAGTGTTGGCATATGCCAGTGTGCCAACGTGTTGAGAAACGTCAGATGTTCCATGTAATGTATGTTTTAATTTATATATGCTTTTTACATACGTATACCTGAATAAATTAAATTGAGTGTGTTTTTGTGTTTTTCTGTACATATATTATGTTTCACCATTTTTTATTCTGTTTGTAATTCTAGTACAATAATAAGTATATAAGTAACAACATAAGTAATTATTGTACTATTAAACAAGCAAAAACAAAAAGAGCTAAATTATAGATGATTTTCCTATCATCCGTTAAGTAAAAAATATTCGTTATCATTTTGTATATAAATACTGTAAAATAACTTTGTAAGTGCTAAAAGGTAATAAACCCGGAACAGTGGTTGCTACTTTTCTGTAAAATAGTTTTACTAGTTTGGTAGTAGTAATAGGCTCTTCAGATCTGAATTTCCCTTTGCAGGTGCAAAGAACAAAGGAAATAGAGGTAGAATAGTTATATAGGATTTTATGTATATATGCACATGCATATATAAACATACGTGTGAGTTACACTGGAAATTAGGATATATAATTACTTCATACTGAAGCTTTCTAAAGTGAAATATTCCTTTTGCAATGTGATTGCCATAGGTAAGTTAATTTAAAATAAGCAAGCAAACAATAATCAGAATCCAATCACAAAGTAGTCACAAAAGACACTGGTCAAAACCATCCAGACATTCCTGCTGAAATAGGTTCTTTGGCATTTAAGTATATCTGACCAGTACTGCACAGTACTTGATGTGTATTTGCCATGTGTGACATGTATTTGCCATCCATAAAAATGCATTTCATACTAACTTAGAGGTTATGTTATATTTTTCATGTGACTTCATGAACCATAGACCTAATAATGAAAGTCGTCTTAAAATTATATAGTGTGTGACCGTATCAGGTTTCTGTCATGTATTAAGTCATTTCACTCTTCAGTTCTTCCCTCCAAAGAAAAATGTTTTTGTCATTATTGATTTCTAATTTGATTAAAAATTTACCTGATTTCTTATTTTTGTGCTTTTAATATCTGACAGCATCCAAGTAATTTATTCATCCTCTGTGTTGCTGCAGACTTTGTTATGAAGGAGTTCCTGTTTCAGAACAGTTCCAGAATAACCAAACAGCTGGGACTCACTCTCTTCCTCACACACCAAAAACTCCAGCTGATTGGCCAATATTAGCTGAATATAGTCTTAAAAAAACACAGCTGCAACTGGTAGGAGAGAAAGTAAGAAATAATTTTAATATTTAATCTAGTTGCATAATTCAAGGTGTATGAAACACTTAGGAAATAAAGAGCTTTTGATTTATTAACATTTGACAAGATACAGTATAGAAACGTATATGATTTTTTTTTATTGACGGGGATTGTCATTCTAAAACCTCATGTCTTAGCTCTTAATTCCTCTTCTGAAATAATAAATATGCTAATTAATAGCAAAAAAAAAAAAAAAAAAAAAAAACTAAAATAGCAAGCCAGGTAGTTCTTTCAGGCTGCAGAGCCCTATGCCTCACAAGAATCCACTATATTTGGTGTTTTTTTGTTTTTGTTTACAAAATCATGATTAGAAAAAAAAGTGTTTTATCACCTAATTGTTCAAATTCAATACAGACATTAATAAACTGTTTTTATGTTAGCTGATAATTGAATTGTATTGTTTTTGAAGGTTTCAATTTATCCAGAAGCTTTAAAAATGTTTTGGGCTCCTGTTCCACCAAAATTCTTTGCTCCAATTTCTTCTATGAAGGAAATTTTATTTCCTAAATATGAGGTAAATATGTAAAAAATATTTTTGGTGTTCTCATCAGTTGCAGCAATTTTCTAATATTGTGGTTGTTAACTGTAACAGTTATATTTTATGCTTCTACCTTATTAACACTTCTGTACCTTATAAGCTCTTTATATAAGTTGTACAGTTTGTAATAATATGTATTAAATGGTATTGTTTACTTTCAGTTTCCCCAATAAGAAAGTGTCTGGTAGCAGTTATCCTTAATTATCATTTACTATTATATTATCTTGTTTAATGTCTTTATCTTTTTGTTGAAAGCCACTTTTGCACAGACTTTCTTCTGCTGTGCTATTCTGGCTGTGATATATATATTAAATGTGATATTATGTCAAACAAGATCTGTTTTGTCAAACAAGATTTGAGGTCTGAAATGTTTTGAATTTAAAATCTCCACTACTGTCACATTGTTGTGAGAGGTGAGCCATTTGTGTAAGTCTGCATGCTTATAGCATATCCATATTCATAGCACACTGCACTTTCCTATGTCAAAAGTTACAGAAAAACTAGCATTTCACAACAAATTCACAACTCTGTGCAATATATAAAGCATGCTTATTCCTGCTGTCAGTTAATCCATGCTTAATTCTGACATAGCTTGTCATATCCTAGCCCTACTGACCTGAACTGAGAGCTGTGTTGTTGTTGTTACTATATGCACTACTGTGAGCTGACATAAATTACCAAGGCTACAGATAAAAACTTTAGAGAATAAGGTATCAATAATCAGTTTCCACAGGTTATTTGCCCATTTTGCACCATGTAATTCTTGCTTGCATTAAAGTATGTGTTCTACTGACTGTCCATTAGAAGCTTATGATAAATGGCTTCTGTGATACTGGTCTTGATCATCATAACTCTTTGGCTCAGTTATGTTATAGGCTTAATTTACCTGCTAATATGTTCCCTGTAGCTGGCAAACAATAATGTTGCATGTATTCAAATGCGCAAATATGTTATTTCAGAGCAATGTTATTGAAGATGTTGTATTTGAAGACTTTTTAATTGATTATGAAGAGTTAGAAGCTGAGCAAGATGATCATGATTTCTATGACTATGTCCAGGTGTGTATTATGGTGCTTTAATGTAATTAAGCTTAGCAAAACAGTTCTTTTTTTGAAGTTGTAAGACAAAATATTTCTGTATAGGGGACATCTAAAAGCAATTTTATGTTAGATATATCTCTGCAAATGAAAAACAGTATTTATATTTGGTTCATTTTTGAGTAGAGAGGAAATACTAAATCTCACTTTTTAAAACCTTAGACTGTGCTTGGAAAGAGTCATTGCATATTTTAAAGATAATTCTTATTTTGCATGGCACTAGGTGATGTTTTAGGGGTGGGACTGTAATGCCCTTCCCTGTAATAAAGAGATTTTGGAGAACATGATGTATCTCAACAGAGAGGCTTATTGGATGTTCTGCTATATCCAGACATCTGAAAAACTGGAAGAGTCAAGAAGCAGAACAGGGAAGTGTTGAAGTGTTGAAGTGTTTTCAATGTGTGAAATTTTTATGTAAAATTTCTCAAATGTAATATTAAAGGATAGGTGAGGAGTTCTGTACAGGTGATTTGTAAGTGGGAAATTGAAGTGGCTGTGAGTTGTAGTGCAGGTCTTTCCAATTATGGATTCCTGACCATTTCAAATACCTTTGGTGTCATTCATAGAGCATAAACCCACTTCAATGAGTGGATATATTTGCAGCCAGAAATGGGGTAACTGAGGATACTGTATTGTTACTGCAGCTGAGTTCCCAGATATAATTTAGTGATTGGAAGTACTGTTTTATATTTTAATTAAGGGTTCCAATTGTGAGTTGGGACTGCTAGAGCTGTCAAGATCTGTTGGATGATGTGTTTCCTATTTGGAAGTAAAAAATGCTGGTCAAGGTATATTTGCTTTTGCCCTTGAAAGAAACTTTTAAATAATGACAATAGATATTTGAGGATCTGTGATTCAAGAGTATGTGACTCGAAGATGGCATGGAAGCAGAACATAAAGATAAATACCATTATGATAAAGATTGTTCACTGCTTTGAACATTTCTTGCAGGAGTTGGCTACAAATAATGAGGAGAATCTTTTAGTATTTAATGTAAAAAAGGAAGTGTTCTGTGATGAGCTTTGCATATCTCCTACATTCATGGGCAGCAGCAACTTTAAATTGTTATTTTATATTTGGCTAAAATATTTTACTCATGCTGTGTTGGTACCATATTGTGGGTACCACTTCAGTTTTCCTGTACAAGTAGGTCTATTCTATCAAAATGGATTAAAACCAGATGAAGCAGATAGAGGTATTTTTATTGGAAGTGATGTGGTGATTGTATGTGGCTGTTTTGTTGCCTGGGATTCCCAAGACAGGAATATCTGTGTGACTAAAGAGATTTGTTGTGGAGTGAATGTAACACTTTTAAGAACAATCTGGCTTAAAGCATTTTCATTGAAAAGACATGTCCATACACAGTTGTCCTGGTTTTAGCTAGGATAGAGTTGGGTTAAACCACAGCAACAGTAAATCCATTATGGGTGATTAACAGTATGGAATATTCACAGTATGTTCTGAGATTGGAGCATCTACATAGAATGCAGATACGTCCATAGAACATGTCCACTGACTGTCCTTGTTCTGTAGTGTTAATTGATCTGAGAATTTTGAATGTGACTGGGATTTTGGGACACCTGGCAATGGAAATGGGAATAAGACATCCAGAAATCCAGACAAATGCGGTCCTTACCCTAGTTTGGCAAAGGTGTGTGTGTATGTGGTTTTTCTGTGTGTGTGTAAAGGTTCAGATTTCTTTGGGCATTAGTTCTGCTTTTAAGAACAGAATATATCTGAAAGCTCCATTCATAGTAGACTCAGATTCGTTTAGAGTTATTTTCACTCTTTCTTTTATCTGTAGGCAAAAACTCTGAGAAGATGCCAGTCCCTGCCAAATTTTTCTGACAGTGACAACTCAGAGGTATTATTTTATATTTACTTTGACTTTTTCCCAAACTGTGATCTTGTAGAAATTCTTTCACTGAACTGAAGATTTTCTTATTAAATGCAAAAATGAGTCTCAAAAGTCTTTTTCTAGGGGTTTGGTTACATTCAATATTTTCATTTCATAATATGAGAACATAGCTTTGTAATGAGAACCCCCCATTAACTTTACAGTCATTTAGAGAGGTCTCTCTTTTTGGAGAGAGATCCTTTGGAGGAATCTATATTCCTCTAACCTGAAATAAGTGGAACAACGTAACTGAGTAAAGATTTGCAGCATCAGATCCTTGTGTTTCAGACGTATCAGGGCATCAACATGAAGTTTTCAATCTATTAAGTGTTATGTATTCTTATGTCTATTGAAGTAATGTTAGGTGTTCACAAAATACATAAAGCTGCAGTAAATAATGCAAATTTTACACTTGTACAACGATGAACTTTATAGAATTATATAGAATGTATTTTATAAAGAGATTTGATTTTGAGTAAGAAAAAGTATAAGTCTATATTAAAAACCTCTATATAGTTCATAAAGACCTGCATAAAATATTGTGACCATGTGATTTTAAGGACAGATATAAAGCATGGTGGCAATTGAAGCTGTATAAATAATAAATAATTTAAACACCATATCTGCAATTTAACTAAGCACTGATGCTTGATTTTAAAATATCAGTTTTATGTTCTAACAGACGTAGTCTTGTTAAGTGCTTTGCTTTTTTTTTTTTTTTTTTTTTTTAATATTAACAAGTGCTTTTCTCTGTAAATTTCAGACAGTGGACATGAAATTGCATTTTAATTTCTTTAACAAAGGTGTTACGCCTTATATTATAGTATAAGTTTTACCAGCATACTGGAATTAACAAAAAGAGTGAGAAGCAATATATGTCTTACTGCAAATATTACTTGCTTAATAAGTAATTATAATTAAACACCAGAGCACAACATACAGTCCATTCAAACTAACCAAATGTTATATATAAATCTTATTTCAAATGAACATCTAAATAAATCCTATTTTTTTTAACAGATAAGTTTAATTAAGAGATCAGTGTCAGCTGTGGAGGTGGCTGCTTTCAAATGTGAAACTAATTTAAAGATGTCAGCTAATTTCAAAACCAGCATGAAAGAGTTGGAGGTTATGAAGCAACAGATAGCTGAGCCAAAGGTTGAGAGAGAGATTGGGAAAAGCTCCCCTACCAAGCATGTATTGAATCAAGCCTGTGATGATCCTCAGTCAATGCAGACAGACACACCAGTGGAAAAAATGCCTACTTCAACTGGACAAGAGGATAGTGAGAATATTTTACTTGTCCAGAGAGCTGAAAAGGCTGGAATTAAATACACCATTTTCCCAAGAAGAAAGAAAACAAAGAAATCAAAGAAAACAATAAATCCTAGAAAACTAGAAGCTGTGATTAAGAAATTAATTCAACCCCCAAGGATTCTTAAAAGGTTTTCTTTAATTAGTGTATTGACATTTTAAAGAATGTATTTCAATTTGTAGCTATGTTATATAATTACAGGTTTAATCTTCTTATGTAATAAGTATTGCTCTGAAAATAAGTAATGATAGCTTATTTATTTATAATGCTTTTTTTTTTTTTTTTTTTTTTTTACTCTGTGAGATATCTTTAGGACATTTAGTAAATATAGTGTTTTAAACAGAAATGGCGTGGTTTCATGTAACAACAAAAGAATCTTTAAGTGTAAATGTAAGATTAAAAATAGTCAAAAACCTTAAATGTAAGATTAAAAATAGTCAAAAACCTTTCTTCTGAAAGACGAGGAAATTCTAAGTTCTTAGGAAACTGAATTGCTAGGCTGGACTAACCTCAGTTGTACCATGAACTATATTGATTACAAGAAGCAAGTGGTTTGCTTTAGAGTGATACAGAAAAATAAAAGGTATAAATATTTTTCTAGTAAATGGTTATTATTTATATACTTATGAGATAGGATACTTTACAAAACATCTAATTTGTTTTGGTTTTGGAAGAGTGCTATTTCTTAAATACTTACACTTGTGAGCTCCAAAAACTCCCAAAGGTTGTCTGTTTTTGTGTGCACTTATATTTACGCTTAGGCCTGGTCCTTCAGCCCAGTTTCCCATTCAGCCTTTTCTTTTTCTCTGCTTCTTCTCTTCTCCCACCTTTCTTGAGGTTTATTGTAATGAAAATAAAAGCTGCTTAAACTATGGTGTGATAGCCTGGCATGCTGAGCTGTCACTAAGGGAGATGGTGGTCTTTTTCCAAAGCCTTGTTTTAGACAGTACTGTATGTTTGCTGTTCATGGCTTTCATATCAGTTTTGCTGAACCCTCTTTTTTTTTTAAATCTTTGTACTATTTTATATGCCATTCGCATATGGGATTGCTTTACTTTTTCCTCTGTTTCCTTTTTTCCCCAATGGGATCCTTATGTATAAAATATTATAAATGTTAGATAAATATTATAAATATGTATAAAATATTACCTCTGTATTCTCTCTCTCTTTAACTTATAATTGGCTGGTAAGTTTAAAAAAAAAATCACTAACAAGATAGTTAACAATAGGTTTTTCAATTGTTGACTGGCAGATTGTAATTTGATATTGCTAATATATCTGGGAATATTTAGTTAATTTCAGTAATATTTTTCCTTAGGTCCGTGTCTCTGGGAAGACTTCCTACTCACGACAAATTCATTATCAAGTTGTCTCCAGAAATCAAAGAATACCGGAGCCCCAGCACTCCTTGTTTGTTAGATTTTGAAAAGTTTGCGAGAGTGAGGGGTGGAATTCCAAAAGAAACTTCTGCTCGTGCATGGGTCAGTGCAATCTGGAACAGCTGGTTTGATGAAACTTTCCCTCCTAGTGAGAATTCTTCTGAGGGTATTGAGCTACTAAAAGGGACTAATGCAGTGGACTCTCAAGAAGCAAATCTACCAATAGAATTAGTTGACTCAATACAGCCTGTTCTGCTTGAAGGTGAAACAGTTAGTATTGATGATTTAGAAGAAGAAGTAAGAAGACTAACCGAGGTAATAGAAAAGGATGAGCATCCTTCAGCTTTTCACTACTGCAGGCGTGGAGCAATACAAAAAAAGTTAGGGAAGTTAAAGTCAGCTATGGAAGACTTGGAAAAAGTAAGTTTCCAAACCACTTGGCTTGGAAAGCTATTTTCCTCCTATCAAGCACCTTGATAAAAGAATATCTGAATTCATCAATAGGAGATGATTAGACACAGGAATGTTGCTAACATATAACAAATACATTTCTAATTTCTGCAAAAGCATTGTGAACAAATAAAATGAAAAATAATGTATTTCCTGTTTATGATTAAGCTGTCATTTCACATGAATTTTATACAGTAGTAATTATGTTCTTTTGTGTATTTATTTATTCAACTTTTTAAAGTTTTTTTTTTTTTTTATAGCAGTACAAAAGCTGCCATTACTTCCACCCTATACCCTGAACAACTAACCAGAAGGAAACAAAACAGTAAAAATATTGTCCAAAATATATAAATAAATAAATAAATAAATGTATTAAATTACTCCAAACTTTAGAAACAGATTGTCAAGTGTCTGAAAGGTTAAAAATTCAACACTGACAAAGTGGCTCATTAGCCAATGAGCCAATATCAACCATCTAAATTGCTTGTAAAGCAATTACGTATTCTAGTGAAAACATTATTGACTTTTCTTGGATCTGAGAAATGGCTCACAGACCCAAATTTGAGAATTACTTTTGTAGCAGATCAGTCTCAGATACGTATCAGTCTCTATATTTATTTCCATGTAGCTATTAAATCTTTATTATATGTGTAGTGAATACAATCATACATATTATTTGTTTGATAATATCTGTCAAATGATATCTCACAGAATATTAAGTGCTTTCTATAGGAATTATAACAACATGGTTTGAAAAGCTGATACTTTTTTCATGGGGACATGCTTATTTCGTATTTTCAAATAGAACAGTAATGAACAAGATTGTTTCTAAGTTTTTATTCCCTGGGATTCCTGCAGGACTAATTCTGACTTTCTAGAAATAATTCAGATAACTATTATAAAGAAATAATCAAACATGGTGATATCACAGCTGATTTGTATTTTCTACTGCATGCTGGTAGATTAGACTCTGGTTCTGCATCTTTGTAAGTACACTGTGTTTTTAGATGAGTGGATCAGACATACTTTTCACGTTTCTGGATTAAATAGAACCTTGTCAGTCTAAGACTTATTAAAAATAATTTCAGTGCAAACATTTTTTTCTCATTCCGTATATACTATTGTTAGCATATTTGAGACGTTTCTTCTGCAATATAAATTATTTATTCCTTATTTTATTTATAGGCTATAAGTTTAGAACCGCTACTACTTGATGCTTACTGGCATAGACATTTGATTTACCTCTTTCAAGATAAAATTTATGCTGCTTTGGATGACCTGAATTTCATAACTAAAATGAACAAAAATAAGGCAGGTAAGTATCTGTGAAAGTGTAACTTAACTTTTTAAGCAGTTCATTTTTCATTTTTTTTTCTCTAGCTGCCTAGTTCTGCAAAAGTTTTTGTTTTTTTTTTGTTTTTTTTTTTATAAGTATTTAGCGTTACATCAATTATTTTATCTGTATTATAGAAAAATTACAAAGCAGACATAAATCCCCAAAGATTTGGGACAGAAAATGTTTTCTAAGACAAAAATAAGTACTTCATATTTTCATTAAAAAAAAAAAAGAGAGAACTGGTGGAAATTGTATCTATTAATTTAATGTGAAAAGCTGATAATCCTATAATGGGGACTGTGTGCTATTGTGTATTCAGTCAGTCCTGTTCTCCTGCAACCTTTATACTAGGAAGGAGGAACTTAAAAGGGAAAAGTTCTATCTGTTTGACAGACCAAGAAAAAGGATCAAGTTTGGTCTACAACTTGTGAAGAAGAGTTGGCAGAATTTTTTTATTTGACTATCTGTGTGAACTGGGGACTAGTGGCTAGATAGCAGATCTACAGAAAAGGGTGTTGGGGTGCTCTTGTGTCCATGAGCAGTCAAATGTAAGTCATTAGTATGGACTTTCAGCAGGGGAGGCTAGCTATACACTGGATGCATTAGCAAAAGCATGGCCCTGTAGGTCAGGGAAAGTGGTTCCCCTGTACCTGTTTGTGATGCTACTACGCTTCCAATACTGTCTTGTTGAGAGAGAGAAGCTGGAGAGGGTCCATTGGAAAGTTATTAAGATAGTCAGGGGCCTTCCATATATATAGAAGGGCTGAGGGAGCTGAATTAGCCTGGTGAAGGTAAAACTAAGGGGGAAATCTGTCCTCAGCTATGCAAGGGATAGTAATAGAGGAGACAGAATTTTCTGAGAAATGCTAAGCAAAACAGGAGGCAATAGACACAAGCTGCAACAAATCAATTTTCAGTTGGCCCTAAAAATACTCACAAGAGGAATGGTTAAACACTGGAGCAAGCAGATACTTCTTGGAGATTTTAAATTTGGAAAAGACCATGAGCTGATTCACCTCACTTTCCAGATTAGCCCCAGTTTGAGCAGGTCATTGGACTAGGTAAATTTGAGAGCAACCTCTTGATCTAATCTTTTTTTTTTTTTTTTTTTTTTTTTTTTTTTTAATGATTCTTCAAATAACTCAGATGACTTTATTTTGCTAAAACCTCTTTTCTGTGAAGAACATCCAAAGGACAGCTAAGCAATATGCTAAACTTTAAAGTCACCGTGTTGTTGTTCTGAACACAATACATTTATTACATGTTCTCAATCTGTAGTTTAAACTACTGGAGATGATCAGTCAGTCTATGAAAGTCTACATTTATAATACAAGTATTTATAAAAAGTCATGTTGTGAGCTGTTTGCTATGAAGAGAAAATACTGAAATTGAAGGATGACAGCACAAGATCGTCATTGTACATTTGTATTGGATAAATGTGAGTCGCAAATTAAAAGGTGTTCCTAACTTTTTTAGGAGTGAAGCTCTGGAGTGGCTTTCTAAATTGGATAGTGTAGCCGAGGAGCTTAAAATTGAGCTTGATAATATGAAACAAATTTTATAACAATATTCCTAAAGACAGATTTAAGTTCATACTGGTCCCCGGGTGTCAGATTCATTAGTATATTGGAAGAGAGGGACTTGCTGTTTTTGTAGATATCTGTTATATGTTAATCAGGAATTTGGCTAGCTATCTGTAATGACCAGGGAGTATTTTTTTTTTTTCCTTTGCTTATTCAGGTCCTTTGCTTATGCTCTGGTTTTAACTGATCTAACTGATCACAGGTCAGGCTTGCTTGATCAGGGACCAGGAGGAACTATTTTACTCCTTCATCAAATTGTCATTGTCTACTGAAGACTGCTCTGTTTCATCATATTCTGTGTTGTTTGCGTGGCCTGCTACAGAACATGAAAATGGGAACATCCTACTTCTGTGATGATCATTTGGAAGTTTTCTATTATTTGATCATGCGGAGGCTTAAAAAATTACTGGTGGTGTTGACATCTGCTGTTCTGTTTCTGTGATCTATTACAATTTCATCTTTGGGTCTTTTATTCTGAACTTCACTAGAAATTTATTAGGAGATACTGGGAAATGTTTAACCATTGATGGTGTGTAAGTGTAGTGGCTTGGCTCCAGCCTGCGGCTAAGTGCCTATACAATTGTTCTCTTGCTCCTTTACACTACACGCCACAGGACAGGGGAGAAAATGGGAACATCAAAAGTGAGAAAAATCGTAGGCAGAGATACAGACAGTTTAACATGTAAAGAGGACAGATACAAAAGGCAATCACTCGCCACTTCTCAAAATCAGAGCAATGCCAGCCAGACTCTGAGTGATGGCCACTTTAGAAGACAACCATCATCTTCCCTTCTTCCTCTAACCTCATATTTTTATTGCTGAGCATGACATGATATAGTATGGAATATCCCTTTGTCCAACTCAAGTTAGCTGTGCCACAGTCCCAGCTGTGACTCCTCGCAACTTTTTGCCCATCCCCAGCTTATGCGTTGGGGAAGTGGTGGTGGGTTGTGATGGGGAACAGAAAGCCTTGACATTGTCCAAGCACTGTTCAGTAACAGCCAGCTGCTGTATTATCAATGCTGTTTTAGCCCCAAATCCAAAACACAGCATCATATGGGCTGTTATGAGAAACGTTACTTACATCCCAACCAGATTCAGTACAGTGGGGCAACTGTTGTATTGGTCCATTTAAACTAAATCTCTTTATATTTATTTGTGGTCAACAGGTCTACACTCAAATGGCTTGATGGGCCATTTCTACCGAGCTCTACTGAGAGCAAAGAGCTGCAAATCCTACAAGAACAATCAGTTTACAGCTGCATGGGCTCAAGGACTGAGAACACAGCTGCAGCTGTAAACTTTTTGAGCTCTGTTGCTCAGATTAAAAATAAACTTCCTAACCTTCTGTATAATTTATTGTTTTTACTGCTTGTATTAACTACCTTGTAAGGAGATGACATTGTTTTGGGCCGCTAAATAGTGCCTTTTATGTTTTGGGGGGGTTGTTTCAGATACGTACTTGTCAAAGGCTGAAATTTACAGAAAACAGGGTGATAATACATTGGCAATCATCAATTATAGTTCTGCAATACAATGCTGCCCAACAGATGATGACATTTATTTCAGGAGAGCTGAGATGTATTTTGAGGAAAATCAGTTATTATTGGCCATGGATGATTATGCCAAAGTAAGTTAACTTTTTTTGTATTGTTATAATAATGTAGCAATTTTGTATAACTTTAAAAGTGAATTCTATTTGGAAAATAGCTTGGAGAACAGATATCCTTTTAAAGAAATGATGTTTAAACAAATCAGTGCCATAGGAATAAGTGTGTGATTTATGTTACTCCTGCCAAGTAATTCAATATATTACTGAATGTCTACAAATTATCAGGCACTGATAACCTTGTGTCACTGCTTTTGTATTTCACTCTACAGTTAATGAAAATGACAATAGACACTAAAGGACAAGAGAATAAAAAAGGAAACCTGAGAATAAATTAACATTCTTTTTATGCTTGGTTAAGGCTTTTAATCATTAGGAATATTAAGACTGAGGAATAACATGAAGTAATTATTTTTTTCATTATAGTGTTTTCAGTATAACCCAAAAAGAACAGATGCACTTATGAAACATGGAATATATTTCTTTGACCGTTCAGTTTTGACTACAGCTATTCAGGATTTTACAGCTGTGATCAGGGAAGACCCTGGCAATGCTCAGGCAAGGTATGGTTTATAATTTGACAAGTATTTGAATTTTAAGTGGATTGTTAAAATAATATTAATATGTGAAAGACTAACTGCGCATTAAACAATAATAAAGCAATTGCATTTCCAAAGAGATGTATAATAGAAATAGACTTCTAGGCCATGATATTCATCGGGGAATCTTTCTATTGCTTTAATGACTTTGGATTAGTCCCTAGACCTTAATTTAGCTATGCACAGAACCATGTGCTCAAATTCCACTGGAGTAATGCAAATATAGAGTCAGTTGGACTTAAGCACGTGCATGTGTGCTTTGCTGTAAAGTGCTGGATTTAAATACATGTTCAAAGTGAAGAATGTCCTTAAGGATTGTATATTTCTATGCCTAATTTACACTGATTGTCTTGACACTTCTAGTTTTAGCATTATGCTGAATTGATGTATTCTGTGGAAAAAAAAAAAATGAATGTATGAATAAGAAACATCTTTATTTTTGAATTATAACAATGATTTTGAGTTTTGACTTACAAAGGCTGATTTTTTTAAAATCATTTTGCCACTAGAAAATGTGAATATTTTTAATATAATTCCTGCAAAAAAACACATTCTTTCTATACTATGATCTGTAAAATAAAAGTAAAATGTGAGGATTTGATACCAGATTATGATACCTTGAATTTAGGTGTAAGCATGTTGTCTCCTTGGGATGTAAAAGTCTGAACTGCCATTAACACCAAGGACAATCTAGCCAATACATGTAATAGATTCCAGATAGAATCAGTATGCATCTGAACACTTATGTAAAGCCTGGAGAGCTATATAGCTCTGAAACCAATAAGTGCTCATTTTTGAATGAGCTGAATTGCTCTCATCTCCTTGGATTATGTTCACTAGATCTTCATCTTGTGGTTCCGCTCGAGTGGGCAACCGAGCTCCACCACAGCCGCTCTCTCACTCCCCTCCTCAAAGAAGAATGGGGAGAAAATATGTGAAAAGGGCTCAAGGGTTGAGATAAGGACGAGAAAATCATGCAATAATTATTGTAACAGGCAAAACAGACTCAGCATGAGAAGATAGTAAGATTTATTGCTCATTACTAACAAGCTAGAGAAGTGAGAAACAAAGGAAAGAAACCAAAAGCACCTTCCCCCCCCCCCATCCACCCTCTTCCACCTCCTCCCCCCGAGCAGTGCAGGGGAACGGGGGAATGGGGGTTATGGTCAGTCTACAGCACTTCTTCTCTGCCGCTCCTTCTCGGTCACTCTCATCCCCTGTGCTGTGGGGTCCCACCCACGGGATACAGTCCTTGATGAACTGATCCGGCGTGGGCTTCCCACAGGCAGCAGCTCTTCCAGAACTGCTCCAGATATAGGTCCGTACCACGGGGTCCATCCCTCAGGAGAAGACTGCTCCAACCTGGCTCCCCTATGGGCAGCAGCTCCTGCCAGGTCACCTGCTCCTGCATGGTCTCCTCTCCACAGGCTACAGGTCTGGCCCGGAATCTGCTCCGGCAGGGGTCTTCCACAGGTGGCAGCCTCCATAGGTGCAGGGCCACCTGCTCCACTGTGGTCTCCTCCATGGGCTGCAGCATGGAACCCTGCTCCACCGTGGTACTCCATGGGCTGCAGGGGGACATCCTGCTTTACTATGGTCCTCACCACAGACCACAGGGGACTTCTGCTCCGGCACCTGGAGCACCTCTCCCCCTCCTTCTACACTGACCTTGGCACCTGCAAGACCGTTTCTCACTGCTCACACTCTCCCAGCTGCTGTGTGGCGCAGCGTTTTTTTTCCCTGTCTTAAATATGCTCTCACAGAGGCGCAAAACAACATCGCTTATTGGCTCAGATCTGGAAAACAATGGGGCCCTTCCCAAACATGGGGCAGCTTCTAGATCTTTCTCACAGAAACCACCCCTATGGCCCCCTGCTACCAAAACCTTGCCACGTAAACTCACTACACATCTATAATGGAAATATCTAACAGCTAACATTGTAGACATCAACAAATAAACACCTAAGTTTAGATGTCTTGTTCTAACCAAACTGAATAGAAGGGGCTAGTGAAGGACTCTCCTATGTGCATCTGTTACCTATCAATTCATCTTCTTTATCACAGGGGGCCACAGAATTATGCAAAGCTTTCTAATGACATCAGGTTGCTTGAACTACTAAAGTAATTTACAGATGCTTCTTAAAACTCTGATTTTAAAATAAAATCTTGAAGCAATGTGAAACTGCAGTTGGCGTCCTAAGGTCAACTTACTACTTTGAGGCTCAAAGGTGGATGAGTGAGCTCTGTGAATTGTCCTAGCGAGTATGATTAGTGTCACTGCCTTGTGTTTGTGGGGAGTCAGGCATGTGATTTAAATTCTTGAGGAACTGACTGTGTTAGATTTAAAAAGGATCAGTATATATTTTGCATGATAATTCTTTATAGAAGGAAGTAGGATGTGACATAAGACTCATTTGATATGTGAAAGCTATCTTTAGTAATATAAATAAATGTTTTATATATTATATTTTGCATTGATAAAATATTTTTTTACAGCCATTACCATCTATTCACACTTTTTCAGTTATGCCTTTGATTTATTTTGTTTATAGAGTTGCTAGAGTCTGGAATTTCATTGAGAATTAGTGGAAAATAATAGGAACTGATTCTGTAAACTTATCTGTTTGAAAGAAATTTTGAAGAATAGAATGGATGTTTTCAAAAAAAACTTTAATAGTGATGAAGATAGATTTATTTCTTTTCTGTTACATCAGATTTGACAAAATCTAGTGTCTTCCATATACAAAATGCTGTACCAATAGACTCTGGAACTTGGAGAGAGTCCATTTGAGAGAGTCTGTGATGCTCAAAGCTGATACAGTCCTCTATTATATCGAGCTTGATTTATGGAAGTACAATGCAATGATCTGCCTGTACGGTATAGGTTGTAGGACTATAGGTTGTTGTTCCATCGGATTTGTTTTATTAAATTGAGAAATAAAAGTGAATGCTTATTCTGTTCTTAAACATTTTTTCCCTAAATAATTTCTTAAAGCTTGCATGGCATAAACAATGAAAGAATGCTTCATATTAACCTGACTCATCCTGTTCATTTTCTAAGTAATAATTTATGACTTCAAAATATGACTGAGTTATAATTTTCTGAGAGAAATTGTATTTAAAGAGAAACTGTCTTTCTTATTAGGCTGTATCGAGGAAGAACGTATGCTAAACAACAGCAATATAGAAATGCAATACAAGACCTAGCAGCAGCAATTCATCTAGACCCATCTTGTTGGCAAGCATTCTATTATAGAGGTTGCATTTTACAACAGGTTGATCCAAAAAGAGCTCTTCAGGACTTCAGTGTTTCTGGTATTGTTTATTTCAAAGGTGTATATGTTAAACAGAGAAATGAACATTTACCAGTAATTACTATACTGTACAGTGCAGTTGTTTCCTGTAGAAAATATTGAAATGTATGGTTGTACTTCAGTGTTTGCTAAAAATTTGTTCCTTTTTTATTTCTATTGTTTGCTACTAGACATCAACTCTTGCTGCTGTTGCTACTGCTTAGCTATTTTTCCTCTGTTTCCTAAAGCTTTTTCTACTACACTTTTAACAATTTTATTGGGTTAATTGAGAATTATATGTCTTGAAGATATTTGATGCCACATTAAACCATTGGTATTATGATCTAATATGTTATGTTTTTGTTTATCTATGATATTCTATAAATCTCTAAGAAAGCTAGAGTAAAAAGTAAACTCCAAATAAGTTGCGGGGAGTAACAGAAATATATATGAGTACCTGAACTGTTGATTTTTATTCTCCCTTTCTCACAGTACTCATCAATGACACTCCGGAAAATTTCTGTTCTTTCCTTCATCGTGGGATCATTTACTCAAAGCAGTGTCAATGGTCACTTGCAATCTGTGACTTTGAAAGTGTCATAGCTTTGAATAGGTAATCGAACGTGAACATTTTAATATATTTTGTTTATATTCTGATTTTACCTGGGTACTAGTAAAGGAAAGTGGAACCAGAACTGATTATTCAGCAAATACACTGAAATTAAAACAAAACCATAACGTCTTATAATATCTTTTGCCCCATTTATTGCAGTAAGAAAATAATATAAATAATTATTAAATAAATTTCAAAATTACATTTTACTTCACCTTATATATACTTGTAAAAATAAATTAAGGTTTGGCAGACAAAAGATGAAATTGAAGTCCTAGTTAAAGCCTTAAGTGTTCATGCCATAATAATTTAATTAGTCTTTTGGGAGGGAATCTTTTTACAGTGCAGGCACACACCCACCCTTTATTTATCCCCCCCAAAGAAAATGTCACAATGTTTTGTTTAGCAGAAGACAGTAGATAGTGTCCCTGAAATAAAATTAAAAGAAACAAAAAACAGAAGCCAACAGCACAAAATAAAATGGCTTATGATCCTTTATGGTTAGTGATGGAAACCAATATGGTTCTTGTGAACTGCATTTCTTCCTAACACTTATAAATACCTTGGAAACAGATTATGTCTGTAGCAGCCCTATTACGTAAGCAGTTTTGCAATATGCAAAAAACTTCCTATTCCAGATAGCTGAAGTAGTTGTGTTCTTTAAAGACAATGACTTCTCCTTCAGCCTTAGGCAACCTCAACAGTCTTGTCTTGAGTAAAAGCTTCCGTTCTGTTTTTACACCTATGGCAGATGTAAAAACTCCTCAGCTCTTCCATTTTATTGGCTGTGCTATTGGAAGTCTAGAACTTGCCTAGAAACAGTCTACAAGAGAGAGGGCTGCATAAGATACTGCAGATCCTGGAAAGCTGAGTCTCTGTAGTTGCTAGCCAAGTGAAATGCCAGAAAGTAAGGGAGCAGGCGAGATGGAAAACATGTATGCTTTATCAGAATCTTTCAAAACCAAAATGTGTTTTTAGTGTTGAAGAATTCAGTATTTCTTGTTATATTCATTATATATAAAACTAACAGCTAGGTCTAGTCCTAGTCTGTTCCATGACAAAGAAACTTGTCGCTATTTTTTTTCTCATTTGAAGTGGTGTTTTGGTGAACAGAAAGCCTCTAGTGTGCATCCCAAGCTACTGAGATGGTGTTTTTTAAATAGTTTTCTCCTCAGCTGTAAATTACTATTATGCTCAGTGTGGTCACAAAATAGACTGTTGTAAATGTCATAAAAGGAGATATATAAGTATACCGTATAAGTTGTGTACAATTGTATAAGTTGTGGGATGTATATAATGACACATTTCCTGAAATAACAAAAGGAAAAAAATCTATTTTTAGCTCTGTCATCTTTGCTTACCTAAATATTGGTTTGATACTGCTGTTGCATCTGGATCAATACTATGAAGCTATTCGACAGTTTACTAATGCAATTAAAATTGATCCTCTCAATGTTCGAGCCTATTTATGTAGAGCACAAGCATATCATAAGGTAATATGCTCCTTTCATTTTTGTTGGCTACTTAATACAGCTTTATTTATATTTATGGTTGTTCAATGCATTTTAATATTTATTGCTTGGTATCGTACAGATGTTAGAACCTATTTATAGCTATATACTTCAAGTGGTCCTCATCACCATAATAGAATTATATACATTACAATTATTGTAAAATATTGTTGGAATGTGATGCAATGACATAAAATACTTCAAGGTTCATTTGATTGTCCCTACATCAGTGTGCATCTGATCTAGGCTTTAATAAAATACACTTTTGAAATTAAAAACCCACAGATTTTGAAATACTAATTCAGAATGTTCTTGAGAATTTTCACTTTTCTGGAAACTCATTTTTTTTTTCACTATAAATGGGAGTGGGATGTTTTAAATATTTTAATTTCCCATGAAGCAAAGTATTTTACATCTGCATAGGATCTGAGAATAGTTTCTGCTAACAGTTGCTTTTTGAGATCCTCTCAGGAGTACGAGGAATATGGTCTTCAGTGTGACAATTTACATGTATGTAAAGTGTCATTGGCAGAACTGAAACAACTGTTTCTCACAGTGCTTAGTTTGCAAAATGTTTTGGGAAATTGCTTACACTGTTAATTTTCTCCCACTAAAGGAAATGACTTTTCACTCGGAGTCCATCAAAATGGACTGATTACACCTTTAAGAAGTTGTGTCTGATAGCTGATAGTTCACATAGGAGGTCATCCACTAATGCTAGGTTGCTTCTGTAGTGTTTTTGTTGCTTGTTTGCTTTTCCCCCAGTATCTGAAATATGTACAGCAGCTAAATTAAGATCAGTATGCATTCCATCCATGGTAGTCTTTGATGACAGTTCCAGTTAGCAGCTACCAATCTGGATGGATCTGTCCTTGGGATCTTCATTGCAATGATTTACTTTCTCCTCCACATCTGAAGAACAATGGGACCACAGGCACGGACACTTGGAAAATAAATGAAAATTCATTACAGTAGTGAAGATGAATAAGGACATCTGTGCATGTAGATCTCATCACTTGATCTCCTTTCCCAGTAGTCCAGAACCTCATTTGTATTTTGGAAAAGTAAAGAAACTATCTGCTGTTAGAATCTGCCCTGTGGATATGGAAATTTGTAGGTTGCATGTTTCAGACTTTTTAATAAAAAAAAAAGTGCTGAGCTCCTGTGCAGAGGGCATATGCGCCTCATGAGTTATTACCATGTGGGCATTGCAGCCTGTAGAACCCCATTTATGGAAATAATAATTGTCTCCAAATTGTGTCCATATTAAGAGTTAAATTGTTGTTTCTTTTTAAATTACAGATTCATAATTTATCAAATGCTGTGAAAGATATGAATCGAGCCATTCATCTTTATCCAAATAAGTCACAACTGAGGATATTAAGGTATGAAAGTTGAGGTCTTCGCTTGTATCTTACTCTTAAAAAATTTCTGATGCAGAATGCTGTTGGTAGATACCTTGTATCACTTGAAACTTGCTCTCAATAGGTTAAAAATGTATATTCATAGAATTTTTCAAACCTTAGGAACTTTATATCTGTATAGTATAATCTCTAGTTTGGAAAGAGGGACCTTCATATACAGGATTTTGCTCATTGAGGTGCATATTGTTTCTGGGGGAAAAAAAAAAAAAGATGTGGAGAGGTGCAATGACAGTACAGGAAGTCTGAACTTAAAAAAAAAATAAAATCATTTTAAATGTTTTTCCCAAGTGGATGGGCCTTTCACTGATTTGTCTGCAGAATCCAAATAACACAAGGAATATGAAGGACTAAGTCCAGGCCAATTTAATTTTGAATTATTTTTTTTCCCCATCTTTGGCTCAGTGAGAAGTACTGACCTTTACCAAGACTAAAAACTAAAATTACTAGATAAAGCTGTTTCCTCTACTGAAAAGCCATAACTAAGAATGAAATGTTGGGATATCCTGATATATCCTAATATGTTGGGATATCCTAATACTCCTTAGGTGTACTAGGAAAATTGGTTACTATGTTCCAGTTAATAATGCTGTGTTTTCCCAGTTTTACGAGTGGGTTTGCTTAATTTGTCTCTCAAAGGATGGTTTGGCTAGCAGTAACTCTTAGACTGATGGTGAGATCTGAGGCAAAAAAAAGTCTTTGATAACAGAATATCAGATACTAGTTTGTGATGGATTCTAGAAACAATATTAAGATTATTGTCACAGGTCTTAAAATAATAAGGACTGCTATCTGTGGAATACAAAGAAAATATGTTTTTGTAATTCACACTATCTGAAAAGAAGTAAACATATTTTTTTGGTGCTCCCATGTTAGAGAAAAATTTAAGAATTGAGAGATACTTCTGATGGAAACGAAGAAAAAATTTGTTTTTATTGGAAGGCATTGTTTTTCCTTTTTCTCTTTTTAGATTAATGAAAACAAATTGCAGCAGCATTTGCAGTTTGAGAGAAACACTTGAAGAGGGTTTTATTAATTGCATCTAACGAATATTTCTTTACAGGGGACGGTATTTAATGGAGTTGAAGAAATATGAGCTGGCAAGTTTGTGTATTCACCAACTTGCAGAAATAGATGAAGGTAAATGTCAATTTGCCTACATGGTTGTGAATCATGGCAAGGGTCTGTAAGCAAGAAATTGTTTTTTCTTCTTTTTAAATTCAGGCACACAATTACACAAATAGGTTAATTACCATAGATCAGCTAAAATACAGGGTATTTAAATATAATAATGGTATACATTATTGCCTATGACCTGTGTTTTTTGAATTTTCTATATCTTTTGAGTTCTTTTTTATGTTTTATTTTTATTTATATTTCTTCCTTTCAGTATTGGTAACTTCTGCTTTAAAGGAAAAATGAATAAAGATTCTGTTCTGTGCTTATATAGTCCCTAACAAAATATCTCTAGGACTGAACCTTCCCAACACATTTGAGCAGTAAAAATGTTGCAGTATTGTAGTTCCTTGTTATGTGCTCGGCATAAAACAGCAGTGTTCAGTGCATTGTGAAGCTCTTTGTGAGTCCATATGGATAGTTATACTGCATGAGATGAATTTCCTGTCACTGGAGTGACCAAGAGTGGGTACACAGAGTATAACCATATAAAAACAAAGCAAACGTATGGTGATAATCCCACATGGCATATCCTTCTTAGATGTGGGGCGAGGAAGGTAAATGCTATTGGTATTTAGCCATTGAACTACACTCACGGATAATTAAGTGTTCATATTCAGACTTTTATGTGGAATTTAGTTTGTTTCTATTTTTATGGCTGATAAAACAAGCTTTGAAATGTAACATATTTTAATAGCATTTTGAAGTTTACATATTGTTTAAAGGTATCTTATACTGTAGAAATATATGTTGAAGTAGAAGAGATGATCACTTTTTATGGTTGTTTTCTTCCAGAATCCTTTAAGTCTCAGCCTGTTCAGCAAGCACTCATTCAGTCATTTTGTCAAAATCACAATAAAGCCATAGAGAGCTTACGCAAAGCTACAGCAACTCAGCCTGAGCCTTCAATGTTTGTTCTTCTAGGAAAAATACAAATGAAAGCTGAGAAAACAAAGGTTAGAAATGTTTACATTATATACATATATTTATATACATATGCCAAACAAGACAATTTTTTTCTTAATTCTTTTAATATTTTATAAAATCTCCTAGTATAACAATAAATCTTCGTAGTACTTCACTACTTAAATTATAAGAAGATCTGGGTAAAATTTTTGAACAACAGCAGCACTATTAATTCGGCATAAATTAGGCAATTTTAATTTTAACACATTTTAATTAAAAAATTTATAGATTCAGTTGTATAGGTTAAGGTTGATTGTATGTCATAATTTTGTTTCTTGTGAAATAAAACAGAATTATGTCTGGCATTTTGTGTCTAATAAAATGTTGTACAAAATTTAATGTATGTGAACTAATATATAATATATAGTTGCAGGTGTATTCTCAACTTTGTGAATATTCACATCACAGAATTTAACAAATGCTGTCACTCCTCTGCCTCCTGCAGTTAGCCAGCGCTTGATGCCTGCAGAGTTGTTGAAATTGGCAGTATGGATAGGCTATTTCTTCTTGTAGAGTCCTATTTATTTTTACAAAATGTACAGAGTCCTTTTTCCCTAAACACAACAGCTGGAAGCAACAGGTAGATCAAGAAAACATTGGATCTACCTTATCCATTGAGTTCTGTATTTGACATGAATGATCCTTCTATTTCCTTATAGCTTCATTTTTGCAGCATCTTTTAAAATGAACATCAGGTGTACACTGTGCAGAAATTATACTCCTGCTCCCTGGGATTGTACCAGATAAAACCTCTTGGCTCACTCAACTTTTTTTTTTTTTGTTAGGCTTGTGTGTTTTGTTCATTTCAAGCCATAACACGACATTAATATTTCTGCTGTTTATAAAAAAATGCTAAGTCAAAGATGGCAATCACTAGTATCATCCTACCCAAACAATTTCAGTTGTCATGGTTAAGAGGATGTTTATTACAGTCCTTCCCTGATTTCTCAGAGTCCTTCCCTGCTCTCAGAGGTGAGGACTGCCACCTCTTTTGGAAAGATATTACATAAATCTCATGATATGGGAAAGTGATCAGCCTTCAGGTTATACTGCTCTGAGAATCACCTGTGCATTTAGAATCATATGTGAGTTCTGATATGTACTGTTTTTTTTCTTGAAATAAGAGTATTTTTTTAACTGTAGGAATAGAATAAAAGGATTTTAAAATAGCAGTAAATGCAGATCTGTTTTGTCTAAAACATCCACTACATTGATGACAATTTAGGTAAGCAGCCACAGTATTTGCAGACACCCCTATAGCTACTGGTATTTCAGGCTGATTTTTCTGAACTTTTTTTTTTTTTTAATTTTTCAAGAAAAACGTTATAATTCTTTTACTATTCTTAATATTTAAACTTTCAGCTATTTTCCTTTCATAATCCTTAAAGGCAAAGGAATAGTTTATCTTGAACTGATCTTAATTTCCTGGTTGTCTTCCTTATTCTCTCCTTTAAGACAAAGAATTATTAAAAAAGCATAAATTCTTACCACATCTCATAGATCTCAAGTATTCTGAGAGGTTGTTCATGTTCACCTAAGTTTCTTCAATTCAGGATTTTGGTATATTTCTTTATCAGTAATAAGTTTATGCAAGCTGTTTATGGAATAAAGATGTATTTTACATAACTGTTTGTTGTTATTATTATTATTATTTACATAAAGATACCTGCAGCAAGTACTTCATTATCATCATACTCCATCAAAATATATGTTTTCTTCCTGAGAAGAGAGAGAGAAAAAATGGACATTTCAAGGAAAATCAATCAATAGTTATAATTATGCTCCTAAATAGAATACATTTCATTTCTACTGTTATCTCTAGATCATGTACAATAGCTACTTTGTTATATAAAAATCACACAAAAATGTCCATTTTTCTAGTCAGTCTATATGAACAGTTCAGAGATCAAGAGAATGTTTAAATGCAGCAGCATCAAGTAACACTCTAGTAGTCATTTTTACCTTAATGTTTCAGACTAAGAAAACCTTTTAAAAATAATTGAAAATGACTAACAAGTCTTTCAGATTTCAGTTAAGTGCTTTGTAACTAGTAGTATTATCTATATTTCAGGATGCTGTGAAAAGTTTTAAACAAGCTATAGAGCTTCAGATGACCTCAGCAAAAATCCTACATAATGCATTTGAGGTGGCTGAAATGTATTATCTTATGGGCCTGTGTTATATGGAACAAACAAATTTATTACAGGTTGGTATTAATTATATACGTGTTAGTCTTTGACTCCACTGCCTGTAAAAAATGATAACCAAATGAATGATTTCAATATTTTCAACAGCCTCCATTGTTTTTAGCATTTTTCTTCTTAACTCACAATGTACATTAGACTGTCCTGCAAGTTTGTGAATATATTTTTTTCAGTGCTAATGTTATGGCTTTTTTTTTTTTTCTTTTTTTTTTTTTTTCTGTATGACATTAGTTTGCATTCTAATGTTATAAAAACTACATGAATTTCTTATTCTTTATGTTTATTTTCAGAGACCTTATAGACAGGTACTTGGTAGCATATCAGTGGCTAAGTCAATTAGTATTAAACTTGGACAAGGGAATTCCTAGATTATTGTATTAATTATGGATTTGGCTATATTTTGTTAACCTTCTTCTATATTACTGTAGCTCAAAACATCCCTCTAGATGGTTCTATTTGGCACCTGCCTTACTTAAGGAAATTATATTTGCATTATTTCAATAAAATCAATACTTCTGATTAGAGATTTTTTTGTTAAAAACATATTAAATTTTGGATGCCCCATCCCTGGTGGCATTCAAAGCCAGGCTGGATGTGGCTCTGGGAATCCTGCTCTAGTAGTTGGCAACCCTGCCCAGAGCAGGGGATTGAAACAAGATGATCTTTAAAGTCCTTTTCAACCCATGCCATTGATTCTATAAAAAGTCAGTGAGCTTTGTGGCTGGCCTAGTTTGTGTTCATGCAAATGTTTTAAATGTTGATTTTTAGTAAACATGTGTCAGTTGCTGATTTGCTAAAAGGCTCAAGCCTGAAACTAGAAATATTTTAAAGCAGATTTTCACAGGGTAGGGTAATAATTCCTTGCACTGTCTGCCTCCAACCCCAATTGTCATAAGTGATATTCTTTTGGAAGAAGGCTGTCAAAGTTGTCTGAAATATCTAATGCAATAATACATGACAATTGCAAAAGGTGACTTTCTATATCAGTGCACATCTGATATTATAGCTGCAGATCTAGGAAAAGCTCATGATTTTGTAAGTTCATGTGAATTGTGTGGGGAAAAAATATTCAGATGGATTTTAAAGGAGTTGCATGCTAACCATGTTAGTCTGTTGTAAGAAATAACTTCACTGTTTCGGCTCTGACAAACCATGTGCTTGGATAAACCACTGAAGAAATGAGATTATTAAGCGAGTTAGATTGTACCTCCTTGTGGTTATGATTGCATTACTGGGGTACTTTAAGTAGCTGCAGATAGATGAAAGCAATCAAAACCAATGCAGATACGTGTTGGATTTCAACTGCATAAATAGATTATACCTTGCTGTACAATGAATCAGTTGTTTAACAGCCTATGTTTACAGCTGTACAAACAGACCATATTTAATCTAGATGATATGTCATTCTTTTAGGCCCGTGATGCTTTTAATATGGCTATCAGACTACATTCAAGATACCCTGATGCTTTTTATCAGCGAGGGCTGTGTAGAATGCAGCTCGGACAAGCTAAGTGCATCCGAGATTTCAATAGAACACTTGCCCTTTGTCCATCACACTTCCAGGTAATATATAAAGACTCCCCATAATTTGTTTCTGTGGGGTGTTTTAGGATAGGTTCAAAGAATAACAGGTTCTGCATTTAGGGGTGTATTGCCTTGTAATCTGCCAGTAAACACAATGCAAGGATTAAATAAAAGAAATTACATACTTCAAAAGATGCATGTTTTTATAGAGCTTAGTTCTTATATTTTACCCTTGTCTTAAATAACCAGCTTATTTTTTTTAGCATTATGCCACATCATCATTCTGTGTTCATCTCTGCAGGCATACATGAGTCGTGCCGCTTACTATGGAAGTAAAGGCAGATACTCTAAGGCAATTATGAATTGTAATGAGGCAATCAAAATTCTTCCTAACAGTGCGAGAGCTTATTTTTACCGAGGAACTTTGAAATATCAGAATAAGGTGGGTATCTCTGTTATTGTTGTACTTCTGCGTTCTCCCCCAAAACAATGTATTTCACTTGCCACTTTATAATGGTAAAACAATGATAAAAACTTTGGAAACCAGTGTTGTTGCTGGAAGCAAGGAATTTCAATTGACTATCATACTTTTCTCTTTTGAAGCCACTCTGATTGTTCTGTGTAACTTTCATGATGGATTGGACAAGCTACTGAGCATTAGATGATCTTTAAAGTCTGATCTTTAAAGTCCCTTCCAACTCCAAACATTGTATGCTTCTATGATCTCCTCTTCAGTTCTTCAGGATAGAACCTTACCTAATAAGTACCAAAACTCCATCAAAGATACCGTCTAGGTTAGGCTAAGAAACAGATCAGGCTAGTAAAATTAAATGTTGATTGCAGCATATGTATATTATCTAAACAAAAATTAAAAATGTTTGGTTGTCCAGTCATTGGCAAAATAGAACTGAAGAATTGTTCCTTCTGCCGCAAGTACTGCAGTAACTAGTCCATAGAGAATTGATTAGATACCTTGAAGTACTAACAAAGAAACAATGTAAAAAAAAAAAAAAAAAGTAAATGTAAAATCAAGTTTTCCAAAAGGCTGTTATTTGAGGAGGAATATATAGTGTTGTGAATTGTGAATTATAATTTATACATAGTGTTTTTTCATGTCCAGACATTTAAAGCTGCTATTGAAGATCTCTCAAAAACTATTGACCTCAACAAAACCTGCATGTTGGCATACTATAACCGAGCAATCTGTTATCATCAAATAAAGAACTTCAGACAGGTATGATATATATTTTTGTAACATCACATGATCACTCAGTTGTTCATATTAGCTAGTAACCTGTCTTTGACAATTAGTCAAAATTTCTGATCTCTTGCAATGTCTGACAATGTTCTTCAAGAAATTGTTTAAAAAATTAATTTTTGGTCCTCATCATGTTAATTTGATACACCTTTGAAAATATAATGGCTATATCCGAAAAAGGACCACATGAAAATCTGGATGACATCCTACTCTCATCACAACCTTGTTTTTCCGGGTGTGTTTATAACTCAGATGACTAACCTGTGAGCTGCCACTACCTCTATTTCTGCTGTTTATTTTTTGTTGTAAATAAAAAGCACAACGGGACACAAAAAGGCACAGTGCAGCTTGAGACTGGAAACATGATCATGCTGAACTATCATTTTGATGTCTAAAGTTAAATTGACCTTGGGCAAAGGCCATTTGTTCATAAAGGTTAAATGGCCAAGAATGATGCAGGGGGTAAAGAAAAAAACAAACAGGGGCGTTGTAGGTAAAAATTTAAGATGTGAAAATGCTAGTTCCTTCATAATACGTTAGTATAAAATTCATTCTTTGCTATCACTTTTTAGAAAAGCTAATTAAAGTACAAGGGAAGTTGCAGAAAAATGTAATAACCTATTGACAGAAGAAATTTACTGGGTCTGACAAGAACTGTGTTGTTTTCTGTTAAACACTTTCAAATGCCTTCCCCAATTTAGAAGAGGCAAGGAATAGAACTTCCCTTAAGAAGCTAGTATATGGAATACTGCTGTCAAGAACATTTTTGTTTTGTTTTGTTTTGTTTTTTGTAAAATATCTAAATATCTAGATGTAAAATATCCAATTATTCTTAAGTAAACTATATGAGTTAATTCTTCATGTGAAAAAAAAAAGATGAAGCATTGTTGCTGAAATATTGTTCAGTTTTGATAAATTTGGGAATAAAGGCTTCCTCAATTCCGCAGTCATATCACTATTTACCTTTTTACAGAATTTACACAAAAAAATTATTTAATAAAACTAGTGCTTAGACTTTTCAATAAAAATAAATTGTATCTGAAAATACGTAATTTTAAAAGTATTTTACCTTGGTATTAAACCATGAATAATGCATTCAGAACTGCTTAAAAAAAAAAAAAAAAAAAAAAAAAAAAAAAAAAAAAAAAAACAGGAAAGAAAAGAAAGAATACGGACAAATTTTATCAGCAGAAAACATAAAGACTTACTTCCAACTGTAATTTATGTAATACCAAAATAACTTTTAATTTTGCCTGTTTAATGCATCTGTATAATTTGTATTATCTTTGCTTTTGTACTCTGAGATTAGGTATCTATGTAAATACAGAAGTCTCCAAATACAGTTAAGTTCAATCTGCAAACAGTGAAACATTGGACTAGCCAGACTGAAGTCAGTGCTTGTGTCTGTCTCTGTATGAATTATTTTCTAAAATGCCTTCTATGTTTTTGTAGGCTTTGAAAGACTATGGAATTCTTATTCTGCATGAATTGAGTAAGGAAATAATTTTTAAAGTGTTAATTAATCGTGGGCTACTCTACATGGAAGTTAGTGATTATGCTAATGCATGTGAGGTACAAAATCTTTTTTTGTTTAAGGCAAATTTTGATTTTTTTCTTATTTGTAAACCACTGATGATATAGAGACCAATTTGCCAGCTTTTATATTTCCCTGAAATAGTTGGTATCCTCTTCTCATATGCTCAACAACTCATACCAGTCTGAAAGCAAATACATGTAAAATGATGGAAATGTCTTTTAAAATATTATGCTGCAAGGGGGAAGCATGGGAATTTTACAAAATTTAATAAGCAAGAATCTGACTTTTCCTCCTTTTCTTTTTTAATCCTTTAAGTTGTTTATGCTGGGTCCAAGTGAGTACTAATTCATTGCAGAATCCAAAATAAATGGAGGGTTCTGATTAATTGAGTGAGCTTGTCCTCTTCCTGTGTGTGTGTGTGTAAATGACCATTTTTGTCGAAAGGGCAGGCAGAGTCAGACCTTAAGTTCATTTTCTTAAATGTAGAGGAAAAAAATGTGTTTCTGACACCTGCATTGCGGAGGACTCCTGTTCATTGGGACTCCATCTGGTATAGCAGAAATCTAAGCATTAAACCACTCTTTCAAACATACGGGCTTTTAATTTCAAATTGTGGATACTTTTCAAGTTTTCTAAAAGTTTTTTTTTCTCTTGTCTTTAAAGAGTGTATTTTTTTTTTGTATTTTTTCAAGAATGGTTGCTGCTGCATTCATCGCCTCCATTGTGGACTATAAACATTGGTATTTTCACTATGTGATAGCAACAATGTGAACATAGAAATTCTAAAAATTGAGCAAATATAAATTGAAGAATGATTATGAATCCCATTGTCCTACTGGAAGTGCATGCCAAAAGCTCTTTACAGTTTGTAGAGCTTGTGTAGAAGTTAAATAGGAAGATTGCATTATTGGTCTTTAAGATGCAATTGATCAGAATAGTTCAGAAAAGATACTGAGATGGTACAAACTAGTATGTAAGGCCAGTGAAAGGAGACTGAAATGGGACAGAACCAGCGGGCTGAGCAAACAAGTAATTTGAATGGTTTATAGATATGGTTTAACCTAGCAGACAGCTAAGCACCACACAGCCATTTGCTCACTGCCTCAGAGTGGGATGGGGTAGAAAAACAGCAAAAAGGTAAAGCTTATGGGTTGAGATAAAGACAATAGGATAAAAAAGGAAAGGGGGGAAAAAGATAATGATAAAAGAATGTACAAAACAAGCGATGGACAATGCAATTGCCCATTGATGCCTGCCAACCGATGCCCAGACACTCCCCTAACAGCAGCAGTCCCCCTTTTTTTGAGTTTTATTGCTCATCACTGTGGCCAGTCTGGGTTAGCTGTCCTGGCTGTGTCCCCTCTCAGCTCCTGGTGCACCCCCGGCCTGCCCACTGGCAGTGTGCTACCAGTGAGAGGCTGGAAAGTCCTTGGCTCTGAGTGAGCACTGCTCTGCAATAACTAAACCATCCTGTGTCATCAGCATTCTCATCCTAAATCCAAAATACTGCACCATACCAGCTACTAGGAAGAAAATTAACTATCCCAGCCAAAACCAGGACAATAGTTAAGACAGACTCACAAAATAGTAATTCAACAGACACAAAATTATGTAACAGCTAACTTAAGGGGAAAAAAAAAAAGATCATAAATGTGCTAGAGACCTACTTGTGTATTTATTCTGTTATTTTATTGCAAGTATTTGTAATACATGTATACTGCTTGCTGAAATAACATGTACTTATTAAACTCTACTCAAAATGAATGTATTCCCAAATTGGGTACACTGGGAGGAAAAGTTACAACGCAGTCTGTATAAGATCTGAGTTGCTGTATAGAGGTGTCTGTTTTTTTCCAGTTGATTCTGTGAAGTGTGTGGTGACTGTGAGGGTTTATATTTGGTTTAAGTAAACTAAACCTGGTCCTTGGAAATTTAATCCTGCATTTGCTGTACTTCATGCACGGAGCAAGGCGTATACTTCAAACTGCGCATATGAAGACTCACATTAGCTTCCCTGGAAATTCATTGAAAGGCTTTAGTGGATTGGAACAGTGCCTCTGAATGCTTTTTAGAAGCAGATCTATAATTTTATGTTGTGTTTACAAAAGGAGAGGTTTTATTTTAATAAAATACTAATATATATACACGCCTGCACATCATGAAAGTATTGTGAAAGTATTTTGCCACTTCTGTACCTCCAGCAGGATTAAAATCTTCCATGTTGTTTTATTTTTAAAATGTGAACATACAGAAAATGCTTTCTGAGTTGTGATTCAGTGGATGTACCAGCTAAACCACTCCTACTGTGTACTGATTGCTTTCCTATGAAGAAGGCCTAAAGCACTTCCTTACGTGAAGAGTTATCTCCCTTTTCCTATAGAAGCATAAAGTTGTATAGCTAAAATCACAGTTTTAGGTAAAGTGAAACAATGCAAATTTTGCATTGTTTAATGTCTGTTCATTTCAGGACTTTAAAGAAGCAGCATTGCTTAGTCCAGGTGATCTTTCAAGCAAGATCTTTCAAGCTATTGGAATCTGTTATCATAGGTAAGAGGTATTTTTGTTTGATGCAGAGTAGAAAAATTAATAATTCCTGAACTTTATATGCCTATACCCCCTTTCATTTTGAGCATACTGAGAACTGGGGGAGGAGAAAGTGGTAAAGAGGAATTGGGGGGGGGGAGGGAAGAAATAACTAATATTATAATCTTCTGGTATCGAGCAACCATGTGTTCATGGCAGCATCAGAAGGAAATACTAGGATGATAAAAACTGAATCAAGAGAAGGACTGAAGAAGAAAGAATTGTCAGTCTTGACAGAATTTTTTATTTTGAAGTTTTAAAATGTTGTTTTATCAAGATGAGATTTATTTTGAAAGGTTAAAGTATATCTGTTAAAACAGATACAAGTTGGAAGAAATAAGATGTGCGTTAGTATTTTTAGTTGTACTCATCATACTGACACTTAGAGTCATTAGCTCCCATTTCACACAAACATAACCTGTGATAAAAAGGGAATTTTAATAGCTCTCTCTACCTATTAGTCTAGTGTAATCTATTTTATTCTAAAGTTACACTGTTATGTATCACTCCATAAGATTATTTCTGATGAGGCAGCTTGGAAGTAGACATATTCAGGATTCTAGCATCACAACTTCTTGTGTTACCATGCTTATAATTAAAGCACAGCTGGCTCCAACTTTCACAGTGTCTGAATGATGTAGAACTAGCATGGTAATGCCGAGTCCTGCTTCTAAGAACTCGGTATAAGATTTTGGTGTTCATGTCTATATTTACCTGTCAAAAGGAGTTACTGTTAAATGTAAAACTGAGCTAGTACAACCTGTTTTAAATGCATTTGGGATACTATTAACAGGATTGGGATGAAGCCCTAATTTGTTTTGCAACATGTGTTTTTCTTGAAAAAAAGCATTTGATTTACAACCCTTAAAATTATTTGTTAGATTAATCTATAATCTGCCCTCCTTTGGTAAAGAAATCAGGCTGTATTCAGGTGGATTCAAAACAGGTAACTTACAGTAAAAAAATCTCTTACCTTTCAGTATTGCCTTGGTAAAATGAGTTTGTATTTTGACATGCTGAATTTTTTGCTTTGTATGTAAAGGCATCTATTAGTAATCATTTATGTATTTCAGGTATTCTGTTTACACTCAATATAATCCACATGCATCAAATTTTATTTAAGGATGGAATTCCACATTTGGCCTACTCTTTGACCAGAATGGTCTGTCCTTAGTAGCCAGAATATTAGCTCTTTTTACCCTACAAGTGTAACATAGCTTGGATAAGTTCAAGAACTGGTAGGAGTAGAAACAGAGAGAAGGCTTATATTAGAGGTAGATGATTTATGGCTGAAATAAATGTGCCTGAGGAATTTGCCAAAAAAAAACATGTTTGGTCATGACATTTGGACAGCATGAATGACTCAGATAAAGTCTATATTAGAATCTGCTGAGTACAAACAGTGAAAAGGTGAAATCTTTGGCCAGCAGAAGTTAAATGAGAATTTTGCTGCTTTCTTCCTCAGGCCAAGGAATTTAAACTGAAGTTTGACTATCTTCTTTCACTGTTACAATAACCATCAGGGAGCACATATAGAAACCAAACTTAAGAAAAAAGTGTCCCTTCAGTCAGAATCGAACTATGTTCTGAAGGCATTATGGGATAGAGGATCTTGTTTTTAATTTTTTAAACAATAAACAGAGCAAATATTCACTCGTAGCTCTATTTTTAGACTTAATGAATTTGAAGAAGCTGTGAGATCATTTAACCAGGTTATCAAACTAGAACCCCTTTCTGTGGATGCCTATATTGGACGAGGAAATTCTTACATGGAAAGTGGACATGAGGCTGGTCTTAAACTAGCACAGAAAGATTTCGTGAAAGCAATTCACCTGAATCCAATGTGTACGAAAGCCAGAATTTGCTTAGGATACAACTTGCAGGTAACACACCAAAATTCATTGTCAATACTATGATTAATCAAACAAAATAAAGTTAATATTGTATGCATATATTTTTACAATGCAAAATGTAAAACAATCCATATGTTAAGACATGTCTTAGTGTGCTTTTTGTTTTTAGATAAATGGATAGATAGTTATTTTCTTTTCACATTTGTACAGAAACTTGTAGATCTACTCTCAATTAATGACATAACAAGTAACCTTGCCATCTGTTTGCACCTGATAAATGAACATTATGAACCACAGAATCACAGAATTGAAGGGGTTGGAAAGGACCTCAAAAGATCATCAGGTCAAACCCCCCAGCCAAAGCAGGTTCCTCAATGGGCATGTTCTGTGTGTATAAGCTGTTTACAGATGTAAAAGTGGCCAAAATGTTAAATACATGTAAATATATATTTAAAAGTTCAATTTAAAACAATCTTATGCGTTCCAGTTATCCAAAATAGTGTTAGAAAGTCTACTAAAATCCTTTGGAAAATTACATATATAATGATCACTGTAAAATGCTTAACTGCATAAACTGTAATTCTGTATTGGCAAAAGGATATAAGATATGACTTGACAGTTTTTATTCTTCTCTGTCTAATTCCTCTGATTTACCTACTGTGATTTATTATATCCAATTGTCTGAAATGTCTTCAATTGTCAAGAATCTTGCTGGGAATTATTTTTTGCCAATATATATGTATATTTTGCCAATGTATGCGTATATGAGAGACTAACGTCAGTGGCCTGTGTCAGGCCTATTTGCACAGGAAGGACTACATTGGTGAGTAGGTAGGAATATGACTTATGTAGAAATTGGACATCTCATGTTGCAGGAGGCAGGTGCTTAATTCCTTTGAGGCCTAAATCTCACTGGGTATCTTTTCTTTACCTTACCTTAATTGTACCTTTGGGGCTTAAACATACACGCAAGAAGAGAAATTTTTTGATTTGGATGATTAGTCTTTCACTGTTGCTTAATTAATCTGTATACTAGATAAAATGTTTACACTTTGCCACAGTGAGAGCTGAAGATGTAAAGGGGGATTTTATCAATGTGTATAAATACTTAATGGAGGAACTCAAAGAAAATGGAGCCAGGCTTTTCTTAATGGTGCCCAGTGATATGACCGGAGGCACTAATTGAAATAAAGGAGAATCCACTTAAAATTAGAAAAGTTTTTATTTTTTATTTTATTTTATTTTTTATTGTGAGGATGATCTAACGTTGGAACTAATTACACATAGAAGTTGTTCAGTCTTCATCTTTGGAGAAGTTCAAAATCCAACTGCACGTGGTCATGGGTGACCCTGCTTTTCAAAAGTGGTGAAAAGAACCTTTTCACCAAAGGTTCTAGGTGATTTTCAGAGATCCCTTCCACCTTCAAACATTCCGTGAATCTATGATATAGAAAAGGTAATACTTGCAATTAAAACAGTTGTGGCAGATAGATTGAATTGCTGTAAAAACAATGAGTGTTGCCTACAAGTTATTTGAAGTCTTTTTTCTTATTTCTTCTGTAATTAAGTTAACTGCATTTGTAAGTAAAAGCATTCTTCCATTTTCTGCTGTAATCGGGTCATTAGTAGGTTGTTTTTTTTTCTGACATTTCCTCAGTTTCTTATTGTGCACATACTGCAATTCATTTTAGGTCCATGGAAAGCTTCAGAGAGCTTGGAACCAGTTTACAGTTGCCATTGTTATTGATCCAAAGTGCTATGCTGCATACGATGGACGAGCTTCGGTCTGTCTTCAGATGGGTGAAAATTTTGCTGCATTTCAGGATATAAATGCTGCATTAAAGGTAGATCTTAGATTAAAGTGATTTTACTAAAATTAAACTGGTTTTATGAAGCCAGTCACTACTGTACAAGAACAATTGCCAGAAGGTGCATTTTTAAATTTTATTTTAAAAAGAAATGTATCATTTAAAAGCAGAATAAATTGCTGTATAAATGTGGATTTTCCCTGGATAAGAATGAATTTGGTATTTCCTTTCAGCTCACTACTACTGCCCCACTGCTAACAAATCGGGGTGTCATCAATCAGTTAATGGGGTATCTATCCTGTGCCATGAAGGACTATCAACAAGCAATTTCTGTTGACGCCAATTACGCATTAGCTTACTTCAGCGCAGCAAATATTTACTTCCATAATCATCAATTTTCACAGGTAAGTCTTTAGTCTGTCTTTATACTGTCTTCAGAGCATTTTTTTTTCCCTTAACTCGAATAAATACTGTTGGTACAAATCTGTCTTTGAACACACTTAAACTTTCTTACACTGAATTTCCTGGTCTTTTAATGGGAGATTAATCTGTAGTAATCAATAATAAGTAATTGCCATACTATATTTTAGCATTGATATGAATGAACTAACATTTATGGCAGCTAGGATACACATCACAAAAGTTTGTAAAGAATTGTAGTACTAAAATTTCACTGACGTCAATTAAGCTTTATCAAGCCTAATTCCCATATGTTAAATAAGTTGCCTGGATTCACTATAGCACTATTAGAAGGAAAATAAAAAGAATCTCATACTGATGGGTTTTAATCAAGAAGCCAGATCTTCTACCTTTCACCACAGTAACTTCAGATTTTAGATCACCTATTTCTGCTTAAATACAATATGCATCTTCAAATACAGAAGAGTTGGATTCTGAAACTCCTCTTGTGAGAGAATTTGAAATACGCTTGAAGGCAAGGACCATTTATTTTTCTCTCAGTTAGAAGGCCCCCACACTGATTTTTCCTTTGGCTTCCTGTCACACTTCATGGACACAGGCTCAGCCTTTTATTTGGTTGGAACTTTGTGGTCCAGCAGTTGTGGAAACCCAAAACCAGTATGGATACTTCAGCAGGTTTTGTCTACTTTAATTAATCCTCTCCTAGAATTGCATCTGTAAACACTTTAGCTTGCAGTTCACATAATGAGGAATTCATCATGTACAGTACAGGCTTGGCAAATATTTTTAAACTGAGATTGTACTTCATACAGCACAAGAAATAGATGATGTAAAAAAACAATTTAATGTTCTTGTTTGTTTCTTTGAGTTAAATTCCTTGTTGATTTTGAGCATAAGTTAGACTTGGGTCATAAAGTCCTTAAGACTCCGAGGTCAGTGCTCTGCATGTAGATTCTGCTTTGATCATGTAATCTCTTTTTTTTTTTTTCTTTTTACTGCATCTGGTATCATTCATCTATGAGTGGTCTAGCACAATCTATTCTTCCTCTTTCCTATGAAAAAAATCTGTGATTCTTTACGCTATCTCCCAGAAGGTTTGGTTACGGACAAAGAAGTTCAAGAATGAGTGTTGCATTATAAATCACTTTCTGTGTTAATTAAAATTGAACTCAATGTGTAGCTCATTTCTTCTGTGCTATAATTACAATTCAGCATAAACAGGTATTCTTTTTTTCAAAATTCTGTCTGTGTGGTTACTAACCCATTTGTGGATGTTGTGGGTCAATCCTGTTAGGCAGCTAAATCCTATGTAGCCTCTCGTCCCCCTCAAGTGGAATGGAGAAGAGAATTGAAAGGGTAAAAGTGAGAAAACTTGTGAATTGAGATAAAAATAGTTTAATAGGTAAAGCAAAAGCTGTGTACACATGCAATGCAAAATAAAGAATTCATTCAATACTTCCCCTTGGCAGGCAGATGTTTAACCATTTTCAGGAAAGCATGCATAATGGTTACTTGGGAAGACAGACACAATAACTCCAAATGTTCTCATCCTTTTCTGTAGCTTTTTGTTGCTTGAGCTTGATGATGTAAGGTCTGGATCCCTTTGGTTAGCTGGGATCAACTGTTCTGGCAGGTCAGCATGAGAAACAGAAAAGGCCTTGATGCTGTGTACATACTGTTCAGCAATAGCTAAAATGTTGGTGTGTTGTTAACACTGTTTTGGTCACAAATCCAAAACATAGCACTGTACAGGCTACTATGAAGAAAAATTAACTCTATCCCAGCAAAAATGAATGCAGTGAATAAGCATAGGGGTGCTTTACTATGCACAAAGAATATTAAACAGCATGAGTAAATATTCCTCAAGTTTTAACACTGTTTTTTATCTCCAATTCATGTCTTTTTTAGGCCTATTGCTATTATTCCAAGGTATTAAAGCTTGAGCCAAGGAATGAATCTGCTATTATGAATCGTGCTATTACAAATACAATATTAAAAAATTTCGAAGAAGCAAGAGAAGACTTTGAGAAGGCAGTTTGCCTCTGTCCATTCTCTGCAGCAGTGTATTTTAACAGGGCAAATTTCTATAATGGATTAAAGCAATATGAACAAGCTGAGAAAGACATTTCAACAGGTAATCTTAATTACCTGCTATGACTGCCATTTGGAACCATACTAACAATTGTGATGATAAATTACTTGGTTTTATTTCACAATTCAGCAAGTATGTGTGTATTTTTGCTAGCATATTTTCTAGCTAATTAGATAAGGTATTATGATATGATTAAAAAAAGCAAGTTAAAGTAAACATACATGTACTAATTAATTCCAGGCTTTTTTTCACTCTTAGAACTAAAAATATATAGATTAGAAGGAAAACAGTTTCATATAATGTGTCATATTAGCTGAACAGAACCCCATTCTAAATGAAATTGTGGCAAGAAGTTTTGAGAAAATACAATACTTACCAAGTCTTGAAAAATTTAATTTGTATATGTGTGTATTGAGAAGTCTATGTGTTATGAAAATGGCAGTCATGTAGTTTATTTCATATATAAGCAAGAAATAAAATGTGTATGCTCATTGTAGAAGTTTTAAAATGGTATTTGCTGGCATAAGCTTATGTACTGCTAATAGACATGGTTCATGGATAAGAGGAGCTGAATCAAATTCTTGTCTTGATTCTAGTAAAATACAAACTGTTTGAAATAACTCTTTAGATTTTTTTAAATTAGTTTACTTTTACTTTTTGAGATTTGTCAAAATAATCATTGTTTTTGTGGTTAATAAAATAATCGCATATTGGGTTTCATGAGTATTATTTTCATGCTATAAGATAATGAAAATTGACTGGACCAGTGAGATGATGCTTTTCAACTAACTTCCTCTCTAAAATAGAATTTTAAAACATCAGATTAACAGCAATAATCCAACACTTTCATAAATCCTTTTTTACATAATGGAGGAACTGAGAAAGCTATTGTGTACCTTGCCATGTCTGCCATGGATGGTGATAGTTTTTTTTTTTTTTTTTTTTTCTCTGAGATTTTGCTCATATTATAGAGGAAAGCATAGTGCCTGCTGATGGGGCAGAATTGAAATTTGATGCATAAATGGCATCAAAAAGAAAAAAAATCTGAAGAATAAGTAGCATAACAAAGTTATGCTATTACTTTTATTACTTTTAGGTAAATATGCTATTTACCTTTTCATGTAAAATTAGTATAGGTAATTAGTATATAGGTAATGCTTTTCTCTTGTGAAAGCATGTTTTGAGAAAAATCAGAACACTGACAACAACTTTGAGACCATGCTTCTCTTTATAATTATGTGATGATGTGTAAAAAAAAAAGAAAAAAAAAACACCCTAATATTGTATTTCTTGTTTTTACAGCATTGTCAATTCAGCCTAATGATGCCTTGATGTATAGACTTAGAGCTGATATTCGTGCTAAATTGGGTTTCAATAAAGAAGCTGTAGAAGACTACAAACAAGCAATCAGCATACAAGAACAGATTGATTGCGTATGAAAATACATCAGTTCTATTTACAGATTTCTTAGACTTCTAATTAAAGTCCAACATGCAAAGAAATATATCTTTATTTTTATATATTTTACACTTTTTATTTTCCTAAATAATATAATTATCTTGATTCAATCCCAAACTAGCTGGAGTTACGAGAATAGAATGCCACATTTTATTTTTATGAGTTACAGATTGTTCTTTATTTGTTAAAGAGAGAATTGATTGTGTTGTACAGTAAATGAAGAACAGAGAAGTAGTAGTTATAAGCAAGAGGCTTCAATCATATTGGCGACAGAATGAGAGGAGAGACAATTCCCTGGCCAGGTGACATCTGAAGTGTTTGGATATCAAACCTTATAAGACGGCTGCCAAACGCCTGTGACTGCTCACTAGGCCTCACTTTCTACCTTACCTCTTTCCAGTTCCCTGTCACTCACACTAGACATTGTGCAAGGTACATGTTACAGAGCATGAGAACTACTCCAGAAACTGAAATTTGAGAAGGTGATTCATTCTGAGAGTAAAAAATTGAGGTCATTTGCTTCCACTTAAATATGTTACACTGTCAGCTTGAAGAGGCATGTAAAAATGCATAAGTAATAGATCTTAGATCTTATTATTATTATTATTATTTTTTTTTTTTGGTTCTAAATTGTGAGAGTGGGCTTAAGAATAGGCTTTTATCTAAACATGGAGATTGAAGTGTGAATCAGCATGAACAAAATTTAAAAACTGTCAGTCCCTACCCAGGTGCTAAATTAAACCCTCCAAATCTGGTACAACGAGGTGAAGACAGCAAAAGGATGAAGCGAAACAGATGTGTTTGTCTCAGAAAAGAGAAAAAGAAGGAATCTTAAGGTCTCATTCAGAATGCAAACAGTACTATGGGTTCAGATGGTAAGAAGATTTTTAAAGGTACAAATGGTTCTTTAATGCTCAATCCCAGAGGTATGGAAATTATATGTGTATTTTTAGTTTAGATTTAGATATAAAATGCTGACAATTTACTTGGCAAAAAAGAGCAGAGGAAAAAGGGAGGGGAAACTTCAACAAACAATAGACCTAACACATACTGGTATATACCTGTAATTGCCTAATCCCCCGTTTGTGCAATAATTTGTAGATAGAGAATAATCCAGAATAGATTCAAAGTAAATAATCTAATTCATATTAAAGGAACATTAAAGAATAATCATATTCGTTGGTTTAATTTTATAACTGATTTTTTTTCATTTATGTGTTGTTGAAATTGACGTGAAAATGTTGTCATTGCTTTTTCTCAAATTATTATGTTTTGTTTACTCTGAGTACTTAAAACAATGATATACTCTATTTCTGTATATTCCCTGTTCTTACAAACCTATGTGGTGAATGTTTAGTCAATGTGATAGAGAGTGACTGGAAGTTTAGCTATGTTCTGCTGTCTAATTTTTTTCATTTGTAATATCATATTACATTATAAAAAATCCTATGCTTGCCACACTTATGATATTTGGGCTGGAAAAAAATTACCACCGAAAGGAAATTCCGAAAATCACAACTAAGATAAGTTGATGGAGAAAAGCATTTGACTATATCCCTACTCTCCTTGATTGTCCTCTTATCTAGCTGTTTAATATCTAGGATGATGACAGATCTAGCAAATGCATTGGTTGTCTGGAATAGATGAATCATAGTCAAAATACATAAAGGGTAGAAAAAGTTTACCAAACATTGCTTTTAATTTCTTTATTCATGATTAGTATCTCTGATGTTTAAAAAGGAGTTTATAGTATAAGCACTAAATTAAAATATCTCTAGGTAATGTAGGATGTTTTTTTCCCAGTATTATCATAGAAGAAAACATATAGAATGTTATGTCATAGCATTCATTATATCGTATTATTATATACATTAGCATGTTACTGGAAATTTATTTGTAATAACAGTTTTTCTTGAAATTAAATTAAAATACATGACCATAGGATGATCAAAAATTATATAAGTATAAATTTACAAGTGGCTATATTTCCATGCAGGACTATCATTGTTGTTGATGCAAATTGGGGAATTATTTACCTAATATACTGTATGTGCACAAATTCAAAGTTTGCTTGAATGATGGTTGTCAGTGTGAGGCAAAAACGTTTTTTTTCCCCTTTCTCTTTCTCCACATGGCTCTGTCGGTGCTTTTTATTATCTGAAGAATTGTTTATTGATGAAATTGTTAAATTATTCATGATTCTATGGCCTTTTCCTTTCTTTGACCTCCTTATGAATTACCTGCTGATGGGTTGTGAGATAGTGATACCCTCATCATGTATAGAGCATCATCAATGTTAAATCAGAATGAAAAGAGACCAAACCTTTCCCTTGGATCCTTTTCTTGCAGTACCCACTATAGTGTTTTTTTTGTTGTTGTTTTTTTAGCTTAGCACATCTTGAATATCAAACAGAAATGAACATTTATAAGACTTTTATCTTCATGTTTAAAACCTGAAATGAAACACCGTCAGTTATGACTTGCTACCGCTAGAGTGACTTGACGTAAATGACATGGGCTATTGTCATTTACAAATGTTTCATCTGTTACACAATGCTAGGATGTGGGTGGTGGCCTGCTGAATTTCCAATTTTATCATTTAGCACCACAATTTGCAATTCAGGGAGCATGTTAGATGTTTTTGAAAACGTGAAATGGATGAAGAATTTATTTGCATAATATAGCTTGTAAATTTCAAGTTGCATGATCAAAATTTACTGCTCTATTAGAAGAATAGATTACCAGTTCCTTTTTTTTTCTTGAAATCTTTCTTTCAAATTTTCTTTCTCTAGAGAAATTTTATATTTTCTAAAGCATTTTAAAAGTCAATGGAAATATATTGTATAATAGCACTTCTTTCATGTCTTTTTAGTAAAATAGATTGATAAGGTCATTAGTGACTTTAAGAATCACTGTTCCACTACAATTGTATTTTACAGTCTGAACAGGATTATGATGGGTTTATTGCAGCCTGAACTTTGTTCAACCCAGTATGCTATGGTTGTTAAATTCTGAGATTTCTTCCATTGCTAATTATAGATCCAGAAAATTTTCATAATTAGTATTATGAAAATTTTTGCTTCACAAAATTACTTTAAGAGAAGCTCTTGTCCCTTGCTATACAGTGGTATTAGTTCTTTCTGTATTTAAAATCTCTTTAGTGGAGCTTAATTTTTCTATGTATTTTCTTTTATTCTTTTTCTAAAAAATCCATTTGATGGGCTGTAGTTTAATAAAGCAGACTTACTAAGAAACCTCGGCTGCATTTATGTTTGGAAACTGCTGCTGAGAAGACTTGTGTCTAGAATGGCAAAATACATCAGCAGTGGAACATCTCTGTTGTTATATCACATTTGTCAGTGTTATACTTTATTGTTAAGACTTGCACTACTTGTAACCCCACTAAAATCTAGTTTACTAAACTAGTTTGTGTGACATCTGTGTTCCCATTTATGTCTTTCCATGGACAAAATGAAAAATCTATATACAAGTTTTATCTTTAGTTACTGGTAATTGTTCCAAATAAGAAATACAATTTCAAGAAATCTTGATATTGCTTTGATCATTATTTGTTCATTATGTTGATAGAAACATAGCTCAGTTTATTGAAAAAGGAGGGCAGAAGAATAGATGTATTCTTATGAGTGCTGGTCAAGCAAGATTTACAGATTTGTAGAATAAAACAAACAAACAAGAATGTTTTCTCTGTCCCAATTCCATCTAAAATAATGAAATTTTATAGTAATGTTTAACTGTTATAATACAATAGGATAAAGAACTTAATTTTATAACTGAAACAGAACTTTATTATGCAAACATAGCTCTATTCACCTAAAGGACTGAATCACCTGTTTTATTTCTCACTCTTTAAAATACTGATAATAAATGTGTTATTGGAAAATAAGTAAGTGTTTGATTAGCAGAGAATACATTCAAGAAAACCCTCAGATCCCTTTTCTGCAGGGCTGCTCTCCAGTTTCTTGTCCCCCAGTCCTTATGTATATCCAGGTTCCCAGCTGCAGACTCCAGCACTTACTCTCAGTAAATTTTATGTTGTTGCTGATCGTCCAGCTCTCTAATTCATTAAGAATTCTTTGCAAGGACTCTCTACCCTTGATGGATTCAACAGCTCCTCCCAATTTAGTGTCATCTGCAAACTTAGTTTACCTTCAGGTCCTGCATCCATGTTATTTCTGAAAAAGAAGCCCTAAAATAGAGCCATGGGGAACCTCAGCAGTGACTGACTGCCAACCTGATGTAAACCAATGTACCCCGAGCACAACCCATCAACAAATTGTTCATTCATATACAAATACAAACCTGTGCTGGCTATGACCAATGACTGTATTGTCTTTCAGGTGTTCAATAACTCCCAGAATAAGCCCTGTAATTTTACCAGGCACTGAAATGAGACTGACAGGCCTGTAGTTACCAGGGTCTTCTTGTCCTTTTTGAAAATAGGAACAATATTTGCCAGTTTTCAGTTGAACTTCTCCAGATTCCCAAGACTGTTGAAAAATAATTGAGAGGCACCTCACAATGACATCATCCAGCTCTCTGAGTACCCTGGGATGAACTGCATTGGGCCCCATAGACTTCTGTGCATCCAGATGGAGCAGCAAATCCCATACAAGTTCAGGATTGGCTCGGAGTTTATCATTACTGCATTCACAGTCTTCCAGCTCAGGGCTACAGGGGTCCCAGAGACCATTCTTGGTGTTGAAGACGGAGGTGAAGAAGGCGTTAAATGTCTCTGCTATGTCTATGTCTCTATTTGTGAGGTGATTATCCTCATCAGGAAATACACCAATACTTTCTCTGGTCCTCCTTCTGTTGTTAACATATTAAAAAACAAACAACAATTTTTTTATTGTCCCATACATACTGTACTGGCCACCTTCAACTCTAATTGGGCCTTGGCTGCATAAATTTTATCCCTACAATGGCAAACAGCATCTCTCTAGTCCTTCTGTGTTGCCCAACCTCACTTTGAGTGGCCATACACATTTTCCTCCTAAACTCTAGAAGAAGATCTCTGCTCAGCCAAGCTGACCTTCTGTCCCACCTGCCTCTTACATTTTGGAAATGCATGTTCCAGTCCTCCTAAGAGGAGGAACTAAATAGTTCCCTGAGCCTCCTGAAGCCTGCTCTACCCATACCAGGGTTGAAGTTTTGGTGACAGTTTTCCTCCTAACACCAAAGATTTTAAACTTGACTACTTCGTGGTCATTCTTCATAGTATTTATATTTGGGGAACTTTGTTTTTTTTTTTTTTTTTTTTTTTTTGGTTTGTTTGTTTGTTTGTTTGTTTTTGTATGTTTTGCTGTCAACCTTTGTCTAAAATTATTGATTAGGCCTTAGATTTATTGGACTAAATCTAACTTACTTTAATATTCAAGTCAGAAAACCTTTTAAATTGAAGTAGTCTATCTCCAGTTTAATTATCTGGTTGCATAGAGAATGTCCCAATCAGTGGCAGTGAGATGAGTAGCCTTTGAGAGAGCAGTAAGGGGCTCAAATTTAGCCGTCTATTTTACAAGCTGTAAATAACAAATATAATCTGATTTTCTCATATCTCCAAGATTTCCACCTTTGTAAAATACATAGATATAATTTATTTTAGCTTGAGCTACCTGTTGTGTTCCATCTCAACCCCAAACCTCAAGCCAATGCTTGAGAATGAGCTTGTGTGGACACAAATTGAATTTGTATTTGAGTTGGTGGTGGACCAAACCTTGAATTGCAATATATATACATACAGCCTGAGCAAGTTCATGAGCTGTCAGGGTAAAGAATATACCAGAATAAATATACTTGTGAAAAATCAGTGTGAAAAAAAAAGAAAAGGCAATATTTCAAGTAACCTTTTTCTAGACTTAAGTATGAATTTGAATAAGAGCACCAGCAGATGGCAGCCTGCAATATGAAGTGGGAGAACTTTATTGCCTGATAGATTAGCTACAACAGCTGCTGCTGCTCCCTTTTCTGAGGAGGGATTACTGTATATTGGTATATTCTCGGGCTCTTCCTTAATTGGCAGTATTGTTCTCACTTCATTTTTAATATGTTATACACAATTATTTAACAATAAAACAATAACTGAGATTATTCTACCTCACCGGATCTGAAGTAATATATAATTAGTATAGAACTTTAACATTATAATGTAAACATATTTTGTATTTGACATAATGTATTTGAACGCATGCAGAATTGTACATGTGGATATATATGTGCATGCATACACAGTAATGCAGTTAATAAGCAGAACAAGCCTTGAATAACAACTCCTTTCATGTGCTCATTTTTTCTCTCCTGGTTTTGATGTACTTTTCTACAAAATGGGGTATTCAGAAAAGGAAGGCAAACTGTGTGGAACCTTTTAACTGCTCCCAGCAGTTACATTTTACAGCATGTTTCTTTTTGTTCACTTTACCTAGTCAGTAA